ACACCAGCGATAGCAGGAATTCTTGAAAGCAGCCGGGGCAGTAGGCAGAGAATGTAAAGGGGATGTGGGACCCCTCATCCAAGACCTGTGGGGCCAGCGCAGGCTCTGTTCTGGAAAACACTCCCCGTGTGCCTGAGGGGAACACATTTTCTAAGAAGTGAGTCCAGGGCCCTGCAGACGTCCCATGAATCAGGCTGTTACCTGTGTTGTCCAAATCCGTGTATTTACTGTTTTTCCAGCCTGGTGGCCTGTGGCGATTGAGAGAGCTGCGTTAGAAGTGCCCACAAATGATGGTGCATTTCTTGACTGTCCCCTGTGGGTTCTCAATGCTGTTTTACACGTTTTCTTTCTTGGTTTACATCCTTTTCAAAGTCCCATTAGGGTAGGTTTGTTGGTGGTGTCAATTTTTATTCATCTAAAAATGTGTTTTTTGCTCTTTTCCCTAAGATGGTGTTGCTGGGTGTGGCTCTAGGTTGTGGCATTTTCTGGGTGTTTGTCCCTTGCCCCTGCTGTGCTGTGGAGAAGTCTGCTGCCTGACGGCTCTTCCTCTGCAGGTGACCTTCCTGTTTCTGGTTGCCTTTAAGGTCACGTTGTCTTTGGGGTTCTGCCTTTCTCTCCACAAGATGTCCAGTGTGGGTTTCTGCTTTATTATGCAGCTTGTTGTAAATGATGCCCCGTGCCTGTGGATTCATGTCTTTTGTTAGTCATGGGAAACCCTAACGTTATCCCATAGAATACTTCCCTTCCTGCGTTCTCTTTTCTTTGTCTTCCTGGATGGACTCCAACCAGGCACGTCTTAGACCTCACTCCATCGTCTCTCTGTGGGCCTCTCTGCGGCGCCTGCATTCGGACTGACTTCTTCAGACTGCTTTCCGGTCTGACAGCTCCCTCTTGAGCTGGGTGTAGTCAGAGGGTGAATTGATGCGTCGAGTCTTTAAAAAGCGCGTTTCTTTTTCTTTTATGTATCTTCCTGATGATTTAGAAAATCCTCTTCTTCCTTATTTTTGTGACTCTGCCTCAAGGATATTCAAATATTTCACGCATCCTATTTAATGTTTTGTATTTCAAAACCTGAAGTTCTGGGGGTCTAAATCCACTTCTTATTGTTTCCGTTGACTCTCACTCTTGATGGTTTGTTTTCTTTGTCATCTTTTCTTTGTGAGCTTATTTTGATTGATCTTAAACTCTGAAAAATCTAGGTTTATAACCTAGGCCCCTGTATTTCAGTTTATTTCTGTCAGAGTCCCTGAATAAGTCTTGGAGTCTTGTGCTCAGCTCTGCTCTTTGCTTTTGGCGCAAGGCCTTGTTTCAAAGAGGCTGCCCCTTGCTTCTCACGTGCTCAGCACTTATCTCTAAGCTCACTTGCTTTCTCCAGTTTCTTGAGGATTTTCTCACTTTCTATAAATCCAGGATGCAATAAAAATACGATTGTGTGCAAGCTCTGCTTGTTTCACTGTAGAAAGTTCGCCATAGAGCCTGGAAGCCCTTTCTTCATACCTCGTTTCCTCGGTTTATTCCATGTTCATGACTCAGTGTACCCAAACTGTACCCAGAGTGCCCGGCTGAATGCCCAGCCTGTGGTACCTGTCAATCTCTTTGTCAAAGCTTTTCAGCCACCCAGCTTCTGAACCTCTTCTCTCTTTGGAGAATCTTGTGGTTTACGAGTTTGGGTGGGAGGCAGAGACCATCTCCCCTCTGGAAGCCAGAGGCTCATCTTCTCTTGAAAGTTGAGGTCAGGCGAGTGACCGGGTTCCCGTGAGCCGTGTGGAAGCTCACATGGTGAGGCCAGGACAGCCACGCACGGGTGCCAGCACAGGTTTCCAGGAATTGGGGTGGCAGCAGGTCCAGGAGCAGCACCTGGAGGAACTAGGTCTCTGCTGGCTTGAGGGGCTGGGGGCAGATGCAGAGTGCAGCTGGCAGCCCAGAGGGACCCCTCCGGTGAAGGAGGGCAGAGTGGATCAGGGGTAGGTGGGTGGCTGCAGGTTTCCTGGCAGGCAGGAGGGTGTGGCGGCCTTCAACTTAGAGGCAGGGCCCCAGGCACAGCCACTCACCTTGTTGATGGGGTCCCCAGCTGGGGCGCATCAGCAGGGACAGAGAAGTGGGGGAGGCACCCACACAGGAGGGCTGGCCTGCCCTGGTAAGGCCCAAGGGCGTGTGGAAGTCTTGCGAGGGGTCCCCTCTTGTTCCATTGAGGGGAGGGGTGGAAATGGACCTGGGCACCACAGAAGAAAATAGTGGCAGAGCAGCTGAGGACAGTGAGGGTGAGTGGAGGGCGTGCAGGAATGGGGCTGGGATAGCACCGGTGTTAGTGAGCGGGTGGGCCGACGGGAAGCAGCCAGATTATTGTGTGGTTCACGGAGGAGGAAACTGAGGCACAGGGAGGTTAAGGAGCCTGCCACCCCGGCACAGGTCCTCCAGGAAGCCTGATCACAGCAAGCTGGCAGTGTGGCAGCTCGGAGTGGGGCCTGCTGGTGGGGTTTGGAGGTGCGTCAGTTTGCTCGGAGAAACAGCGTGTTCACTGCAGGGCCGTACAGGGTCTCCCCCTGAGGTGGGTCTGATTCAGGACAGATCTTGGTTGACCCAGGGGCTGGGAGGAGGCTGGGCAGCTCCCTCCTGGGCACATGCTTGAGGACGGCTCTGGAGGTGTCCACCCAGATGCTGACTGCAGAGCCCAGGCTGGGCCGGGCAGGTGGGGACAAGAAAGGGAGCCGACCCCGGCTCCCCACCACCCCCCACTGAAACAGCCACCCAAAAGCCAAAGATTTAAAACTTACCAAGACAATTTCAAGTTTATTGCCATTAAAATTTATTTTTATTTCCTATAAAACTTGAAATGAAATTCTAACAATTTCCTTAAAAGCTATTGAGACTCAAACAGTTATCAATATTACTAAGCAACAAAAGTGAAGATATGGCACCAAGTCTATTTCGAATCTGGTTTCTTTGAGGGAGAACATAAGACATGTTTAGAAGACTATGGCTTCCAAACTGAGTAGAATGCAGAATTCATTAAAGTCTTGTCATGTAACCAACCACCAAGGAGCTTCCCTGGTGCCCTATTCTTTTCTTGAGTCTAACAAAGAGCAACAAGCCTGTGCAGGTGGAGAAAACCCGAACGTGGGTCCTGGGGTCTCAGCACCACCCTCCCGAGGAAGCAGCCTGCCGGGCACAGTGGTGTCTGTGTGGAGAAGGCACATCAGGAGAGCCTCAAGGAAGAGGCCTGCCAGGCACGATGGTGTGTGCACGGAGGAGGGGCATCCTGGAGAGAGAGGAAGGGGACCACCATGCTTGCTGCTGTCTGTGCGGAGGAGGGGCATCCTGGAGAGCTTTGAGAAACAGCCGGCCAGGCAGGCTTGTGTCTGCCCAGAGAAGGGCCATCTTGGAGAGGTTCGAGGAAGAGGCCCACCTGCCATGCTGCTGTCAGCATGGAGGAGGACCAACCTGGAGAGTTTCGAGAAAGTGTCTCGGGAGGCACGCTAGTTATGCCGCAGAGGAGGGGCATCCTGGAGAACAAGGAAGCGGCTCGCCGGGCATGCAACTGTCTGCAAGGAGTATGGGGATCCTGGAGAGCTTTGAGGAAGAGGCCTCCCTTGCACGCTACTGTCCTCCTAGAGGAGGGGCATCCTGGAGAGCATCCAGGTAGAAATCCCCAGGCCAGGGTAGTGTCTGCCCAGAGGAGGGACATCCTAGAGACCTTAGAGAAGTGGCCAGCCGGGAACACTACTGTCTTCGTGGAGGAGGGGCATCATGGAGATCATCCAGGTAGCAACCAGCAAGGCACACTGCTGTCTGCACAGAGGAGGGGCATCCTGGAGACCTTAGAGAAGCGGCCAGCCGAGAACACTAGTGTCTGCATGGAGGAGCATCCTGCAGAACCAGGAAGCAGCCTGTTGGGCACGCTGGTGTCTGCGTGGAGGAGGGGCGTCCTGGAGAGCATCGAGGGACCAACCAGCAAGGCATGCTGCTGTCTTTTTGGAGGAGGGGCATCCTGGAGAACAAGAAAGCGGCCCGCCTGGCTTGCATCTTTCTGCTGAAAGTAGGGGCATCCTGGAGAGCTTTGAGGAAGAGGCCTGCCTAGCACGCTTTTGTCTGCAGGGAGGAGGGGCATCCTGGAGAACAAGGAAGATGCCCGCTGGGCACGCTGGTGCTGGTGTCTTCAACTAGGAGGGCCATCCTGGGGAGCAAGGAAGTGGGCATGCTGATGTCTGTGCGGAGGAGGGGCATCCTGGAGAAGAAGGAAGAGGCCTGCCTGGTGTACAACTTTTGGCATGGAGGAGGGGCATCCTGGAGGGCAGGGACTTGGCTTGCCTTGCATGCTGGTGTGTGCTCGAAGGAGGGGAACCCACGAGAGCTCTGAGGAAGAGGCCTGCCTGGCACGCTTTTGTCTGCAGGGAGGAGGGGCTTCCGGGAGAGCAAGGAAGAGGCCTGCTGGGCACGCTGGTGTCTTTGCGGAGGAGGGGCGTCCTGGGGAGCTTTGAAGAAGAGGCCCGCTGGGCACGATGGTCTCTGTGCCAAGGAGGTCCACCCTGGAGAGCTTCGAAGTTGTTCTGGCTGTGGACGCTCTAGATGCTCTGGATGCTCTGGACGCACCAGTGAGCCCATCCCGAAGCTCTGGTTCCTGGACGTCATGGTCACTGGAGTTTCGGAGGAGAGTTGGCTCTGGGCTCGGTGGCCTCTCCAAAGGGGCAGCCATGCTCCACACCAAGGACGGGGCACATGTCGATCCTGGTCTCTCCCAGAGGAGCAGGCATGCCCTCTGCACCCTGGCTGGGGGGCGCAGCCTCCCCCGGAGCTGCCTCCTGTGTGGGTTCCTGAGGTTGGATGTGCTGGACGTATCACATCTCCTGGAGGGCCTCCCCCTCCTCTGGCTCACTGCCGATGTTGATGATGGTGGTCTCCATGCTCTGGGGTTGACTGTCGATGTCAATGACGGTGCACTGCACACTCTGGGCCTTCTGGTCCCGTGGGCGGGTGTCCCAGGGCTCCTGGGATGGCCCATTCTGGCTGCTGTAGGGCAGCGAGGATGGGACCCCAATGTTTTCCATGGCCGCCTCCCCAGGCAGGATGTTGGGGGAGAAAGGTTCCCCGATGGCACGCTCTGCCAGCATGGGCTCCCAGGCTCCTGTGGAGCAAACGAAAGTCACCATGAGCGCCCTAAGTGAGGTGTGCAAGAGGCCACGGAGCCCTGAGTGCACGGGCCCCAAGCCCGGCCTGACCTGAAGACCGAGGCGCAGTGCTCTGGCACCTTCTGTCCTGGCCTTTGCCAGAAGCGGGGCCATTTCTGGGGAGAACCCCGGGCTTGCTCACAGCTGCGTCCCGGCCAGAACCCTCCTCTCCCAGTGAGCCAGCCCCGCGAGACAAACACGTCGTCCACACAGGCTATTTTCTGTTCTTAGTGTGAAATACATCACATATGGAGAAGAGTAGATAAACATTTACGCACATTTAAAAGAATAATGAGAGGGTGACAGCCCACAGGGGGACCCCAGGATGTGAGTCCGGTGTGTCGTCTCCGGTCACATCCTCCCCTCCCCATCCCCTGGCCAATAGATGGCTGTGTGGCAGCACTCTCCCGTTTGTACACGGCTCTAGCGCACCACTCGCACACCGCACCATCTAAACAACGCGGCGTTGCCTGTGGCCTGCTTCTGAACTTTGTGCAGAGGAAATCACAGAGCCGGCACTTTGTTGCTTCTCTCACTGCCTGTGAAGCTGGCCTGGGACTGCGGCGTTCCCTCACGAATGCTCCACAGGTTACCATCTTCTGCTCAGCATCCCAGTCGTTCCCCACGTGGGGCCATTCTGAACTGTTGTCCATCTCCTGCTGGGCTCAGGGGAGAATTTCTCTAAGATACACACCTAGAATGACCTGGCGGGCCTTGGTTAGCTCACGCAGCTGAGGAAGGTCATGCCATCCCAAAGTGGCTACGTCATCTCAAACCCACCAGTCACACATGTTCCCAGGCCCCCACCGTTGCCAGGAATGGACAGTGTGATGGGCAGATGGTGCTGCCACACGTGGCTCCAGGCTGTGCCTCCCGATTCATGACACAGTTAGCACTCTGAACGTGTTTATTGGCTTTCTGGGTTTCCTCTTCTGCGAAGTGCCCGTTCAATCATTTGTCTACTTCTTTCTTATTGAGTCATAGTTCTTTATGTATTTTGGATACCGGTCCTTTCTCAATTATGTGTTGCAAATATTTTTCCAATTTTTGGTGTGACTTTTCACTTTTTAGTGGCATCTTTTGATAACCAGAAGTTCTTGATTTTAGTGTTATCTAATTTATGTATATCTTGCTTTATGACTAGTGCCTTTAAAAAGAGCTCACTTAACAAATCCTTACGCAGTCAGCAGATTCAACCAACCGTGGATCGAAAATAGAGGCACGCGCCACATAACCACATTTTGGTCAACGACCCACCACCTGTGCCATGGTGGCCCCATGAGATCAGTGCCACACAGCCTAGGTGTGCAGAAGGCTATGCCATCTAGGTTTGTGTCAGTACACTCTATGATGTTCACACGACGACGAAATCGCCGAACGGCGCATTTCTCATCTCCTTCGTTAAGCAATGGGTGACTGTACCCGTATACTGTATTTTTGACCCTTGGATGCGGAACCCGTGGACATGGAGAGCCAACTGTAGATCTCTGAGCATCTGTGAACTTTGGTAGTGGAGGGTCCCCCATGGAGGGTCCTGCAACAAATCCCCTGCTGAGGCAGAGGGACGACTGTATACCCTGAGGACACAAGGATGTTATCCAGTATTATCTTCTAAAAGTTTCTACAGTTTGTCCTTTACGTTTATGTCTTTAGTCCACATGGAATTGATTTTTGTGAATACTACAAGGTGGGGGCTAATTTTATTAACGTTATGCCCACATGGGTACCAATTATTCCAGCAGCTCTTATTAAAACATCTATTCCTATCATCAGTCACACTCTTCAAAAACCAAGTGTCTGTGTGTGGATGGATTTTGTCCGGGCAGCGCTAATCAGCTCCCTGATCTCCACATTTACTTCTGCAAGAATACCAGTGTCTTTAATGGATGGAACTTCAAAGGAATGGTGAGGCACGTCTTCCTACATTGCCCCTTTTCTTCAAGAGTGTCTTGGCTATTCTTGACCCTTTCAAATACCACATATGGTTAAGAATCAGCTTTTCAAGTTGCCTACAAACACATAGACACACGCACACACAAAACTAGTTGGGGTTTTGATTGAGGTCACATTGACTCTATTTGGGAATTTTGACATCTTTACAATGTAACTCACACTCCAGGAACAATATATATCTCTTCATTTGTTTGGGTCTCTTTCAAATGTCTCTCTTTAAGTTTTATAATTTTCTCCACAAGTCTTGCACATCTTTTGTTAGGTTTATTCCTAGAGACCTCATTTTCAAAAAATGCTATAGTAAATGGTATATTTTTCCTTTTTCTAACATTTCTTACCAATATGTAGAAATGTCTATTTCATCCTCATTCTTAAAAGATACTTTAGCCATGTATAGAATCCTAGATTGACTTTTCGCCACCATATTAAAGGTATGATTCAACTCTGCTCTGGTTTCCACTAGTGTGAATGAAGTTAGTTAATCAGCAACTCCTTGGAAGAGATTCTGCTTTTATCACTGGAAGTTTAAAAATATATATTTTCTTTGCCTCATGTGTTTGTCACTTTACTTACAATGCATCTAGAATTTTATTTACCATGTTAGATTTACTGGACTTTGTGAATCTGTCAGTTGGTATCTTACGACAGTGCTGGTAAATTCTCAGCCATCATCTCTTTAAATAGTGTCTCTTCATGATTTTCTTCTCTGTTTCTGGGACTCTGATTACACGTATCACAGACTTCAAACTCTATTCTATTCACTTTCCTTCGTATTTTGCATTTCTTTGTCTTTCTGTATTTGAGTAATTTCTCCAGTTCTAGATTCTAATTCACTAATTCACTTCTCGACTGCCTAATATATTGTTAGATATATCAGTTAACTTTTTAATTTTCTTGGTATTTTTCATTTGTATAAGTTTTATTTGGTTCTTTTTCAAATGTGCTTGGTAATTTAAAAACTACTTTTCTGTTCTTTTCAGTTATTTTTACCATTGCCTTTTATTTCTCTAAATGAAATAATGATAGTTATTTTGTGTTTCCATCTGCTAAGTCCAATACCCGCATCTTTGTGTGTCCATTTATGCTATAGTTTCTGTTGATTCTGACTCAGAGTGCTTGTTGCCATGTGGAGCCAGTCGTGTGTTATTGAGAGCTGCTCATTTTCTTTGTAGTTTTATTTGTGAAAAATCCTGATGAAGAAGCCTGGGATGAAGGTTGGTTGCTCAGAGAGGAATTCTGCTCGGCATCTGGGAGTGGCCAGTCAAGAATGACTCGTTGCGAATTCTCAGATGGACGATCTTTTGGACCACTCACCCAGCACAAAGTTAGGGACAGCCTGTTGTTCCAAATACTCAGCAGCGATTTTTCTCTTTTCCTTTTCTTTTCCTCAGCTCCACGGTCTGAGATGGCTGATTATCCCCAAGTCCTTTGGGGTGGAGAATTGGGTTCCTTCTGGTTCACCACTACAGTGAGGGCATGGCCATTTCAGGGGCCAAACTTGAGGGGATGACTTACCGGCCTCCCCTTCTGGCTGTGCTCTGAGCTTGGTCTTCTCTTTCTCCTCCTGTAAAGCTGTGAAAATCAGGGCTGGCAGACGCCCCGGGGCAGAGGCTTCCGTGCCCACCGGGTTGTCTTTGGGCTTCCTCTTTGCCTCCGTCCCTGGCCTGAGAACCCCTTCCTGTCTTGCGTGGTCATGAAAGCCTTTCAGATCACTTGCCCCACATGCACAGTGCTCACACATCCACGGTGCTCGTCTGTCTGCATGTCCATCCGTCCTGGGAATCAACCTGCCCATGACCGGAACCCTGAGGCTCAGGCGCCATTTGTCTTCTTTTTCCCTCCCTTTTTCACTTACACCATTGGTTTGTATTTTATAATCCTTAAAACTCACTTAAATCTTTCCGGAATTATGTAGAAGTCACACTACCCCTCTCAGCCTCCCTCTCCTTTCTAGAAGCAGGAGTCGCTGATGCCCATACACAGCATGCTGAGCAGACTAAAGTTACGTGCTCGACCAGATTGTGCACTGTAAAGAAATGCACAACAACGAGACGTCAGTCCAGCAAACATCAGCTGTTTGAGTGTTGAGTATTTTTTAAAATGAGGTGACACCATTTCAGACGAGCTCTGGAAGGATTAGGACATGTGAACAATGAAGATTCTACCTGAAATTACTCAAAACGTCACAGGCAGGACACGGAGGCTGAGTCTGAGCTTCTGTAGAATGCATCAGACCTTCAGTTTCACTTGCTAACCAAACTCTCCATGGGACCTTGCTGTTTGTGGCCATAAGTAAGCTGGCCGCCACTGCCCATCAGACGTTCCACAGCTCAGCTATTTGCTGAGCCAGCTCTCAGCTATTTGCAGATGGTTTGCAAGCTTATGCTTCAGCCAAGTGTCCAGCTGCACGTCTTGGACCTACTGCTTTTTGGCACACAGAGCAGGTGGTGGGCAAGCAGGCTGGATATCAGGGCTATTTGCAGACACTCCATGTGAGCTCAAGCTTGTCCTCCATTTCGCTGAGACAAGTGTCCTGGACCCTGGCCATCCGCTGGCTTTCCGTAGGAAACAGTCAACTCTCTAGAGAACCTGGAGTAGGTCTCAACGTGACTCAAACTGCACAACAGCCTACCGAGAGCCAGAACTGCATCTCCAGCACGGTTCCCTTCCCCAGGCTGCTTCGTTTCTTCTTGATCCATTGCAACCTACAGAAAGAGAGAGAATCGGGCATATGTGATGTAGTCTTTGTTATCCTGCCAAAGGGGACAAAATGTAGCAACAAGAGTACATTTTAGAGACAGGCAAGTCTGGCTCTCCCACTGATGAGCTCTGGGATGTGGGCAAACACCTCACCTCTGCAGTCTCGGAACATTCTCTAGGATGTGGGGCCAGTCGTGGGCAATGACTGTGTTGGGTGGAGAACGTGGGCTTTTTCCTCTGCGTGTGCACCAGTAGAGGGACAAGAGGTGCTTTGCTTGATGAGTACGAGGGTCTCATGGCAACCAAGGAGACCCGTTTAGATTCCCGGCATGAGAAAGAGGGAAGTGTGGGGCACACAACAGTTCATCTCATACCTGGTAGCTTCTCCACACAACTCTGCTTGATGGTGTTGAGTTCAGCCTACCAGGGAGCCCAGGTGTGTTCATACCACATCTGAGTATAGGTGTTTTGATCCTTGCCCTGGTGCTGCCCTGGCCCAGCCAACTGGAGACTTCACTGTGCCATGCATGCTGGCTGGCAGAGAGGAAGTGTGGCCACAGTTCTGGGCCAGTCTTCCCAAAACGGCGGGCATGGTGCCTATTTTAACTTTCAGTGCTGACGTGGCATCAACCAGAGACTGGGTCTGTGAAAAACTTTTCTTTGAAAGTTTTGAAAGCAAAATGTCTCTAGGAGACTTCTAAATCAAAATAGCATATTTATAGTGCTATAGTCTCCCTTCTCTGCTCCAGCCCTTAAAAATGAAAGTCAGGATATAAACAGACACCTAAATGAGTAAAGATACGACTTCAAAGGAAGACAAGGAGGGAAATCCTTGTTGGGCCAGAAATAACGACGCCCTGAAGAAGAGAATGCAAATGGAACAGACGGCACAAGGATGTGGTCGGAGGAGCGTGCAGTACAAGACGGCAGTGACCCTCAGGAAACCCACTGTGGAGGAGGCTGTGCACGCCGGCGGCGGGTGGGCAGGGCTCCTGGTGGGGCAGTTAGTTGGGGGTGCGGCAGGCTGAGTAGCCAGGCCATTGACAGCTGCTGCAAAACTTCCTGAATCCTTGGGAACAGGGTGTCTGCCTGCAGACGACAGCAGAAGGAGCCGTAATCTTGATGGAGAAGGGCCGTGCAAGAATAATGCACAGGAGGAAGTGATGGGACTCAGAAAGCCAAGGCGAGCCAAGTATCACCAAACCTGAGCTACACCTTACTGACAACACAGGGAAAACAAAACATTAATTTGGAGTGAAAGTTAAAATGTGACAAAACACGGTAAGTGCAATAGCGGAGGACCATGGACTGGAGACTCGTGGGGAAGGATAGACATGACGACGGTGTTGCAAAAGTATGTTTTAAGCATGTAAATGAAGAAGTGCAGCCGTGGGTCACCCGAGCACGAAGTGATGGAGTGGGCAGCCTTAGAGGTCCGGCCTCCACTGAAGCAGCGTTATGCTGGAAAGAGCAGTTGGAATCCCCTAGCTCGCACTGGAACCTGATCACATACAGTCCGGCTGGGGCTGCCTGCGGAAGGGAGAGGCGGCTGATCTTTCAGAAGCCAGCAGTGTGTGTGGACCCGATGCTGCCCCACTCCTCAGTCCTGCTGCGGCTGCGGCTCCCTCATCCTGGGAGCAGCTGGCCGGTGCCAGGGAAGGCAGTGCGACGTTAGTGCTCCAAAAGCTCAGGTTGTATGTTCAGTTGGTGGCCATGCCCTGAGGTTCGGGCACAGGTGCTTGCCTTGGAGTCGGCTCTTCTCGCAGCAGTGCCTTCCCTCAGTGCCAACTATGGGGAGATTTAAAGACACAGAACCTTTCCCCTCTCTGCTTGCAGCCAGACATTGAAGGAAATCTTTTTCAGGTCACTGGCCGACCACAGAGGTAACAGAAGAGAAACTTCCGTGAAAAGATATGCATACTTTGCAAAAATAGTTTGGAAAAATCACAACAGGTAGTTCCAGCCCTCAACAGGAAAACAACTGCAATCCCTGAAGAGTGGGAGAATCCGATATGTAAAGTCACCACATTACAATACTCAGAATACCCAGTTCTCAACAAACATTACAGAACATGCAAAGAAACAGAAACATATGGCTCACTCACAGGAGAAAGAGAATTTGACAGAATTTCCCTCAGGAAGCCCAGACATTTGAATGAATAGTCAAAGACATTAAATCAGCTGTCTTAAATATGCTCAATGAGCCAAAGGAAATCACGGACAGATAACTAAAGGAAATCAGGAAAATGGTATATGAACAAATAATATCAATAAAGAGGCAGAAATTATAAAAGGGAACAAAACAAATTCTGGGGCTGAAAAGTACAAAAACCAAAATGAAAATTCACTAGAGCAGCTCAACAGATTTGAGCAGATGGAAGAAAGGATCAGCAAACTTGAAGACAACTGCAATGATCAGTGTGAGGACCAGAAAGAAGAAAGACTGACGGGAAGTGAGTAGAGTCTGGTGGACCTGTGGGAGACCGTCAAGGGTATCAACATATGCTTCAAAGGAGTCCCAGAGGGAGAAGAGAGGGGGAACAGAGAAAAGAAGAACTGAAGAAATAATCACTGACAATTTCCAAAATCTGATGAAAGATAGGAATCTACACATCCAAGAAGCTCAAACTGCGAGCAAGATAAACTCAAAACGATCCACACCAGGACACGTGACAGTCAGATTCTCAGAGCTCCAAGAGAGAATTTAGAAAGCAGCAAGAGAGAAGCAAGGAATCCCAAACAAAGATCCTCCATAAGATAACAGTTGATTTCCCATAAGAATCCACGGGGCCAGAAGGCAGTGGGTGACATATTTCAAGTCCTGAAAGGAAAAAGTCTGCCAATGCAGAATTCTATATCCACCAAAACTGTCTTTTTAGAACGAAGGAGAAATTAAGACATTCTCAGGCAAACAAACACTGAGGGAATTCATTACCAGTAGATCTGCCCCACAAGAAATGCTAAAAGGAGCCCTCCAGGCTAAAACAAAAAGACACTAGAATGTAACTCAGAGCCACAAGAGGAGATAAAGACCACTGGTAAAGATAACTCCACGTAAAGGTAAAGGTTAACATATAAGCCAGTGCTGTTCTACTGTGTTTGCAACTCCTCTCTTTTTCTATATGATTTAAAAGACAAATGCGTAAAACAATAATTATAAATCTTTGTCAATGGGCACACAACGTACAAAGACGTAACCTGTGACATTGGCAATAGAAGGAGGAGGGGTGGAGATGTATATGGAACAGAGTGTATACTGTTGAAAGTAAGGTGGTATTATTCAAACTAGATTGTTACACGTTTAAGATGTTAATTGTAATCCCCAACGTAACCACTAAGAAGATAACTAAAAAATATATAGAAAAGGAAAGAAGAAAGGAATCACAATGGCACAGCACGAACTTTCAACTAAATACAAAAAAGGCAGTGATAGAGGAATTGAGGAATAAGAAAAAAGATCTATACGGGAAACAAATAACTAAGTGAGGAAGTAAATCCTTATCAGTAATTACTTTAAATGTAATAGGATTAAGTTCTCCTATTAAAAGTCAGAGACTGGCAGATTAGGCTAAAAAAAAAACAACCACAATGTGATATCTATCTACAGGAGACTCACTTTAGATACAAAGACACAAAGAGCTTGAAAGTAAAAGTATGGAAAAAGATATTCCATGCAAATGGTAACCAAAAGAGAGCTGGGATGCCTATATTATTGTCAAACAAAAGAGACTTTAAGTCAGAACTGGTTACAAGAGACAAACAAGGACGTTATATATTGATAAAAGTTTCAATCCAGTGGGAAGATAGAACAATTATAAATATTTCACACACCTAACAACAGAGTCCCAAAATGTATGGATCAAAAGTTAGCAGAATTGAGGGCTGCCCCGTGGCAGAGTGGTGAAGTTCTGGTGCTCCGCTTCGGCCACCCAGGGTTTCACTGGTTCGGATCCCAGGCACAGACATGGCACCGCTCATGAGGCTACACTGAGGTGGCGTCCCACATGGCACAACCAGAGGCACTCACAACTAGAATGTACAACTATGTACCGGCGGGCTATGGGGAGAAGAATAAAAAAATTAACAGAATTGAGAGGAAAAAAAGAGAGAAGACTCAAATCACTAAAATCAGAAATGAAAGTGGGGACATCACCGTGGATTTTACGGAAATAAAATGGATTATAAGAGAATAATCTAAACAGTTGTATGCCAAGAAATTGGATAACGTAGATGAAATGGACAACTTCCTGGAAACATACAACTTGCCAAAACTGACTCAAGAAGAAATAAAAAAAATGCAGAGGTAACAACTTCCAGTTAAACACAGCAGACTGACCAAGCTTGTTTACACAGTCCCTGCAAATATCTGCCAAAAAATAGGCAAAGATGAACAAGTACAAGCTCAAAAAGACATAGCCAGAGGGAAGAGGAGAGCAGATGAAAGCTTAACACAGTGTTAGAGGAAGGAAAACAGATGGCTGCAGAGCTCACAAAGCTGTCACTGAAGTGGCTGTGGAGAAGGACACTGAGCTGAGGGCAGCCATCTGCACAGACTGCTGGACCCAGGGCCGTGGCGGGCAGCAGGGGCAGGAGGGAGGGGTGAGGATGGGGAGGAGACATGCCGTTGAGCATGGGGGAGGTGGGTCAGGGTTCACGTGTGGAACATTTAGCTGACCCTGCAGAGCCAGCAGCCAGGCTCACCCACCTCACAGGAGGCAAGAAGGCTCTGACGTCAGGGCCCCAGAAATGTGGAGGGTCGGGTGGTGGTGGGAGGCGCCAGGCAGAAAAGAGGGCCCCTCAGGGGCAGTTATACTGAGTAACTTGGGCCCTTCTTGGAAGAGAGAAAGGGAATACTTCTTGTCAGAACTGACGAAGCTGTGGAAAGTAAGACACTAGGGCATTAGTGCAGGGTTAGACAAATTGACCAATGAAAGTGATCTGAGAGCCCAGAAACAGACTCACAAATGCCATGCACTGTCTTCCAATACATTGTGTTGACACACTGTGTTGAGCTTTGTTATGGGACAGAGGGGGCTGTGACATCAGTGGGGAAATGAGGGACTCTTCAATGAACAGAATTGGAAAAATGGAAATCCACATGGGAAACAATGAGTTTGGAGCCCTACCTCACATCACTCACTCAAATAAACTGTGACAGTGTAAGGACTCACCTGTCAAAATCAAACACTTAAAACTCCTAGTAGAAACTATAGATGGGTCTGTTTTATATCTTTTGGTGAAAGATTTATTAACCAAGACCTCAAAGCATTATCTATAAAATATCTGTAAATGTGCCTATATTGAAACGCATGGGTCTGGTTCATCAAATCTCACGTTAAATTAAACGCGGAGTCAAGCTGCACAGTGACACTCTGTCTGTACTTCACTCAACTGACAGGATCTGTATCAAGAAGGTAGAAATAACTCACATAAAGCTATAAGAAAAGCAGAAAGAGCCTAAGAGAAAAATGGGCTGAGGACATGAGCAAGTACTCCACATGAGGAAACTCATGCGGCTGATGTGCATTCAGCACCATTAATCATGAGGGGAATGCAGGGAGACCCCACAGTCGGCTGGCCGTCCGCACCCCACGACCTGCAGCTCCGAGTGTTGGAGAGGATGCGCATCCGTGGAATTTCTCACACGTGGTTGTGAGAGTGTAGACCGTACAACCGCTTTAGGAAGCAGTCTGGCTGAACGTTCACATACACAGCAATTCCACTCCTAGGAGTAGGCCTTGCACCCTACAAGAGGAGAGGTGTCAAGATGGGGCATGGCAGCAGCCGTGTGGCAGCAAAACCCTGGAAACCATCCCCATGCCCATCCTCAGCAGAGTGGATGGATAAATGTGGTATGGGGAGAAATGTTACAGAGAAAACAAAGTGGACACATTGACACAATTTAGTATCAAGTGAAAAAGGAGATTCCCCCAAAATCCCAAACCCCACACACAGGTGCTGTCCCTTCTGCAAGACAAAAAGTAGCCAATGTACTGCGTGTGGGCACTTTTCAGGAGCGTGGACAGTCTAAAGCACAATGTTCAACGGAAAACCAGAGTGAAGAGCGTGGTGGGTGCCAGGACTCCGAGGGGCCACATAGGCAGAGGGAGGCCTCAGGACCCTGCCCTTCTGGGTGGGGCTGCTTCTTTTGTTACCAAAAATAAGTAACTAGAATGCTCAGTAAATTAAAAGAGCAGGTCGTGCCCAGGTCAACGGTGAGTCTGTCCCCAGCCAAGGATTATGATCAATGCAATTCCGTGCACCAAGGTCCAAAACAAGTGTGTGTGGTGGGGAGGCCACTCCCATCGCCTGGGCATCACCCCGAGCCAGCCACTGGGCAGCAGTGCTCACGGCTCCTCATGCAGTCTGCACACACTTTCTCCTCTGGGAAATGGATATCAACGTCCCCTTAGTTCCTTGGGAAGAAATAGGGCCTCAGAGCGGTTTAAGAAACTTCCTCAAGGTTATAAAACCAGTAACGTCTCCACACGAGAATGGAAGCCAGGTCTGTCTGATGCCAAAGTCCAAGTGCACTTTATGGTGCCAGTTAGTTTTCCAACCACTCGGCTCAGAGCAGCAGGCCTTGGAGCCACCTGCAGAGGGGCGAGCCCAGGGCTGCAGGATCAGACGCAGGTTCCGGACTGAGCCTGCGGCTGAGAGAAGGTCACGGGCCGGCTCTGGGGGTGTGGACCAGCCACCGGCATCAGACTCTCAGGGAATGTGGCAGTGGGGTTAAGGGCCAGGGTCTGACTGCCAGTGGTCAGGATGGGGCTCTCCTAAACGGAGTGCAGGATGAAGCCTAGACTTCAAGTGCATCCTTCTGAGTCTCTGCTGCTGCGGAAGCGAAATTGGGCCGCAGGTCTGAAAGAGACGGGAAGTCAAGCACTGCAGGCTCCCCTCGCGGCATGAGTCACTCTGGGAGGGAGCGCCCCGGAGGTCTGTGCAGACCTGTGCGCCCTTCGGCCCCATGGCAGTCTCGGCTTCCGCTCTCCCTTCGACAGTCTCTACACTCACCTGCTCACCAGGCTGTTCCACCTGAGCCTCTGCCCCTCGTGCACCTCTGCCTGGGCCGCCCGGTCCTGCCCACATCCCGTCCCGGGTGTCGTCAGCACTTCTCAGCCATGTGCCTCGTCTGCTGGCTTCCTCGCTCAGTTTGCCTTTGGCCTCTGCGTGTGTCTCACACGCACACTCACATGCTCTATTTTTTGACTATGCGTTACACGCACCATCTTTATTCCCCGTCTGTTTCCTACACACACAGTTATTCCCCAACATTCTATCATGAAAAATTCTGAACATACAGAAAAGTCAGAGGGATTGTCAGAGAAGCTCCGTGCCGTTACTGGCGTGTTGTCCTGCGTCCCTCACCACATAACAGCCCAGCACGTTCCGTTCAGAGCTGGCTGCAGACAGCAGCGCACTTCGCCGAGCGTGCATGAGGCTTCAGCTTTAGTAGCAACCCGTTTCTGCACTTTATCTGCTTCTGTCACACACACGTCCCACAGTCATGGGTATTTTCTGTCCCTCACTCTTTCTTCTATTCCCCGCTCACCTTTGTTGCATTTGAGTAGCATTCTGGGCACAGTGAATGCTTAACTCAGTCGAGCAAGCCGTCCAGAGTCTCCCGTCCACCTCATTTTGGAGGGAGCCTCAGACCCGACTTTGGGCCCCCAGCCCTGCACGCAGACTCCGCGGCTGCTGCCCGTGCTCACCTTCAGCGTCCAAGCACCCTCCTGGGCGCCCTCTGGGGCGACGACAGCGGTGGAACTCAGACTTGAAGACAGAAACAGCGGTGGTGGCGGCAGGAACTCCTTCCGCTTCACTCTGCTAGGGAGGGCGGGAACGAAGAGACACGTCAACACAGAAGGCCCTCGCTGTGGGGTGAGTGCCCAGGGCGCTGCGAGGGCTGCGAAGTGCCACAGAATGTCCCGTCACGTGGTTCCCTCGTGTTGGCACAATCTCAGGAACAGGCCAGGCCGCTCCTGGGGAGCTCTGTGAGCACTTGAGAGCTTACTGTACAGCAAACAGGCATGAGACTCATGTGGGAGAGACCCTCACGCCTGTCGGGGGTGGTGCAAAGGCGTGCTCTACCCGCCAAAGGAAAATCAGAACCAGCCACGTGGTGGATCTTAGCCGAGTGCAATGCCTTTAAAATCAGATAAGTAGCAGCCTCATGTGTGATGGACCCTACTCTCTTATTCGTATTTTCAGTCCATGTGGTCAATTTCTATACAACCATTCAACAGATAAATAGACCAGAAGAAATTCTCCCAATGAGTTAGTCTGACAGCTGCCACTGGGAAGAGACGTTTGATAAAGTCCTACACAACGTTTTCCACGAAAATGTGCCTGTGATTAACATCATCACAGACCAAGGCACTAACTGAGTGGACACGTTTTCCGTCAGCATGGTGTAGACGGACAAAGGCCCTGCTCTCCAGGACCTGCTAGAGTAGGTGTGGCCCAAAGAGCGAGGCTGTGAGTGGTTGTCTAAAGCACCAATTTGACCAACTGGATCCAAACTATTAGATTACCCCAGAAATACTTTCCGCAATTACAAAAGGACTAATAGTATTTTATTGCCCAGTGTATCTATAAGATTTATGGACTCACACAGCGTTAGTGTAATCCTGACCTCATAACCAGCCCTTTAATTAAACAAGGTTAGCTCGTTTTCTTGTTGGAGAAGTAAAGTCAATCCATGGAAAGTGAAAGAATATCCCCACAAAGAGGAATATAGTACATTTCAAGGATGGAATAGTTTATACTCAATAACATCACATCATATTTTTTCTTTTAACTGAACAATGTTCAAAATCTATAGAGTTTAAAGAACCAGTCTCCTGACAAGCTGTACAGTGAGTTGCTTTGTCCCCTAGGGCTGCAGAATGAAGCAACAGTGACGCCCCCCAAGAACCCAGGCCCCCTATTCTCAGGCCCAGAACGCGGGAGCTTCCCACAGGAAGATTTTGTTTGGGGGTGGAGCTTCCTGAGCAAGACTCGCCAGAGTGTGGGCTGGCACTTCCTGCCCCTCGCTCACCAGGGGAGACTGACTTCCGGGTTGTAACTGTCTCCTTGTGGGGCTATGATGCTGGGGAAACAGCATGGGTCCCTCACACAGTAATGTCATGCAAGTTGTCCGTTGATATGTTGTTGGGGGAATAAAAAAGGAAGCTTCAGACTAATGTGTGTGGTATAATAACTTTTCAATGTGGGTGAACTTTTTGTACTTGCATGGGGAAAACACCTGTGGCTCCACCCTCTGTGTTAAAGCAGTACTCTTGAGGTGGAAGTCCAGGAGAGAAGCGGAGAATATTTTTATTTATATGCTGCTACCGTATTTAAGAGCTACCTGAGCAGGCATCACAGCTATGAGCTTTGAGAAGACAGCAGGCATTACAGACTACCCCCCACTCCGTCTACAGTTGCCCCGCGATCCAGGGCTGCTGGGTTGGAGTGAGTAAGACCAGCTTGGTGCACTGAGTCATCATGACCCAGGCTGCCCCAGGCGCCATTATGAGTCAGGGGTCTCGGGGGTCCCCAGAGGAACCCTGAGCAGTTCGCACAACCAGGCTGTGTGGGTCCGTCTTCCAAGCAAGAGACGGGCGCCTCCCTCGCACCCCCTCCCTGACTTCTGTCCCTGTCTCTGGGCTTGGCCTCCCAGTCCCCGTCCCCAGCGTGGCCATCTGACTCCTCTGTCAGCAGAATGGGCTTCATGGTCACGGCACGGGCCCAGCAGGGAGCCCGGGCCACGACAGCAGCGGCCAGTGGGCTGTTCTGTGCTGGGTGGGGGCAGGACGCTTCCGTGTGGGACCCAGCGCAGCCTCCCCGACACCTGCTCAGCAGTTAGTGGACCCTCAGGGAGAGGGCGAGGGCAGGGGGACCTGGAAGGGAGGGGCATGTGTGTGTGTGTTTCCCTGGGATGGTTCAATACATGCTTTTTCCTTTTGTATTATAATTCTAAAATTGTAACAAATGCCTCTAGATGAAAAGTTATTGAGGTCAGAGGGTAAGGATGCAGTACCCAAACACTTAAAACAGAGGAGAATGTTTTCTAGGAGTACTCTGTCAATGACCCAGGTACCGTGCTCACTGTGTGCTCAGGTAGATAGTGCAGAGAACAGAGAATGGATAACTTACTTTACTGTTGTGAGTATAGCTCTTTGACAATATTCTACGAGAAGACAGCTTTTCAGGGCTGCACGCAGTTTCTCACGGGGACAGAGTGCGCTCTGTAAACTGTGTGCTTGAAACTGGATCGCCATCTTTCTACCCTTCCTGCCTTTGTGAATTGAAGGTGAAAAGACCTGTGTGCTTGGGGTCGGCCTGTGGGCGCCGATTCTGCGTCAGGCCTGTCGTCAGCGAACGTATCTACTAAGCGGCTACTTGACTCAAGAACGAGTCAAAAGGACAAGCCCTGACTTAACCCAACACTATTACAAACCATTAAACGGGCAGCCAGCCTGGTAATGCTACACACGTTCACAGAAGAGAAAAGAGATGAGCATCACTTATATCTGTGCATTAGTTCGGATGTTAGTTGTGAAAATGTAGAGAAGAAATATTATAACTTTTCAGGGACTCTAAGTGCAATAAGCTACATGAATGGCTATCAGTGTCAATAATGTTACCTGAAATGATTTATTTTCTATTATGCCTTCACAGTCTTTTAAAATATCCCATTCTAGGTGAGTTATTTTCCTAAGTAATTCTAGTTGAGATGAGTGGACAGCTGTGTGTCGGACGGATAAAGCAACTCCAGGGAGCTCAGGAACTTACCCAAGAGCAGGTGTTCTCGGTCGGCTGTCTGCTTCCTGTGAGGGTGCAAACAATAATGCACAAAATGAAGAAGGAAGGAGCTGTTGACGCAGAGCTTATTCTTAAACAAAATGCAAGTCCATTATTGGTCAGTTTCGAGTGATGGTACCCCAGGGGCTCCTGGGTCCGGGAGAAAGGATCTCTGGTGGGACAGTATCCTTCTCCCACTCCTTGTGCTCTTATGGCCTGAATTTGTCCCCTCCGATTTCATATGTCGAAGTCCTAACCCCTCGTAACTGAGAACGTGGTGGCATTTGGAGACAGAGCCTTTAAAGAGGAGATGAATGTTAAATGAGGTCACTAGGGTGGGCCCTAACCCGACAGGACTGGTGTCCTCATACAAAGAGGAGATTAGGACGAAGGTACATGCAGAGGGATGACCACGGGAAGACGTGGTGGAGATGGCCAAGGAGGAGGCCTCTGAAGAATCCAACCTTGGCCACACCTTGATCTCAAACTTCTGCCTCCAGAACTGTGAGAAAATAAATTTGTCGTTTAAGCCACCCAGCCTGTAGGACTTTGTTACGGCAGCTCGAGCAAAGACACACATCCTGTTACACATGCACAGGTTTTCATTTCTCTCTGGTGAGAACCCAGCAGTGAGAAGGCTGGGTCATGTGATAAGTATATATTTCACTTAAGATCCTGCCCCGCTGCTGGCTGACAAGGTGTCAATTTGCATTCCTATTTTAACCCCACCAGCTACTCTGCATCCTCACCAACACTTGGCATTGTTCGTCTTGTTCATTATAACCGTTCTAGTGAGTGTGTAGCGATCTGTGCTGGTTTCCGCCTCTGAGAAGCGGGGATAATACGATTACCTGTCTGTGAGGCTTTTTGCAAAGATTAAACGAGATAATCCACGTGCCAGCGCAGTTCCCGTCCTCTCCCATGTTCTCAAAGAGTTTGTGTACGGTTGTTATCATTTAAAAAAAGTTTGGTAGAACTCACCAGGGTAGTCACCAGGACCTGGGATTTTCCTTTTTTTATTTATTTAGTTGTGGCAATTTGTGTAAATTGACTGGAAAGGTAACTACTTTTCTTAAGCGAGAATGCGTTTTTCAGAATTAAGCATGGAAATGTCGAGACCCAAACCTATAATATTACTATTGTAGAGTTTGGAAGCCATCTGTCATATGTGGTATTTATGGTTTGAATGCAGAAGAGAATTTGTCCCGCAGTGGGTGAGCCCTCAGGGGCTGAAAGCTCTCCCCATACTCAGGAGGGGAGCTGGGCAGCGATACCTGAGCTTGGCCACTACAGTGGAAATAATAAAGATCTGTCTCAGAGAATTCTTAGCAGGATTACATGTGATGATGGATGACAAGTGTCTGTCACAAGTGAGTGAGTGGCAACAACAGAATCAGGGCTGCCTGGGATTCCTGAGACGGGGTGGTGGTAAGGTGACCGTGAGACTGCGTGGTCACACGTTCTAGAGGTGCGGTCAGCAGCTGCACCTCATGGAGAAGAAGGCTGAGTGCGCCCACCTGGACAGACCAGCATAACTCGATGGGGTGCATAGTCAACACTTGCACACTTATTATTCCTTTGCTTTTTGAAAGCTGTCCCTGTCACTCTGATGGAACTGTCTATACACTTGTGCCCATGTGTGGCATCCACCACACAAGAAGGGATGGCAGGGGTAGGGTGCCGACAGATGCGGTACTTGTCACCACCACTGTTCTGCCTCCTGGAATGCAGCACCATCCTGGTCTTCCCCAGGAGCTGGCTCTGGCTGCAGCCCCATTTACGTAAGTTACTGGGTTCCCTCAACATGCATAAATGATGACAGGCTGGATGGCAGGAAGTGGCCGGGATGGGTCACGCATAATTGTGTTGCGTGGTTGAAGCTATGACTTTGTCAGGTACACCCAGTCCCCACTGAGGACCAGCCTCCAGTATCTCCAGCACGGACTCTCACTCCGGCCTCAGCTCTGGACGGCTCAGTAGTGAACTCACTGGTCCAGGTATGTCCCTCGTGGGTGGACCTTGTCCTCCCCACTGACCAGGGAGAGGATCAGGTGAGCCCTTCCACTGTGACGGTAAGTGGGTTGTTTGAGACCAGGAGGGACTCACAGATCCTACTACCAGAATCACTCTGGGTACATGTGAGGGGGGTGCAGACACGTGGAGCCAATGGCAGATGTCAGGGCACCTCACAGGGCACTCACGTGATGCTTCCTTAGAGTAACCCCCACTGTTGTAGCCAGCTATCTCTCTGTCACACACACGTATCCCACACTTAGAAATATTTTATGTCACCCACTTTATTTTTCTTTTACTCCCCACCCACCATTGTTCCCGTTTGAGTAGCTTCCCTGAGAACACTGTAAATGCTTAAGACCAAACAAGCAAAGGAGAAAATACTGTCCAAACCTCAGTTCTCGGGGGAAGCCTTAGACCCAACCTTCGGCTCTCCCCCTGCATTTGAGGCTGGTGCCCAGCGGCTCTGCTCTTAACTTCAGCAACGACGAGGAGTTCTCTGGGTGTATGGTGACGACAAAGGACTGACTTGGGTCCTTAAGTGGAGGCGGGAGCTCCTCAGACTTCACCCTGGTGGGAGGGTGCAGGAGGAAGGAAAGACACAAGTCAGCAAGGAAGGACCTCACTTCGTGGGGGGTGCTCAGAATGGGCTACTGAAGGCTGCAAAGCATCACGCAAGGCTCATTGTCGTGGTTTTCGTTTTTTCTGTAGAACCTTGGAAACCAGAGGCTCTTGGGACGCTGTTTGACTGCTCTCGAGTTTCCTGCATGATGGGAAACCCCAGGGAAGGGAGCAGGGGAGGAGTCAACTGGGAGCGGGGCCAGAGAAGCAGTGAGAGAAGTCTGGACCAGCAGGCGGAGAGTGGTGCCACGTGCCCCCGCAGGTGCGGAGGAGAGCGCGGCCTGGAAAGGCCTTGGGTTTGGCAGGAAGGAGACTGAGGATTGCCAAGAGGACGGCGGGGAGAGGTCACGGCGTGAGTTGTGGTCTTCAGTAATTTGAACCGGAAGGCAGAAGACAGAGAACTTGGGAAGGAGCAGTCTTGGTTACCCTGCTTAGGCGGAGAGGGTATTGGGTGCCTAAAAACCTCAGGTCAAGGCAGGCGTGAAACCAAAGGCCCTCACTCCATCTCTCTCTGAGTGACCACAGGAGTCTCCTGACTGTCTTCCTGCCGTCTCGGGACAGCCACTGTCCACTCAGCTACCAGAGCCATTTTGGAAAGCATGGATCCTGCAGTGTTCCTTCACTGGTCAAGACCTTCCAACACCATGGGCGTCCTTACTGGTCCTCCAAGTTCAACCTCAGCATTCCTGGATTAGAATCCCTGGGACACTGGATAAAAACAGATTCCTGGGCCCCAAGTCAACCTACAGGATCAGCACCTCTGGGGAGATGGGAAGCGGCATTTTCACACAGCCCCTCCCAGGGCTTTGCATGGCTTGTCCCTCCAGATCTCACAGCCCGTGCTACTTCGCCCCCTCAAGGCCTCCGCTCCCCGCCCCCTCCTCAGATCACCGGATCAAAAACGCTTCCTGTCGTCACTTGCTCTCTCTTGACCTCAGTCTTCTTCACAACGTGTTCACAAGCTAAGATGTAATTATTGTGTGTATATTGGCTGATGGGATTTGTCTGTCTCATTCATCACATTTCCTGTGCTTGGAACAGTGCTTGGTACGTAAAAGTCACTCAACACAAATGTGTTTACAATTCCAGTCGACTATTGATAACGGTGCACAGAAACGATATGGCAGGCAGAATGCGGGTCTTCCGTCTCAGCCCATGGTGTCACATCTCTGAATGTCTCATTACACACCAAAAATACTTTACAGATGGAGTTAAGGTTACTAATCAGTGACCTTAGATAGGAGGTGTAGGGGGTTGAAATGTGTCCCCCCCCACACAAATTCTTGTCCCCCTGGAACCTCAGAATGTGATCTGAAGTTGAAATAGGGTCTTTGTAGATGAAATTAGTTATGGATGATCTTGAGATGAAGTCAGCCTGGGACTAAGGTGGGCCCTAAATCCAGTAACTGGTGTCTTTACAAAAGGAGGAGACAGCACAGAAACACTGGGGAGAGGTCATGTGAAGAGGGAGGCAGAGACTGGAGGGACGCTGCCAAAGCCACAGAATGCCAGGAGTCACCAGAATCTGGAAGAGGCAGAGAATCCGCTCCTAGAGCTCCCCAAGAGAGAGCGCAGCCCTTGCAAGACCTTGATTTTGGACCTCTGGCCTCCAAAACTGTGAGAGAACAGATCCCTGTTGTTTTAAGCTGCCCAGGATACGGTAATCTGTTGTGGCACCTCTAGGGAACGAATACAGGAGGATTATGCTGGATTACCCAAGTTGGCCCCCGAGCCTCTAAAAACAGAGAAATGAGGACGAACAGTTGAGAGAGTTTCAAGACTTGAGAAGGACGTAGGCTGCCACTGCTGACTTGAAGTGAGGGGGAAGGCGAAAAGCAGGACAAGAAAGGAATTCTGTCAACATCCCAAACGAGCTTGAAGAGGGAGCTTCACCAGAACCTCCAGCATGAATGAACCGTGGCGACACACGATTGCCGTCTTGCGGGATGCAGAGGACCCCATCTCATTCGACCCAGTTTCATTCACGGCGATTTCTGCCCCACGGAAACTGTCAGATGAGTGCTTTAAGCCACTGCGTGCTAACGTGCTACGCAGCAACAGAAAACCAACACAAGCCACTCGGTGGCCGTCAGCTGAGCAGAAACCCTTTAAAATTAGGTGAGATGCATCTTAGTGTGTGTGATCCTCTTCCCTATTCGTATTTTCATGCTATCCAAGTAATATTCCATAAGAGGTAAGCAGTCCAGGAGAAATACTCTTAAGAAATTGGTATGATAAGCACCACTATAAGACACTTTATAAAGTCCTACACAAAATTCTCCTGAAACAGGCACATGACAACATCATCATGCTCCACAGGCACTTACTGAGGGGATTTTTTCCATTGGCATGGGGTCACACGAGTTAGATATATTTCCTGATCTCTAGGAACTGAGTGCTGACCTGCTATAGCAGGCTTGGCCTGAAGAATAAGGCTGTGATTGGTTATCTAAAGTGCCTGCTTAGTCAACGGGATCCACACTATTCTCTTACCCTAGAAACATTTCCTGCAACAAAAAAGGACTAACGGTAATTTATTTCCTATTTCCTCTAGAGGATTTGTAACTTACATAATATTTTGATCACATTTTACACATTACTGGCCCTTTCATTAAATACTGTTAGCTCATCTTCCTGCTGGAGAAGCATAGACTGGATTGAAAACGAAAAACATTCCCGTAAAGATGAATACGATGCACCCCAAGGTGGAAGAGTAGCCTTAAAAGTCTCATCTTTTCGGGGGGCTGGCCCCGTGGCCGAGTGGCTAAGTTCACACGCTCCGCTGCAGGCGGCCCAGTGTTTCGTTGGTTCAAATCCTGGGTGCGGACATGGCACTGCTCATCAGACCACACTGAGGCAGCGTCCCACATACCACTAGAAGGACCCACAACGAAGAATATACAGCTATGTACCGGGGGGCTTTGGGGAGAAAAAGGAAAAAATAAAATCTTTAAAAAAAAAAAGTCTCATCTTTTTTTTTAATAGAATGAACTTTACAACACATGGGGTATAAAAAGTAGGCTCCTAAACATTGCATATGATCATTATTTTACAAAAGAAAATGTATGTATATAATGCACAGAAAAATTATTAAAAGACTTAAAAGATACAAATCAAAATTTCAGCAGTAGTTCTGGGTGGGTGGGGGACTCTGAGCGTCCTCCGTTTTTACCGGGAATTTTGTATTTCCAAAGTTTCTCTAATGAACATGCGCTGATTTGTCAATCCAAAGAAAAATTTGTAAGGTGAAGGTTTATCCTCTGGTTCCAGTTAGGTTTCTATCATTCTTGCCAGAAAAGGAGAAATGGGAAAATGTTCTCAGACTTCACTTAAAGGATCATAGTTAGACGATGGTTGGAAGTGAAATTCAAAATGGTTGGATTTACACAACAGTATTGCCAATCAGGTCTTGAAAGACGGCAAGTTGGAAGAAAAATTATTGGGTTGTTTGAAAGAGAATGACGTTTTGACGCTAAACTAGATGTACCGCTGCCTGTCACACTAAGGACAAAGCTAAGAAACTCTCGGCATTTGAGAAAGGGACCAACGGGGCATGACTCGCAAGATTGCCTTCATGACCAGGGAGCCCCTCTGCCCCTTGGGCTGCAGGATGCAGGGAGAGCCCAGGCATGCAGGCCCCCCTCTGTCCCTGAGCAAACTGGGCGGCTGCTCCGTGCCTTTGCATGGAGGGCGGGGCTCCGGGCCCCTCAGCAGAGGTGCGGCCTGTGCCCCAGGCGCCTCTTCCACCATGAGGAGAGGGGCTTCCACGACTTTTCTGTGCCTGGATGGGAGCGGGGATGCTGGGGAAGAGCACTGGTGGCCTCCCAAGTGAAGCTGTAAATTCAATGCAACGCCAATCCCAGACCCAGGTTTCTTAGAATGGACAAAACGATTTTAAAGTTTACATGGAAAAATGAATGTGTACGCATTGTTGAAAGTTTAGAAAAATGAAAAAAATCTTGAGAGGAATTTGTCTACCAGATAGCAAAAGGTAGCGAGAGGCCAGCCCTGGGTGGAGTGGTGAAGTTCGCAGGCTCCGCTTCAGCGGCCCCGAGTTTGCTGGTTGGGATCCTGGGTGTGGACCTAGCACCACTCATCAAGCCATGCTGTGGCGGCATCCCACATGGAAGAACTAGAAGGACTTACAACTAGGATACACGACCGTGCACGGGGGCTTTGGGGAGCGAAAAAAAGAGGAAGATTGGCAAGAGACGTCAGCTCAGGGCCAATCTCTCCTCACCAAAAAAATAATGATAATAATTTTAAAAATTAATTAAAAATTTGAGAAAAGCACATAAAAGGTAGCTAAATGAAGTGCTACAATAGAAACAGCACAGCTGGTGCAGGACACAGATGAATGCAACAGAAACAAGTGTCCAGACTTAATGTTGGTGGGAACTCTGGACATTAAAAAAGAGCCTTTGACTTTGATGGGGAAAGGTAGATTATTCAATAAATGAGGTGGCAACCAATAGTTACGTCATTGGGATAAAATAACCCTGACCCTATCTCACTGTACACAAAAACAAATTCAAGGTGGCTTGAAAATAAAAATGCAAAGTAGGCAAATAAAAGCTATGAACATATTGGAAAGACTACCAGAGGATATTTCTATAATCCTGAAGAAAGGAAGGCTCTTAAAGGTGAGACAAAAGAAAATTTTGACCAATTTGGCTTCAGAAAAATTTGTGACCTCTACATTGCAAAAGACACAATAAAGAAATATTTTTAATGATAGACTGGATGAAATATATTTGAAACACATGGAACAAAGAGTTCATTCATATCTTTAACAGGCAAAGACTTCTTAAAATTGATAAGAAATATACAAATGACTCACTATAAAAATGGGCAAAATATTTGAAACCCTAATTCACACAAGACAAATTGTACAATGTTCAAACAGATGAAACGATGTACATTCCCACTGGCATTAAGAGAAATGCACACAGAAACAATTGTTTTATTTGGATAAAACTAAATAGATTGTCAGTATTTTCTGCTGAAAAGTTTGAGAAAACTGATGGAAGTGCAAGTTACTCTAATCTTTTGGGCAAGGAATCATGAAGAACCTATGAAGATTTAAAATGCACAGGCCCTTTGACTTCTGGACATCCTACAGAAATAAAACCAATTGTTCCTGACAATACAGGCACAAAGATGCTTCTTGTAACTCTGTTTGCAAAACCCAAACCTGGCCATAAGCTCAGTGTCTATCACGGGATGGCCGACTAAATCATGGTATATCCATTCCATGGAAGAGTATGAAGTTCCTGATGAGAAGGAATGATGTCTACATGACATGTCATAAAAGTTGCCCACGATACATTGTTGGGGGTATAAAATAGGAAGCTGCAGACTGACATGCATGGTATAATTTGAACTACTTCCTCTCAGTTGTTTGTATATGGATAGCAAACAAAGGTGGAGGAGCTCACACACTCTACTGTTAAGATACTGCCCTGGAGGTCATATCGGGAGGGGAGATGGGGAATATTTATATGCTGCTACCGTATTTAAGAGCTACCTGAGCAGGCATCACAGCTATGAGCTTTGAAAAGACAGCAGGCATTACAGACTGCCCCCCACTCCGTCTACAGTTGCCCCGCGATCCAGGGCTGCTGGGTTGGAGTGAGTAAAACCAGCTTAGTGCACTGAGTCATCATGACGCAGGATGCCCCAGGCGCCATTATGAGTCAGGGGTCTCGGGGGTCCCCAGAGGAACCCTGAGCAGTTCGCACAACCAGGCTGTGTGGGTCCGTCTTCCAAGCAAGAGACGGGCGCCTCCCTCGCACCCCCTCCCTGACTTCTGTCCCTGTCTCTGGGCTTGGCCTCCCAGTCCCCGTCCCCAGCATGGCCATCTGACTCCTCTGTCAGCAGAATGGGCTTCATGGTCACGGCACGGGCCCAGCAGGGAGCCCGGGCCACGACAGCAGCGGCCAGTGGGCTGTTCTGTGCTGGGTGGGGGCAGGACGCTTCCGTGTGGGACCCAGCGCAGCCTCCCCGACACCTGCTCAGCAGTTAGTGGACCCTCAGGGAGAGGGCGAGGGCAGGGGGACCTGGAAGGGAGGGGCATGTGTGTGTGTGTTTCCCTGGGATGGTTCAATACATGCTTTTTCCTTTTGTATTATAATTCTAAAATTGTAACAAATGCCTCTAGATGAAATTTGTTGTTAAAGGGTAGGAATGCAGTATCTAAATACGTTAATGTTTAAAACATTGAAAAATGTTTTCTAAAAGTAACCTTTGCTTCCAGTTCTATTGAGACGTACGTGACATATAACATCATATAAGGTTAAGGTGCACAACATAATCATTCAATGTTTGTATATACTATGAAATGATTACCACAATAAGTTTAGTTAATATCCATCACCTCACATAGTTACAATTTTTTTCCTTATAATGAAAACTTTTCTCTCTTAGCAACTTTCAAACATACAATCCAGTATTGTGAACTAGTCTTTTTTTTTTATATCAGAGAGGTAATATATGCACCTTGTGTTCTGAGGAAAATACAGTGGGGAACAAGAATTAAAAAATGTGCTTGTTGCTGTGGTTGCATTGCGTCTTCTCGAAAATGCCATATTGGAGTCCTGGTCCCCAGATCAGGGTGCAGACAAACTAATACAGATTTTGGTACAGGGAAGTGGGCTGCCGTTGTTACAAATATCTAAAAATGTGGAATTGACCTTGGAATTGGGTAATGAATAGAGGCTTAAAGAGTTTTGGGTGAATGATAGAAAAAGCCTAGATTGCCTTCAAAAGACTGTTGGTAGAAATACAGACATTAAAGGTGAGATTTCAGAAAGATTTCGGCGCTGTAGAGAAAGCTTCTATCATCTTAGAGAATTCAGGTATCATCATGAACAGAAAGTTGCTAGAACCATGAAAGGTCACGGTGCTTCTGGAAAGGTCTCAGATGGGACAAAAGGAAGGAAGGCCATCAGACTTCAGAGTTCTCCTGCAGGAAATAGGCCTGCGGAGCTTTCTGGCTGTGACATGCGTTATCCTTTAAGAGAAGGGAAAATGCTCCAAGATCAGGACCACCTCCTTGGTTCCAGAGGGTGAAGCCACCACCTCCATTCTCAAGGGCTGCTGTCTTTGTTAAGCAGAATTGGCGCTCAAGATGAACCAGACAGCATGAAGGTGCCTGATGGTGACTCTCACGGTTTTGTCCGGCAAAGTGAATGATTAGAGGACTTGGGGCTGAAAAAGTCTCAACTGATTCTCAAGTTTTAAATGGGTAAGAAACCCAGCTTCCTGGCTGGAGCTGGGCGTGGTAGGGCCATTAACCGGGTGGCCTGGTGACAGCACAGGGCATCAAGCCAAAGAAGAGTATTCTCAGGACAAAATCTGAGCAATTTGCCCTGCTGGGTTTCAGATTTGCTTGGGACTGGTGACCCTTTCTTCCTTTGGAATGGGAATGTCTATCCTATGCCTGTCCTCTCAGTATATTTTGGAAGCAAATAACTTGCCTGGTTTCACAGGTTCACAGATAGAGAGAGATTTTGTCCAGGATGAATCATATCCTGAGTCTCAGCCATCACTGATTTGGATGACTTAGATGATCAGATTTGGGACTTTGAGTTGATGCTTGCATTGGGGGAAGCTGTGATGAGGTGCATTATGCTGCACGTGGGAAGGACATGGATTTTGAAGGGCCAGAGGGCAGCCTGCTATGGGTTAAATTGTGTCCCTTCAAAAAAGATATATTGGAACCCGAACCCTTAGGACCTCAAAATGTGACCTTGTTTGGAGAGAGGGTCTTTCAGAAGCAATGAAGTTAAAATGAGGTCGTTAGAGTGGGCACTAATCCCAATATGAATGGTAGCCTTATGAAAAGAGGAAATGTGGACACACAGACAGACAGGCATAGAAGGAAGATGATGCAAAGAGACACAGAGTGATCCATGTCCACAAGCCAAGAAGGGAAGACTGGACCAGACCCTGCAGCCCTCAGAAGGAACAGCTCCTGCCAACGCCTCGATTCCAGACTTCCAGCCTCCAGAACAGTGAGACAACACATTTCTATCTTTTAAGCCACCTCTTTTGTGCTATTTTGTTACGGCAGCTCTAGCAAACTAAAGCACTCACCGTAACACTGTGAGCATATTTCTTGTTTCTGGATATTCTAGGAGATGATTTTTCATGGCCGCAAACAGTTTCATCACGGAGACAGAGCACACTTTTAAAAATGTGCACTTACTGTGGATCACGGCCTTTATAATGGACCACTCTCAGCTCTTGTGATTTTGAAGGTGAAAGGTCATGTGCACTGTGTGTGCACACGTGCTTGTGTGCAGTGTTCCAGGGGCAGAGCTGTCACCTACTTAGTGTCTACTTGACTCAAACGGACTCAAAATGAGTAAGCCTGACTCTCAGGAGCTTAATCAAAATAAAATATTATTAGAGACCATGAAAAGGACGTTCAGACTCAACTTCGCACATGTTCTCAGACTGAAAAAAAATAAATGAGCATTGACTCATTTCTGCAGATTAGTTCAGATGTTAGTTGTAAAGAAGGGAGAGAAGAATTATCGTAGTTTTTGCAAGTAGGATAAGTGAAAATGAGATACATGAATGGCTATAAATGTTAATAAAGTTAAATGGAACAATTTTATTTTCTATTGTATCATATTATTTAAAAATATCCCATCACAGATCAATTATTTTCCAAAGTAATTTGACTTAAGAAGAGAATATAGCTATTTTTCAGACAGCGAAAACAACTCTAGTAAGCACAGAACTTACCCAGAAGCGGATGAATTTGGGTCGACAACTGTTTGCTGTGGGGGAAAATGAAAATTAATAAAACAGAAAAAGAAATTTGATATTGAGGTTAATCTTTCAGAAAATTCAAGTCCGTTACTAGTCAGTTTTAAGTCATGGTATCTCAGGGAATCCTTAGGCCTGGGAAAGGACCTCACTGGTGGGAAAGCCCACTTCTTCCCAAACCCTGTTACAGGCACAAAGGTGTTTTCATGTCTCATTGGTAAGAACCCAGGAGTGGGAAGCTGGGTAAAATGATAAGAATGTATTTAAGTTTTTAAGAAAATGCCAAACTGCTTTCCAAGGTGACGTCACTTTAAATTCTCATTTTAGGGGACGGCCCCGTGGCCAAGTGGTTAAGTTCGGCGTTCCCCTTTGGAGGCCCGGGGTTTCACCAGCTAGGATCCTGGGCGCAGACATGGCACTGCTCGTCAGGCCACGCTGAGGCGGCGTCCCACATAGCACAACCAGAAGGACCTACAACTAGAATAGACAACTATGCACTGGGGGGCTTTGGGGAGAAGAAGAAGAAGAAAAGAAGATTGGCAACAGATGTCAGCTCAGCTGCCAATCGGTAAAAAAATACATTCCCATTTTACTTTCAGCTACCAACATATGAGCCTTCCCTTCCTCCACATTTTCACCAACACTTGGTATTGTCAGTCTTTTTGCTTTTAGCCATTCTGATGGGTGTGTAGTGGTATCCTATTGTGGATTGAATCTGCACTCCCCTAATGTTGAAGGCTGTGGCCATCTCTTCATGTGCTTATTGGCCGCCCACAGAGCCTCCTCGGTGAACAGTTTGTTATAACAGGGCTGTTTTCCTTACTGAGATTTGAAAGTTCTTTATATATTCTGAGTACAGTTATAGGGTTTGCAAATATTTATTCTGGCCTGTGGCTTATATTTTTATTTTTGTAATGGTCACTTTTGAAGAGCGGATGCTTTTAATTTTGATGAAGTACAATTTCTCATTTTTTTCTTTAATAGTGCTTTTGGTGTCATGTTAAAGAAAACTGTCTAACTCAAGATCATGAAGATTTTATTCTTTCTTCCTAAAGTGTTATAGTTTAGCTCTTAGATGTCAGTCTATGATCAATTTTGAGTTCTTTTTTGTGTATGGTGTGAAGAAAGGCGTTAAGGGGTTTTTTCTTCCTTTTTTTTTTTTTTTGCATATAGTTATTTAATTGTTCCAATACCGTTTATTGAAAATACTCTTATTTCTCCTCTTTGAAATGCTTTGGCACCTTTGTTTAAAATCCATTGATCAGAAATGTAAAAGTTTTATTTCTGGAGTTTCTGCTCTGTTCTATTGATCTATATGTCATCCTTATGCCAGTCCCACACTGCCTTGATTACTGTGGCTTTAGATTAAATTTTGCAGTCAGATTGTGGAAGTCCTCCAATTCTGTTCCTCTTTTTCTAAATTATTTTGGCCACTTGAAGTCCTCTGAATTTCCATATACATTTTAGGATCAGCTTGCTATTTCCTTAAAGAAAAAGCTTGCTGGCTTGGTGGGAATTCAAAAGAGATCAGGGTAAGTCTGTAGATAAACTTGGGGCAAATTTTCCATCATGGCAATATTGAGTGTTCCAGTCCACGAATATCGTAAATCTTTCCATTTATTTGGATCGTGTTTAATTTCTCTCAGCAATGGTTTGTAGCTTTAAGCATACAGATTTTGCACTCGTTTTGTTATTTTATTATTTTTGGTGCTGTTGTGAATGGAATAGTTTTCTTAATACCATTTTCAGTTTCTTCATTGCTAGTATACAGAAATATAGTTGACTTTTTGTATTGATTTTTATATGCTACTGCCTTGCTAATCTATTTGATTAGTTCTACTAGCTTTCTTGCAAATTTGTTAGGATCATGTTTCATGCAGAAACATACAGTTTCCCTTTCAAATCCATATGCCTTCAATTTATATTTCTTGCTTTAGTGCACCAACTGGAACTTTATTAAAATGTTGAAATAGAAGTTCGGAGTGGGCATTCTTGCCTTGGTCCCAGTCCTAAGGGGAAAGCATTCAGTATGAATTAGTTTTAAGTTTCATCTGTGCTCTTTATCAGATTGGGGATTTTTTTTCTACATTATGAAACTTTTTAATCATAGATAGATGCGTTATCATGTTAAATGCTTTTTTCTGATTGATGTGCTCATATGTTTATTGTACTTTATTTTATTAATATGCTTATTACATTAATCTAGTTTCAGACATTAAATCAACCTTGCATTCCTGGAATAAACCTCACTTAGTCACAACGTATAATCCTGCATATATGTGACTGCATTTGGTTTGCTAATATTTCGTTAATGATATTTGCCTGCAGATTCATGAGTGGTATCGGCTTATGATATTCTTCCTTTGGGATGACATCGTCTGGCCTGGCAGAATGAGTTGGGAAGTGTTACTTCCCCTTCTATTTTCTGAAAGAGTTTGTGCGTGATTGGTATTATTTTTCTTAAAGTATTAGGTAGAATTTACCAATGAAGCCATCAGGGCCTGGAACTTTCTTTCTGGGGAATTTTAAATTAGTTCAGTGTGTCTACTTGTTTTATGTCTATTTGAATTTTCTATTCCTTCTTGAACCGGTTTTGGTAATGTGTATCAAGTCAGTAGAATGATAAATCTCTTTCTTAAGTAATAAAGCATATTTCAACCTTGGAACATTTATAATTAAGTAAAGAAAAGTTTAAGAGACCCAAACCCATAATGTCACTACTTTTGCATTACAGAGCCATCTCTGTGCGTTTGACGTTTTATGTTCCTGAATACTGAAGAGAATTTGTCCTGCTAGGTGTGGGGGGAAAGGCTTCAGCTCTCAGAGCCCGAAAGATCGGCCTGCACTTAGAGAGGAGCTGGGCCTCAGTGCCTGCTGTTGGCCACTGAGTAGAAACAATGAAGCTGCGTCTGGAGAATCTGTAGTGGGACTTGACGCAATGGTCACTGACGAGTGTCTCTCAGGGTGGCGGCTGCGCGGTCAGGGCTGGCAGCAGGTGTTGCATGGGACTGGCCCAGGCAAATCGGAACACAGGATCACCCGGGTTTCATGGTAGCAAAGAAAAACCCACGGCCACTTGTTTGTAGCGTGGAGTGAGGATCACCTTTGGCGGCTCAGTCTTGTGGGGGCAGGCTGGAGGCACGACAGGTTCCACTAAACGTGTCTCCAAACTTTTAGGACAGGTGCAAGCAAGGAAAAAGCCTTTGCTGACAATGTCACTGTGACTAAAGGTGGGTGCCAACCTCCTCCCTAGTTCTAAATTATTATGAGGAGGTCTCTCTCTGATGCCCTGCAGAGATTGCAGAGAGATGAAGCCCCTCCCTCAGAGGAAATGAAGTCACTGTAACCTTCAGAAATCAGCAGAGTCGCAAACTCTGCTTAAAAATTGCCCACCAGAAATCCCCAGGCAGCTGACCTCCGGAGCAGCTGCAGAAGTGGGTGGGCCTAAAAGGAGTCAGCCCTGCTGGCTTGATCCTGTGAGGAGCGGACACAGAAATGGTATAACACACACATGCACAGACACAACTGCACACCCACAGCACACCAAACACACTCACACACACACACACACACAGAACACACAATACAAGCCTCACGGTCAAGAATACTTTCTGCCCCTCACTTTTTCTTTTATTTCCCACCTGCCTTTGCTCCCATTTGAGTAGCATCCCTGGGTACTACAGAAACGCTTCAAAGCAGCCAAACAAGCAGTTCCCAACATTGTTCTAGCCTCATTCCTGGCGGGGCCCTAGACCCCACATTTGGCTTTCACTCTGGCGGCTCTGGGCTTACCTTTGGCGGCGAGGATTTCTTTGGGTGTACGGTGCTTAAGGAGCATATGTTCTGGCACCAAGGAAACCTCAGGAACTGCTTGTGCTTCCCTTTGCTAGGACGGGGCAGGAGCAAGGAAAGAGTGTGTCAGCAAGGAAGAACTTCCTTTGGGCAGTGAGCTCACAGAGGGCCGATGAAGCCTGCAAAGCATCCTACAAGCGCCATTATTGTGGTTTCTGCCCTGTCGGCAGAACCTCAGAGGCCGGCAGCCCCTAGGAGGCTGTTTGAGGGCTCCTGAGTTGGTTGCACCCTGTGAAACGCCCTGCAGCAGCTCCACGTGCAAAGGACCATGACTGCCTGCCGGTGGGATGCCAAGGAGAGGGGCTTCTCGCTGAGCACCCCACACTGGACCACTGCAGCCACACGTCTGTGGGTGCAGCAGTGAATCAGCAGGGCTCACTGACAAATGGACAGGATGATGTGCCTTGGCGCCCACAACATTCCCACTTGGTGGCAATTCCTTGCAGCAGCTCTAGGAAACTAACACAGGAGGAGTCTCCTGGCTTATCCAGGTCCAGTGTAGTCACATGAACTTCTAAAAACTGAGATATAAGGAAGAAGAGGAAGTCAGAGAGTTCTGGAGCATGAGAAGGACTTGACCCACCACCACTGACTCAAAGACCGAGGGAGCAGCATGGAAAGCAGGAGAAAGCAATAAATTCAGTCAACATCTAAATAAGCTCAGAAACCAATTCTTCCCTACAGTTTCCAGAAAGGAATGCTGACCTGGTGAACGCTGCCTGCTGCCTGTGAGGCATTAAGCAGGGACCCCGCTGAGCTTGTTCAGGCTCGTGACCCATGGACACTGAGCGAGAATGTCTTGTTTAAGGCACTCGATTTGTGGGAATTTCCTACGTAGCAACTGAAAACTAATACAAGCCGCTTGAGGGACATTATCTGGTAGAACTCCTTTAAAATTACGCAAGAAGGATCTTCAGATGTGTGATCCTACGCCCTATTCATGTTTCCATCTTATCTGGTCAATTTCTATACATCTGTTCCATACAATGTTCCAGAACAGACAAATGGTCCAGAAGAAACTCTCCCAATAAATTGGTCTGATAACCACTACTAGAGAGAGACCCCCTCAAGTTCCACACAAAGTTTTCCCCCAAAAGGTGTCTGCGACTAACATCAGCTCACTCCACAGGCTCTTACCGAGGGAATCTTCCTTCCTTGCATTAGCTTAGCGTCCTGCGATTTAAACACATTCCCTGACTCCTAGGAGCTGAGACTCTGACGTGCTACAGCAGGCTTTGTGTGTCTACTTAATCGACCAGCAGGTTGACTACGCTAGGTTACCCTGGCAACGCTTCTGCAACAAAGGCCCTTGGTGTCGTCTGCCCCTTGCATCGGGAGGGTTTGTAACCTGCACGGTGCTACATCCTGCTTTCCGCACAACTGTGCCTTTCAGTAAACAAGCTTAGCTCGTCTTCCTGTTGAAGTACAGACTAGATTGAAAATGAAAAATAATTTTCCAGAAATGAGGAATATGGTACAACCCAAAGATGGAATAATTTATATTCATAAAAATCATGTTTTTGTTTTAACAGACACTGTTCACAATAAATGGAGTTTTTAAAAAGGCTTCTAAAGAGTTGTACTTTACATTTTTATGAAACAAAACATTATATAATGCATTATGTATATAATGTATGTTATTTCCTTCATAATAAGAATAATATTAAAAAGGAAGACTTGGAAGATACTAATCAAAACGCCAGCAGTGGCTGTCGGTGGGTGGGGAACTATAAAGTGATGTTCATTCCTGCAATGGGAATTTTTGCTGTTTCCAAAGTTTTTATAATGAATGTGCACTGACTAGTCAATCTGAAAACACTAGGTTTTGGTCTTTGTTTGGCTTTAGAGTGTAAGTTTGCTGACCTAGTTCCAGTTAAGTCTGTCATTCTTGACAGGAAGGGATAAAAGAAAAGTGCTCTTAGATTGTATTTAAAGGATCATAGAGAATGCGTCAAAGTGAAATTCGAGTGACGTAAATTTTCACCACAGTCTTGCCAATCAGGTTTCTAAGGAAATAAGTTTAGTAGGAAAAATAGTGGGTCGTCTGAAAGGGAAGGACGTTTTCACACTAAACTCCACTCCTGATTGTTAAACTGAGCAAACTCGCAAGTCGGTCCAGCCGTTGAGAAGCGACTAACGGTGCGTTTCTCCTCAGCTTCCCTTTTCGGACTCATGGAGTCTCTCTGCCACGTGGTTGTAGGATGGTGAGATTTGAGCCCCCCAGGAACCCGGCCCCATCCTCCTGGCCCGGGAAAGCTGGAGCTGCCCTCAGCTGGTCTCGGCAAAGGGTGGGGCTTGGGGAGCGCAGCTTGGGAAGGGCTGGTGGCCGCTCTCCCAGCCCCTTGGTGCCCCAGGGGAGACTGGCTTCTGGTGTCCCTGTCGTGACTGCAGAGATGCGCAGCTGTGGGTGGGGACAGTGTTGGTCCCTCTCACATACAGGTGAATGTTTACTGTAACTCCAGTTCCAAATCCAGCTTTCTCGGAACTGCACAGAGCGGTTTTAAAGTTCATATGGAAAATAAGTGTGTGAAAGAACTGTCAAAAGTAATGAAAAACTCTCGAGAGGGATCCGCCTAGCAGATGTTGAAAGGCGGCTCAGTGAAACCTCATCAGTTAAACAGCACCGTGTGGCTGAAGGACACAGAGCAGTGAGGCAGACACCAGCATCCAGAAGCAGATCTGGGCCCAGTGCTTGTGGGAATCTGGGGTATCACAGAAGGGGCCTTTCGATTTGATGAGGAAAGAAGGATCGTTCATCAACAAGGCGGCGACCACAAGTCGCATTGCAACAAAATAACCTTGGCTCCTGTCTCAGTGAATATAAAAATAAATTCAAGATGGCTTGAAAATCAAAACGAAAGCAAATAAAGAAAGCAAATAAAAATTATGCAAATATTAGCAAACAATAGGGAGGATATTTGTTTAACCTTGGAGTAAAGAAGGCTTTTTAAAGCAAGACAGCGAAAACGAGAGGATAGCTATTTTCCAGACAGATAGAACAGCTCCAGTAAGATGACAACTCACCCACGCACAGACGGACTCAGGTCTTCATCTGCTTCCTGTGGGGGATGAATGAAAATTCACAAAGTGAAAAAAGGCTGCTGACACTGAGCTTATTTTTCGACAACGTTCAAATCAATTCTTAGTTGATCCTGAGCAATGGTGCCGCAGCATCCCCTGGGTCCTGGGAGAGGGTCTCACGGGGGGACACTGCCTTCGCCTCAACCCTTGTCACCTGCATAGGTTCGTTTTCCCTTCTCTTTGGTTAGAAGCCGGAATGGGAAGCTGGGTCAAATGATAAGAACATACTTAGCTTCTTAAGAAAATGCTACACTGCTCTCCAAACTGGCGTAATCTTACATCCCCACTGGCAACGGGGGAGCCTTCCATGTCCCCGGCTTCACCAGCACTTGGTATCGTAAGTCCTTGTGCTTTCAGCCCTTCTGACTGGTGTGCAGTGGTATCGTGTTGTGGTTTCAATTTACACTCCCTTAACGCTGAAGGCTGTTGACCACCTTTTCATGTGCTTATTTGCCGCCCATAGATCCTCCTGGCTGAACAGCTTGTTCAAATCTTTTGTCCCGTTTTAAAAACTGGGGTATTTTCCTCATAATTGAGTTTTGAAAATTCTTTATATATTCTGGATACAAGTATATGATTTGCAAATATTTTATTTCTGTCTCTGGCTTATATTTTCATTTTGTTAATGGTGCACTTCGAAGAGCAAATTTTTTTTAATTTGATGAGGAGCGGCTGCAGAAATGGGTGGGCCTAAAAGGAGTCAGCCCTGCTGGCTTGGTCCTGTGAGGAGTGAACTTAGAAACAGTGTAACACACACATGCACCCCACAAACCAAACACACTCACACACACACACACAAACATGCCCAGCATCACACACATCACGCGCACACTCACACACACAGACTCACAGGACCGAGCCAGTGCAGAAGCAGAGGGTTGTGGCTAAGAGGTCCCAGCCTCAGGGCAATCTCGGGCGTTGTCCCAGCCCTGGATGAACATGAGTGGTGACGCAGAGGGACACTGGTACCTGTGGCAATTCTATTTGGATGGACGGCCCTTTCTTCGCTTCTGGGGTTTTTGCATCCTGTCGGAGGCGGCCCTGTGTCATATATTCAAACGTGCTCATTTTTTTGGCCACTAGAAAAGAGAAAGAAGGCAGAGGATGGAGTTATTATTCATCAGCTGTGCTTGGTGCCCAAGAACAAGCAGGCAGTGCACCCTCCCAGGGCTCCAGCAGGGGCGTCGGGAGCTGGTTCCTAAGCTGGAACACTGAGGAGCTGCTGGACAGCCACTCCAGAGCACACCCGGCCACCGGGCAGCAAACCTGAGGCTCACTGGCCCCCCATCCTGGGCGCGGCTGCCCTGCTTGCCCCACAGGCCCAGAAAGTAAATATGGACCTATGGCGAGTACCGTGCCCAGCTCAGTTTGGATTAAGCTGAGACACTGGCTGTCCAGCACGTGGCAGAAGCACCTCAGGATTTTAAAAGGAAATCTGAGAGACGTGGCTGTCAACGCAAAAGGAGTACTAGTGAAGATGGGCTCTGTGCCTATTTTCGCCTTGTGCTTCCACAGAAGGGCCAGACTTTCCATTTCTCTGTCCCTAAAAACCAACACACATGAAAACAGATGGTTTATAATTATTTCTGGGAAGTGGAAAGGGCCACCCTCAGAAGCCCATTTGCAGCTCGAGGAGCAGACGGTGGCGCCGGCTGCCCCACAGACCCAGTGCAGCCCTCGGAGGCTGCCTGCCGGGCAGCTGGGCCCCGAAGACGGAGCCCCAGCCCTTCCCAGGCAGGTTCTACAGGGCTTGTGTTTCTGTTTTGCTTGTGCTTGACTTATCTTTCTTGATTAACTCTACCTGGCTCTTATTCCATTCTTCCACGTTCCCTCGGAACCTGTGTCAGAGTTTGAGGATATAAAACTTGCACTTGTTTATATTCCAGTGAAAATAGTCATTCTTTTGCATGAGTTTGCACAAACACCATCAAAATCAGATTATAAGCAAGCCCTGTGTGTCCCAGAGCTCACACTCGTTCGGAGTAAGTTTCCTGTAAACCGTTTTAATCTGGCAGCGACGATAAAGTCTCAGAGGAGAAGGAGTCGCAGAGCTTTAAGCCTCACGGGCGAGCAACTGTGAGGCCGAGCGCAGCATGTGCCAGGTGGACGCCAGAGAGTCTCCCCCGTGTTCTCAGGTGCCCGCGCCTTAGTCTGCTCCCCTAACATCACCCGAGACACTTTCTCGCCCACTGGCTGTGGTCGTGGTTTTCCTCACACCTCGGTGCGGGCACTCTCTGCATCCACGTGGATTCCCGGAGGTCCTGTCCTCACCGACGGTCCCACTCCCACTCATGTGCTGAGGACTCGTCAGAGTGCCCCTCTCCTGGGCTTCAAAAGGCAGCATCCAACTGACGTGTCCCCGAGCACTCCCCACGCCGGGCTGCTCCCGCCTCCTGCAGTCTCTCCCCGGGAGTGGGGGCTGGTCCTAGTCACTTGCACAGAAAGTGAGGAGGCGTCACTTCCCAGACTGGGCTGCAAAAGGCTAGCTTCTGCCTCGCTGCCCTCTCATGTGCTCCTCGGATGAAGCCAGCTGCCCCGTGGCCAGATCCTCCGTGGAGCGTCCACACAAGACGGAACGGACGAGGCCGCGGGCCAAGAACTCACGAGGAACCAGGGCAAAGAGCTGACCCTGCCAACGACCCGGGCATGCACCTGGAAGTGGGTCCTCCCAGGTCCAATGAGACCGTGCCCTGCTGGCACCTTGCCTGAAGCCTCGTGAGGGGGCCCGGGCCAGAGGACCCTGCTGAGCTCTGCTGACCTCCGACCCACAGAACTGGGAGGTAATAAACGTGTTGTTTTAAGTGGCTACGTTTTAGGTAATTTTACTCTAACTAACAATAATTAATATCCCAGCTTTTTCCTGGAAATCTATCCTTTGATGTGCAAATATGGTAAAATCGGCATGTGCAGTCCTGAAGCTGGTGCATTTCTCCCCCACTGAGGGTCTCTGTGCGTCGCTGTGGGCAGTGAGTGACACCACTGTCCTCTTGGTCGGCTGAGTGGGAACCCTGGAGGCCCGTGCGCTCACGTCCGACTCCACTTGGTCCTGAAGGCCCGTGGATCTTGAGTCCTCCAGGCCCCTCGCCCTGTTAGCTCACCACGTCCCTCCTGGGTGGCTGCACGGGCGCCCAGCCGCGCTTGCCTGCCTCTGACTTGCCAGCTGCAGGCAGTCACGCATGCTGCTGCTGTGGCGCCATCCCCAAAGTGCACCCCTGACCCCGTGACCCGCTGCTCCCAGCGCCACCAGTGCACCCAGCAGCTTTGGGAAGAGCTCAGCCACCTGGGCTTCGGGCGCTGACTCCATGCACTGCCCGGCTCGGCAGGCGCGCTCCCCGACTAGACCAGCCCCACAGCCACCAGGTTCCTCCTGCTGCTGCCTTCTCCTGGAGGCTGCGGAGCGTAACTGTGGTCACTTCTAGGAAATGCCTCCCAGGGTGGGGAGTCCCCACGTCAAGGACACAGAGGAGCCTGCCACATGCAGCCACCGGGCAGACACTAGAAACCCACCGGTTCTCCCTGCAGCGTTTGGTGAGCGGAGACCCTGTCGCTGAGTTTAAGGTTTTTCCTTGTTAGGATTTCTGCCAGGCACTTTTCTAAATCCCCTGTTCTTTTTTCATAGTGCCCTGTTCCTGCCTCATAAATTCCGTTTCTTTCTCTCTCTGAGCACTTTAACTTTCTACTCTTTAAATCTCTTCCGTGTTTCCTGCAGGTCTCAGAGCAGAATTCAGCCACTGCTGGACCTGCTGCCCTCTTGGCTTTCTCTTCTCTTCCTGTGATTTGTCCTTGGTGCTTTGAGCTTGTTTCTGGCAGAGGCTGACTGAGGGGCCACCTGCCTCGGGACACGGGAACACGAGGGGGCAAAGACTGGCCAACCTGGAGGTAGGGCTTGGGGACACGTACTCAGGTAGAGGTGGAAGATGAGCAGGTGTCCCAGCATCACAAGGGTCATGATGTCCAACAGCAGCATGGACACCCCGATGCCCAGGACCACTGGGGTGCTGGTCCTCACAGGAAAGAGGGGGAGAAACAGCAGCCACGTGTTCTTCCTGGAGACGTCTGTGGAGGCAAAGGAGAGATCCGTGCATCTAGTGCCTGCTGATGCAGCAGCCCCTCTCATCAGGCGAGCTCCACAGGACAGAGCTGGGCAGTGGGGGAGCAAGCACCAGCCCGCGGGAGCGCCTCCCTGCCCAGGTGAGCGCCTCCCTGCCCAAGTGAGCGTCTCCTTGCCCAGGTGAGCGCCTCCTTGCCCAGGTGAGCATTTCCTCCTCACCCAGGTGAGCGTTTCCTCCTTGCCCGAGTGAGCACCTTCTTCTTGACCAGGTGGGTGCCCTGCCTCACCTAAGTCCTCACTTAAGCCCCTCCTGACTGCAGTGGGTATTATGGTCCCACTTTATAGATCTGGAAGGTAAGGTTGGGAGAGGTGACTAAGTACCCAGGTCACAGAGCCTGACCCTCTGCCTGACCCCAGCGCTCACCCTTTCCTGCAGGCCTCCCAGAGCCCTCTCCATGCTCAAGCAGCCACTCTCAGATAGAGCTGGAGGCTACAGCCACCACTTTGGGGCAATCCTAGGACATGGTGCTCTGTGCCCCAGGGGTGTGACGGGCACAACCACACCACTTCTAAATATTAAGTGTGAGAAGCATAGTGAAGGGCTGTGCAGGCGGGCCAGGGAAGACTGAATTCCAGTTGAAATGTCTGCCCCACAATAAATTCCAAAAGGGAGCTTGACCCAGCTCCCTATGTGGCCTCCCACAAGGCAGTTGCCACGCCCTGTCATGGTGCACGGCCGCGGCAGTGTCCAGGGCAGAGTCTGGTGCCCCAGGGGCTGCAGCATGGGGTGTGTGGGGCTGGGCTGGACCGTGGGGCAGCTGACCCCTCACTTGTCCTCTTGGCGGGTGATGTCCTGACGAATTGCCGCCAATGAGAGCAGAGCATCCCAGGGAACTGGTGTTTCGGAAGCTCTGTGGAATTTCCTCCCAGGAAATTGCCTCAGTCCACAGTCACAGGATTCACGTGGCGCCAATCACACTGTGCTTCCAGCACTGGCCAGTTGCAGGGAGCTGGCCTCATGTGGCCTCTGCACGTGCGCCGAGATCGCTGAGGCCGGTGGGCTCTGGGTGGGCTCTGGGTGGGCTCTAGGTGGGCTCTGGGTGGCCACTGGCTCCTCCTGTCCTTCCCCCTCCTCACGGCCCCCAAAAGCGAGGGCCCAGTTAACCAGCCATCGCTGGGGGGACGGCTGCTTCCAGCAGAAGGCATGAATGCATGCAGGCCTTGGGTTTGACACCGTCACCGCTCACCGGGCAGGAGCTACATTTCAGAGAGTGCCTCAGGGGCAGCGGAGCAGCCGCAGGGCGTGGGATCAGCCAGCTCTTTGCAGAGGATGGGGGAGCTGCAGGGCCTTCCATGTGGAGCTCACAAAGCTCATCCTCGAAAGACGAAGGCTCTGGGAGCTGCCAGGCACTGGACAGCCCCTCTGGCTAAGGCAGTGCCAAGAGGGTGTCAGGTGGGCAGGAGACGCTGTGCCCACGACTCGGGGGCTCTTCCTATGGAGTGAGGGCCTGGTCTCACTGGGCCCCCGGCAGTCCACTGTCCCATGGTGATAGCCAGGTCACATTTGGGAACAGGTGCAGGTTGGACAGTCCACCCCACAAGGCTGGTCTGTGCCAGATGCTGGGTGGGCCTGGGGGGGGTGACAGTGGGTGGGGCATGGTGCCCTCCAGGAAGAGGAAGTGTCCTCCTGGGACGAGGCACAGCGGCACTCCCGGTAGGACCGAGGCAGGACGTCTACACGTCACAGGCTCAGGGAGAAGGGAGATGTGGGGCCTCAGTCCCACCGCAATGTCCTCGTCACGTCTTCCAGGCTGTCCCGGCTGCGCACTCCCCCAAGAGGAGGGCATTGTCCGTCCTGCTCTGGAGCCCAGGGTTGGGCCTCTGCAAAGGCCAGCGTCAGCACCTGAGATGTTGGAGCCTGTGACGGGGCCCGGGGCTCCTGGAATGTCCTGGGCTGAGTGACAAAGGTCCTACATTCTCCTGCCCTGAGGACTGGCCTGCAGGCCAGTCTGGAGAGATGCTGGGGACTGAGACAGCGGGCCTGGCTCTGCATCCTGAGGGCTTTGGTCCCAGAGCATTTGGGACAGACATGAGGAGGTGCTCCACGTGAGGTGCTCCCCTGCATCGTGTCCAGGGCTGTGGTGACTAATGACGACAGACGGCGGACTGGGTGGCTTGAACAACAGAAATTTACCCTCTCCCAGTTCTGGAGGCTGGAAGCTAGGGGGTCGCAGGGCCGTGCTCCCTCCAGAGGCTCCAGGGGAGGACCTGTCCCTGAGTCTCCCAGCTCCTGGGGCTCTGGGGCTCCAGGCCTCCCTGGGCTGGTGGCCGCGTCACTCCCGTCTCTGCCTCCATTGTCATGTGGCCTCCCCTGTGTCTGTGCCCCTCTCTTCCGTCTCTGATGAGGGCACTCACGTTGGATGCAGGGCCCTGGACAATGCAGGATGAACTTATCTCGAGATCCTTTATCACGTCTGCCAGGACCCTTTTCCAGATAAGGGCACAGTCGCAGGTCCAGGGTGAGCACCTTTCAGCCCCCACATCTGCTCCCCTCGAGCTGGGTGTGGACATCTGTTCCCAAGGCCAGGCTCCCTGACCTGCTTATCAGAGAGCTGTGTGGAGCCCGCAGTGCCTGCAGCCATGCACCACCCCAAGCCCATGCCCCAGACAGCCTGCCTGCCCACCACCCCTGCGCCCCTGCATGACTGACCGTGAGGGACAGAGGGCAGACCGCGCTCTCTCATGCCTGCTGCTGCCTGGAAGCACGGCCTCCGAGCAGCCACGCCAGCGCCTCTGGGCCCCACACCTGCTTCCTGGGCCCTCAGGAAGCTGCCAGGCTGCAGGGTGGACGCTGGGTGCGGCCCTTAGCCTGCGGAGAGCACCAGGCACCCCAGCTCCAGCACCGGTTCTGCTCACCCAGCCTGGGGCAAGCGGGCTCCCCTCCCCACGGCCGGAGACAGCTGGAGGGCGAGGCTGACACATGAGCCCCTCACATGGCGCGGCCCCCCAGGCAGCCGCGTACTTTGGTATTGGGGGTCCGTGCGCAGCTCCTCTGGGTTCAGGAAGTACTGAGTGAAGATGTACAGCAGGATGACGATCAGGCAGAGCAGTCCGGCCGAAGCAGACGCCACGGAGCTGAAGAAGTACCTGTGGGAGAAGCAGAGGCGGGCTCAGAGCCAGGCCAGCGGGCAGCCAGGACGGCGTGGTGGGCGTCCCTGCTAAAGGAGCTCTCTGACGGCTGCCCCCATGCCCCGATTCCTGTTCCCGGTCACACCCTAAAGCTCAGCCCTGCTCTGTTTTCTCTCAAGCTCTCTGGGCGAGGTCCCTGATCCGCTTCCACCACCGATCCTAAGTGCAGTTTTCTATCTCCTCACAACTTACACCACCATCTTGTTTAATCCTCACGGGAAGCTGCGAGGAGGGGCAGCCACCCCCAGTTCACAATAGGGAAACTGAGGCTCAGAGCCAGGGAGTGGCTGGCCCAAGCTGCCTTGGCACCCGAGACTCAACCGCTTCCAGGCCGCAGCTCACAGCCCGCCTGCGATTCCCAGCTGCCTCCGGTTCAGACCCGGGCTCACTCCCACCTATGGCTCCGTGGGTCCGTCTGAGCTCTGGAATCGTGGAAAATGAGCCCTGTGAGCTCTTAGCCTCAAGTCGGGGTTCGGGACTGCTGCAGTCGAACAGAATCGGGGTGTGACAGGTGGGGGGCTGCACGATGCCGTCTTGCTATCAAGGGCACCGAGTCGGCACGGGGAAGGCCAGGGGTGTGTGGTGATGGACGCTAGCACAGCATGTGGGCTCACTGCGATTGACCTCGAGGCCCGAGGAAGCCTGACCATCCAGCCCGCAGCAGGTCCACCGTTCGAAGTCCCATGCGCATATTCGCGCCAGAAACGGTGCAGTGTGCTTGCGTGTCAGACCAGTCACTCCTGTGCTCCTGTCTGTGCTCAGAAGACACGGAGAATGACCCGCCCACCCCAAACCCTAAATTCTGGGTAGCAGTTCTTGGCATCTGCTTTCACTGAAACATCTTCCCTCCAGTCTTTCTGTCGTTATATTTAAAAGAAACAATTCCGTTAACATTTTCAATGTTAAACAATGTCTTTTGTTCACCTAAAATTTAGTTGATTCCGTTTTTCTTTCCTGGAACTTCTTGAAGTTTCCTTACACGTGTCTTTAGGGGAGGGCTGAGATGTGAGGGATTCCCAGGACCGGGTGGGCGCGGCTGCGGCCCTGAGGCAAGCAGCTTCCCTGAGGGTGCCGCATCTGGGCCCTCGCATCCCTCCCAGACATCTCTTCTGGGTCATGCTGCACAGGCCGACTCTCTCCTGTGTGAGTGGGTCCTCGGGGCACCGACGGCCGTGTGGACACGGGGAGGCCCCACACTGAGCTCTGGTCCAGGCAGTGGGTGGGCTCTGCACCTGACCCTCGGGGTCATCTCCGTCCTGCTGTCTGGGCAGAACTCCCGTCCTGCCTGGACAGGTGGCCCCCAGAACAGGCGGGAGGTGCAACCACATGGTCAAGCTTGCCCTCATTGTCTCCCCTCCACCGTCCACAGTGCGCAGCTCCCTCCCTTGATCGGAGTGTCTGTGGGCCCAGCTCTCCGCAGCCTTCGATCTGGCTGCACCTCGGCCGCGTGCGTGTCCTGCTCTTCCCGTGCTGTCAAGGCCCGGCCTGTCTCTCAGGGTCCTGGCATAGACTTTGTCACCTTCTTTTGCCGAATTATATCCTAAATGCGCTTGCTCTCTCCGCCTGACACATGCAGGGACAGGAGGCAACTGGGAGCATATGCCAGCAGTGGCCCTTGCTCTCACCCCTTCCCCAGAGTGGGGCTGTCTTGGCACACACGGTGCCCCCTCCCTTCCGTGGGCTCCTTCTGAGGAAAGCAGACCTCCCCTTGCCGTGGGCCAGGCACCGCTCCTTCCTGCCGACCCTGCCTGGTGGACACGGGGAGCTCGTGGGGCTCACGAGCTGTTGAGGGGGCTTCCTGGCCTCACTGCGAACCGCAGCTCAGCCTGCTCTGTTGTCAGGGGAGCCTGGCCCACTCCGTCCTCCTTTCGGGCAGGGTCACACGCCCTCGCCTGTCCCCCGATGGCCCTGGCCTCTCTCCGGACCACTGACCAGATCTAGAGGTGGCCACCCAGCTCGGGGTACTCAGGCCTCAGGGAGGCACATCCACGGGGAGCAGAGTCCTCCAGCGTGTGGACCGTGGTTCCACCCCGCCCGCTGGCCTTCCCGGGGCTCCGTTCCATAGGAGACGAGGCAGGACGTGGGCATCCTGGTCCCTTCCAGACTAGCAGCTTCGAGGGGACTTTTCTCGTTAAGAAACCTGTGGCTTCCTTCTGCTCAAAGCAGCAAGGCCTCTTTCTGCGCAGGAACGACTGGCGTGCTGCTCTCGTGGTCTCCTCGCCGGGCGATGGGGACTCACGTCCCACGCTCGCTGCCGCGTGTGGGTAAGCAATGAAGAGCCCTCTCCACCCTCCGCCTGGACAGCGGCTTGGAGGCCACCTGCCAGTAGAGGCCTCTCTCTCCTTGGCCGGCGTGGAGGAGCCAGGAGAGCGCTCGTGGTTTTCCTGGCGACACACAGCCCTTCTCTGCCAGCGGAGTGACTTACAGCCTGGCTTCAGATCGGGGGGCCCTGGTGAACCCCACAGGCCCTGCACCTCGAGCTCACGGAGGAAATGCCTCCCGTCCGTGGCTGGACACTGGCTCCTGGCATAGCCCCCCGCCCACATCCTCTGTGCTTGGGGGCTGACGGCCTCTGCAGGCGAAGGCAGAAGGGCCCAGGCCAGTGGGTCAAGGACTCGTTAGCCCAGCCCATGCCCCACAGACAGGCTGGCTCCTTGTTGATGCTAATGGGGGTCTCCAGCAATTTACTTTGTGGGGACAGGCTTGACATGGCACGTGTGAGGACGGCTCCACTGAACATGTTCCAGAACCAGACAAGGAGACCAGAGGGATGCTGAGCCCACTGTTCTGGAGGTTGGGATGTGGTGCCCCGCTCCCATGGCCTCCCCTGCCCTCTCACCCACGGCCCCCTGCTGCAGACACACTCCTGGTCCCTGCCCTCCTCCCTCACCAGTGGATCCTGGCCCCTCCCCTCCTTCCTCACCAGTAGTTCCGGGTCCCCACACAGTTGTTGAGCCATTTGCAGTGGTGGTCGAAGCCAGAGATGCACTTGTTGCAGGCACTGCAGTGTTTGGCTTTCAGGCTCCTGGAAGGAAGAATTTGGGGTGCAGCCCGTCAGCAGTCTGTGCAGGTTGACGGGCCAGAGCCCCACCTGCCTGTAGCAGAGAAGCAACAGCAGCCCAGTGGGCGGGCCCTGCGCCCTGCAGCTCCTTCCCTCCCTCTGCCACGCCCACCATGTGCTGACAGGGTCTGAGGCCTGGAGGCCATGCTCGGGCCCCACCCTGAGCCACTGGGCCTCCCTCCCAGGCCATCCAGTGACGTCCCTGGGGCCACTGGAGACCCCAGGCCTGGAGTAGCCCTGGGCTCTGATCTGGTGGGGGACTCAAGGAGGACGGTGCTCCCTCCACTCCTAGATCAAAGGCAGCAGAACGGGTCAGCTGCATGGACACAGATGTGGGCCCTCGGGCAGGCACCCCGCCTCTCCCCGCCCAGTCCCTGCAAGCCCCACGGTGGCTGGAGAGTCAAATGCTGCAGTCCGCAGCCTGGGCGCAGGGCCACCCGTGTCAGCGGGCCCACACCTGGGCACTTACACGGGGACCTGGCACAGGTGGCAATACTGGTTCTGGATCACGTGCGCATGTTTGGAACGGTCGAAGGTCGGCAGAGGCTCCGTGTAGCTCTTCTTAAGGCGGACGCTGTCTTCGGCCGGATCGAGGGACATTGCAATCAAGTGGACGATGAAATGGAAAAAGAAAAGCCCACCGGTCACCTGTGGGGGGTCGTCAAGGGACAACTCGGCCTAGGGCCTGGTCAGCACAGTGTCGAGTGTCCACTGGAGGCGGGAGGTGCCTAGGCCCGGCCACCTGGGCCCTGGTCGCCGGTCAGCGCCACGGGAGCCATGCGCCCGGCTAGTGGCAGAGACTGAGGGAGCCCTCACACGCCAGTGGCCAACAGAACAGCCCCGACCCCTTCCTCCAGGAGGGACGAGGGAGCGATGCCTCACGGCAGAGCAGCTCCTCAGCTGAGGGTGTGGCTCCCCGAGCTCCACCATACGAAGGGCAAGGCCTGCCCGCACCAGGCCAGCACTGAAGGACACCGTGGGGGGCCCTTTGGGTAGCAGAGATGCTCCAAGCACATGCGTGGGGTTAGAAAGAAAGTGGGTCATCAAGAAAGGAAGACAGGAGGAAGGGAGCCAAGGAGCCTCTGTGGAGCGGGCGCATGCTCTCTCTCTGTCTCTCCACTCCGGCCCCCAAGACCCCTCAGGCTCTCTCCAGCTCCCACTCCCTCCAGGGCTCTGAGGGTAAAGCTGAGGCCTCAGATCCCACCCTCTCTGCCTCCTCTCCCGGGGGATCGGGGATCAACACACCATCCCCATGGAAACCAAACAGCAGGGGCCACGCCTCCCCACCAGCCCTGCCCTGATTCCTAGAAGAGTTCTGAGCCTGGAGGGTTCAGGGTTTGCAGGCCTGTCTGCAGAGGACAGAGGGCAGCCTGGGCGTGGCTGGGAAATGACGCCCACCTGCAGGGTCTCCTTCGCTGTTCCTGGGAGGCAGAGGCGGGAGGCGAAGGCTGGTTCGCCACCCACCCCATGCAAGGCTCTGTGGCAACGCTAACAGCTGGCAGGCTCTCAGCAGGGAGGAGGGGGTCGCGGCTCAGTCAGGCGGGAAGCCCCTTCTTGGAGGCCCTTCTCAGGCTGCACTGCTGTCACGGTTCAGGGTCTCAGTGTGGAGCCACCCTGGGGACTCTGGGGCTTGGGCGTATGTGCGTGCCCCAACGACACTCCCGTGAGAAACACGCATGACGCGCGACAGGCCCGAGTGGAGGCTGGTTCTGGCCAAAGCTGCTGGTCCCTCCCACATCTTTGGCCTCCAGGCGCCGAGTGCCAACTCAGGGCCCTGGGTGCCAGGTGTGAGCACGGAGGGGATAGGGTCCGGCCCAGCCCGGGACGCAGACATGACCATAAGGTGTGAGAGCAAGCTGGGGGGCTAGACAGTCCGACTGGGAAGCTGGTGCCCAGGCCAAGGGCAGGCAGGCGCATGAGCAGGAGGAGCTGGAAAGCGGGTATGAGGAGACGGCTGAGAACCAGCTGGGCCCTCGGGACTGACACAGGAGACAGGACTGACCAGACCCCTCAGCGACGCCAAGGTCCTTCCCACAGCCGCCGGGTCCTGAAGGGCAGGGGTGAGGCCTGAGCCCCCTGCTCTGCTGTCGAGCAGATGGAGGCCATTCTCCTCTACGGGGGTGGGGCAGCGGGCAGGCGGTCAGCGGCTGGCCAGGCCTCACTGTCACAGCTGGTGACACAACATGGCCCTGGCATGCTGGCCCCTGCACCCGCTCCCTGAAGCCCGAGGCACTGGCCGCACTGTTTGTGTGGTTGCCGGGGCAACAAGAGCACGTCCTGAGCCGTAGGACACAGGCAGTGATAGGCGAGGACAATGAGATGTGGCAGGAAGCCGCACTGTGGCCCAGGTGTGGCCCCTTCCTCTGGGGCTGGAGCAGAACTGCCCTCGTCAGAAACTGGCAAGCGAGTGGGAGGCCAGGAGGGTGAGAGGGGTGGCAGGTGAGCCCAGGACAGAGGCATGTCCTACAAGCCCTTTGCCCCCACGTCTACACCCGCCTCGCACACAAGACCACTGCCAGGGAAACAGCATGGGGACAGCGTGGCCTGCACTCGGATCCTCACCTTCCAAGCGGAGGTGCCCGGCCCGCCCCACAGAGCTACCTGTGGCCAGTTTCCCGAGCCGTCCCAACCTGCAGGTGCGCAGGCCAGGCCATTGCCCTGAACACGTCCCCCGAAAGAGAGGCGTGGCTTCCTGGGGAAGATCTGAGGGCAGGGTCCCACCTAGACGTGGCTGGTGAAGCTGCCCACAGCCCCCAGACATGAAGCTGTCCAGAGCAAGAACGAACACGAGCCCGCCGTCCAGCGCATGGAAGAGGACCCAGCCCGCCTGTCTGACCCAGCGCAGCTCGGCACCGGGTGACACCCGGTCACCACGGGGATGATGTGGGCTGCGTCCTGCCCAAGATGACCTGGCCCGTCACCACATCCATCACATGCTCGGTGACCGTTGTGGGCTGAACCCCCAGCGTGGAGAGGGTGGCGGAGTGCATGTCACACCCTCAAGCTCCCACTTTCACTTTCACATGGGATTTGGAGCCTCAGGGCCAAGCGAATAAGAAAAAGAGAAGGATGGCTGAGGTCTCACTTTGCTACAAGGCGGGAGGCTGCCTGCCCTCGGAGTTCCGGGGGAGCTGCCCTGAGAAGGCCTGGCCCTCCGTCCCTAGCAACAATCTGTGTTTAGTAAATAAACAGCGTGGCGCCAGCTCCACCCGCCCTGTGCTGCTAACCTCCCTGCCATCTGGGCCCCCACCCCCACCCCTGCCCTTCCCAGAGTCAAGGCAGAGCTGAGCTCCAGCTCTGAGGGAGAGCAGCTTCCTGCAGGGATCTGAGCTTCTGGGATCCCGAGCCTTGCCAGGTTCATTTTGCCTCGGGCCATAACACAGGGTCTCCAGAGTAAACCAAGCCCCACCAGATTCCAGGCCCTTCCACACCATGGACCCTGCGGATCAGACAGCTGAGCCAGCCAGGTGACGCGGAGGGGAGCGCTGACTTGCGGGGACGCTGACCTCTGCACGCACGGGGTCCACCTGTGCTGCTTCTCCATGGTTTCCCCTGGGCCTGCCGAATGCCGCCCCGACCTTGGGCCCCGACCTTCCCAGGGCCATGGCGTGGGCCGAGGTCACTTCCTCGCCAGCCCAGTCCCTACAGGCGCCGAATGATGCTGGCCCCCTCCAGTGGCCAGAGCATAGCACCCGAGTGCAGCTGCCTGGGGCCCGAGGGACATCACTGAGGGACCAGGCGGTGCCAGGCAGCAGGACGCTAGGCAGGAAAGTTTGTCTCAAAGGCAGCCTGAGCCCTGGACAGCAAGGGAAGCTGTCCTGTGTCCACCACTTGGGATGAGCAGGAGGGGCAACACACACTGGGCATTGAGCCACCCAGGGGCAGGGGACAGCCAGCAGCCAAGGCCCCCAGAAGAAATGGCGGGTCCAGTGCAGGCGAGCCTGGGCTCCCGAGCTCTGGCTGTGCCAGAAAGCAGGTAAGAGCTCAGAGTGACCCCTGGACAGAGAACACGGGGCCGGCTCAGAGAGACCCTGACGGCCAAGACGGGGCTAAATTATGGGTCAAAAGAGAATGAAGATAATAGATTATAACCCAGCACATAAGCAAAACCCACAGTTAGGGGCTGAACCGTGTCCCCAAAAGACGTTGAAGTCCCAACCCCCAGGACTGTGAGTGCGACCTTGTTTGGAAATAGGGTCTTCGGGGGTGATCAAGTCAAGTCATGAGGGTGAGTCCTGATCCCATAGGACTGGTGTGCTCTCAGAGGCCGTCAGGACACAGACACGCACAGAGGGACGACTGTGTGAGGACACAGAGGCCGCAGCATCTAACGCCAAGGGATGTGGAGCCACCTGGAGCCACCAGAGCTGGAAGAAGGGCCTGGAAGAGACCCTCCCCCAGAGCCTGCAGGGAGCGTGGCCCTGCCCACACCATGATCTCGGATTTCTGGCCCCAGAACTGAGAGAGAATAAATTTCTCTGTTTAAGCCGCTCCATCTGTGGCACTTGTTACAGCAGCCGGGGGAACTCATACCCCACAGCTCCACGGTGCTGCTAAGGAGAGAGGGATGGGGGAGCGAGCTGAGCGAGGAGGAGGCGAAATCAGGAAATTTTCCACCATTTTACAAGCCCCAGTGAAACTGCAATTCGGACAAGGGAAAACGGGGCACCCACGGCCCCACAGTCTACCTGCAGACTGCTCCTGACTGTAGGGGGGTACCTGGCTCCCCTCCCCAAGGAGCAGCCTCCCAGTGGGGGCCGGACCACAGGGCAAGACGCTGTGGCTGAGAAAACCACAACAGCTGCCCACCCGAAGGCAGGTGGGTGCTGTGCTGGGCCAGAGGGACCTAAGACCCCATCGCCAAATGCAAAGCATGAACCTTGACCAGATCCTGGGTTAAAAAAACATAAAGCATGGGGGCCGGCCCCGTGGCCGAGTGGCTAAGTTCGCGGGCTCTGCTGCAGCAGCCCAGGGTTCGGATCCTGGGTGCGGACATGGCACCACTTGTCGGGCCACGTTGAGGTGGTGTCTCACATGCCATAACTAGAAGGACCTGCAACTAAGATATACAACTAGGTACCAGGGGGGATTTGGGGAGATAAAGCAGAAAAAAAAAAAAAAAGATTGGCCACAGTTGTTAGCTCAGGTGCCAAACTTAAAAACAAAACAAAACATAAAGCATGTTTCTGAGACCACTGGAGCAATTTTGAGATGGGCTGCCCATGGGTCTGTACAATTACTGCTCATCTCGGCTGTGACAAGACTCGAGTTATGTGGGGTGATGGGGGCCTGTGACCAAGGCTTCGGGAACGCTGCCTCGCCCCCGACGCAGGACAGGAGGCTCAGAGGAGGGGTGGCTGTGCTCAGGGCACACGCCGGTGGGACTGCTGCTCAGCTCTGGTGGATCAGACATTTTCAGGGCCCTGGAGATGGGGGAGGCCGGTGCCATCAGAGGCTGCATGGAACTGGGGAAAACGGGGCTGGAGGCAGAGGGCTCGGACGCCAGGCCACGGTGGACGCAGAAGCTCACCAGCAGGGTCTGTGTGGCGGTGGCCCAGAGAGCACGGGTCGGGACGGGCAGAGACAGCCCACTCAGACCCAAGAGCTGTCACCTGAGCGTGAGGGAGGGATGAGGCTGGCGGTGCCGTGTGGCCGCAGCGAGGGGGCATGGCAGCTGCGCCTTCCAGCCCCTCCACAGAGGGTGCTGGAGTCACAGCCACGTGTATGTCCAGGTCCCCAGCACCTGCCCACCTGGCCGGGCCGGGTTCGGACCTGCCTGGCTGGGAACCCACTCAGGTGACGTGGCTCGTTCTCTCAGCAAAGGCCTCATCTTGGGTTGGGGGGGGTGAGGCTGGGGCAGGGCGTGCAGCCCTCCTCTGTGGCCTGTGCTGCTGTGCCTGGCGGCCCAGCAGGCTCTCTCTCTGGCCTCCTTCCCTGCCCTCTGCCATCTCGGGGCCGGCACTCATAGGCTCAGCCGCCACTGCCAAAGAGAGGTTGTCCCAAGAGGGACCAACCAAGAAAGCATTGAAATGAATGGCTGAAGAGGGGCCGCCATAAATTAGCGTCTCTCCCTAAAACCACTCCCTGGGACCCCTGGCAAGAATGCCCTGCTCAACCAGCTGGACCCAGCACCCTGCAGACCTGCAGACAGGTGGGCCGGGTCAGAGGAACCACAGCTGCACAGGGCACCCCCACACTCGGAGACTGAACGCAACTCCCCGGGAGCCGCCCTTCATCTCTAGGCCAGAGAGGACATGAGTGGAGGAGAAAGCCTTCCTCCTCTGCGTCTGTGCATCTGTGCGTCTGTGCGTCTGTGCGTCTGTGCGTCTGTGTGGGTGTCACATGTCTGCACATCTGTGTGTCTGTGTGTGCATGTGCTTAGAGGGAAATTTAGAGCTTCAAATATACCAAAAAGAAATGACGTCTAAAATCAATGACCTAAGTTTCCACCTTAAGAAGGTAGAAAAAGAAGAGCAAAGTAAACCCGAGGCAAATTCAAAGGAGCAAATAGTAAAAATAAAAGTAGAAATTTAAAAAAGAGAAAATTAATAAGCCCAAAAGTTGATTCTTTGAACAATTAACAAAAGTGACAAAGCTAGGAATACTGACGGAGGGAGAGGACACTCATCGCCAGTAAGGACAAGTGAGGACACATCGCTACGGGCCCAACAGACACTGAAAGGATAAAAGGAAATCGTGCGAACAGCTTTATCCCAAGAAATCTGACAATTTAGATGAAATTCTCAAGTTTCTTGAAAAATACAACTTACCGACACAGACACAAGATGAGACAGAAAAGCTGAACAGTTCTATTTCTGTTAAAGAAATTGATTACTGAAAATCTACCGCAGAGAAATCTCTAGCACCTTGAGGGACAAAATGAGCCAATCCAGAGTGAGGAGTCATTCCACAAGAAGATGCCCTGGTCCTCCCACCGAGCAAAGGGCCCGGGCAGCTTCCTGGGGTCAGGGAGACTTCAGGGCACAGTGACCTCATGCCAGGTGGGGGCCTTGTGGGGTCCCAGTGGGGCCCAGGCATCTGCGAAAGGGCTTCTTCAGAAAATCTGGGAAACACCCATCTTGATGTTAAGGAGTAAGTGGTAACTTACGACGTGATTTTTAGGTGAGATAACAGAACTGTGGCTACGGAGATAAAAGCCCTTGTCAGAGGCAGACTGGGGCACTTGCAGTGAAATTTCATGTTGTCTGGGATTTTTCAGGATACTCCAGTGTATGTGTGTGTGTGAGATGAAACAAGATTGGCAAAATCTTAACCGTTAAAGCTGGAGACTCGTCCTTGAGGTCCATCCTCCTGTTCCCTCTGCTTTTCTGAAGCTGAAAGACACCATAGCAAAGCGTCTGGGGCAAGTGACTGAGGCCCTGAGAGACAGCTTGTGTCCTCCATGCACCCTCCCTCCCACCCAATTACACATACCTGGGTCTGCTTTACTCAGCCAGGGACCTTGTGGGGTGGCCTAGGCAAAGAGACGGGCAGTGTGGACTGTTTCCTTACTGAGAGGAAGGCTTGACCCAGGTGTAAACGTCCTCCTTTGAGAAACGTGGTCCTGTGCCCACTTCACACCAGCCCTGCCTTGTCCACCGGCTCGAACGTTGGGTGACCCTGGGGGTGGGGTCCGAGGTGTCCTCGTCAGGTGCTATGGACCCAGGGTCAGCCAGGCATGACACAGAGCCACACGCCACCCTGATGCACACCGCCAAGAACTCAAAGCAGACATCTTCTGGGGTGCAACACAGAGCACAGCCACCCAAGGAGGATCCCAAATGTGAAACCCCACACGTGAGCTGTGTGAGAGTTGACCTGGAAAGCTCTGTCTGTGGGGAACAGGGCTCCATGGCACGCACTTGACAGAGGTGCGTGGGGAGCAAACTCGAGCTGTCCATCAGAAACGCTTTAGCATTCTTTTAAAGTGCTTCCTCATTAAAACTCAGAATTCTGTTTGAATAGACCAATCATCAGTAAGGAGATCGAAACAGTAATCAAAAACCTCCCCCAAAATAAAGGTCCAGGACCAGACAGCTTCCCCAGAGAATTCTACCAAATGTTCAACTGAGACTTAATACCTATCCCTCTCAAACTCTTCCAAAAAGTTGAACAGGGGAAGCTTCCTACCTCATTCTATGAGGCCAACATCACCCTGATATGAAAACCAGACAAGGACAACACAAAAAACGAAAATTACCAGCCAGTATCACTAGTGAACATAGATGCAAAAATCCTCACCAAAATACTAGCAAATCGAATACAATAATACATTAAAAAGATCATACATCATGATCAAGTGGGATTTATTCCAGGGATGCAGGGATGGTTCAACATCTGCAAATCAATCGTGATACACCACATTAACAAAATGAAGAATAAAAGTCACGTGATCGTCTCAATTGATGCAGAAAACATTTGACAAGATCCAACATCCATTTACGATGAAAACTCTGAATAAAATGGAGATACAAGGAAAGCACCTCAAGATAATAAAGGCCATATATGACAAACCCACAGCCAATATCATTCTCAATAGAGAAAACCTGAAAGCTATCCATCTAAGAACAGGAACCAGACAAGGATGCCCACTGTCACCAGCCTTATTTAACATAGTATTGGAAGTCCCAGCCAGAGCAATCAGGCAAGAAAAAGAAATAAAAGGGATCCATACTGGCAAAGAAGACGTGAAACTGTCACTATTTGCAGATGACATGATTTTATATAGAGAAAAGCCTAAAGAATCCACCAAAAACTTTTTAGAAATAATAAATGAATACAGTCAAGTCGCAGGATACAAAATCAACATACAAAAATCGGTTGTGTTTCTATACACTAAGAATGAAGTAGCAGAAAAAGAAAAGAAGAATACAATCCCATTTGCGATTGCAACAAAGAGAATAAAATACGTAGGAATAAATTTAACCAGAGAGGTGAAAAACCTATACACTGAAGACTATAAAACATTGTTGAAAGCAACTGAAGAAGACACAAAGAAATGGAAAGATATTCTCTGCTCTCGGATTGGAAGAATTAACATAATTAAAATGTCCATACTTCCTAAAGCAATCTACAGATTCAATGCAATCCCTATCAAAATTCCAATGACATTTTTCACAGAAAGAGAACAAAGAATCCTAAAATTTATTTGGAACAAGAAAAGACCCCGAATAGCCAAAGGATTCCTGAGAAAAAAGAGCAAAGCTGGAGGTATCACACTCCCTGATTTCGAAATATACTGCAAAGCCATAGTAACCAAAACAGCACGGTACTGGCACAAAAACAGACACACAGATCCACAGAACAGAATCGAGAGCCCAGAAATAAACCCACACTTCTATAGACAGCTAATATGCGACAAGGGAGCCAAGAGCCTACGATGGAGAAAGGAGAGTCTCTTCGATAAATGGTGTTGGGAAAACTGGACAGCCACATGCAAAAGAATGAAAGTAGACCACTGTCTTACACCATGCACAGAAATCAACTCAAAATGGATGACAGACTTGAATGTAAGACCTGAAACCATGAAACTTCCAGAAGAAAACAGGGAGTACACTCCTCGACATGGGTCTTAGCAGCATATTTTCAAGTACCCTGTCTGACTGGGCAAGAGAAACAACAGAAAAAATAAACAAACGGGACTACATCAAACTAAAAAGCTTCTGCACAGCAAAGGAAACCATCAGCAAAATGAAAAGACAGCCTAAAAGTTGGGAGAAGATACTTACAAATCATATATCAGATAAGGGGTTAATATCCAAAATATACAAAGAACTCATATGTCTCAGCAACAAAAAACCAACACCACAATTAAAAACTGGACAAAAGATCTGAACAGACATTTCTCCAAAGAAGATATACGGATGCCCAACAGGCACACGAAAAGATATTTCACATCATTAACTATCAGGGAAATGCAAATCAAAACTGCAATGAGGTATCACCTCATTCCGGTCAGAACGGCTATAATTAACAAGATAGGAAACAAGTATTGGAGAGGATGTGGAGAGAAGGGAACCCTCGTACACTGCTGGTGGGAGTGCAAACTGGTGCAGCCACTATGGAAAGCAGTGTGGAGTATGCTCATAAAATTATGAATAGATCTACCATATGATCCAGCTATCCCACTGCTGGGTATTTTCCCAAAGAACTTGAAAACACGAATGCATAAAGATACATGCACCCCTATGTTCATCACAGCTTTATTCACAACAGCCAAGACTCGGAAACAACCTAGGTGCCCATAAGGGACAAATGGATAAAGAAGATGTGGTACATATGCACAGTGGAATAATACTCAGCCATAAGAAATGATGAAATCTGGCCATTTGTAACAACATGGATGGTCCTTGAGGGTATTATGTGACGTGAAATAAGTCAGAGGGAGAAAGTCAAATTCCATATGACCTCACTCATAAATATAAAATAAAACAACAGCACCAACAACCAACACACAGAGACAGAGATGGGATTGGTGGTTACCAGAGGGGAAGGGGGGAGGGAGGAGGGCTAAGGGGTGATGAGGCACATGCGTGTGGTGACGGATGGTAGTTAGTCTTTGGGTGGTGAACATGATGTAATCTACACAGAAATGGAAATATAACGATGTACACCTGAAAAAGAAAGAAAAAACAAACTCGCTATTCTTTGTTGGACGACACAGATAGACCCTGTAGTGCGTGGCTGGGAAACCTGCGGTGGCCCAAGTGTGCAGCTCCTTCCTTCCGTAGGGTCTTGCTGCCTCCCCCCAGGGCCCGTCGCCACCCAGCACACTCTCCCTGCACCAACGGCGGGGTCGGGGGCAGACTCTCCTGTGCAGGCACCACCCCAGCCAGCTGCAAAGACGGCCGTGGGGTTTCGGGCACCCTGACGATAGGGGGCTGTTTGGGGTGAAGAGTGGGGAGCTGGGGTCGGAGGGCAGGGCAGACTATGCTTGCGAGCAACTCAGAGTAGAGGACGGAGCGGCAGAGCGCGGCCTTCGAGGCAGGCACAGCATGGCTGGGAGCCAGCTGCGGTGGGGGAGTCCTTCAGGAGCCCCCTCCCCACTTTAGACAACAGGCAGGCCGAGCCGCAGTCCCCCAGTGAAAGGATACAATGTAGGCGATGTACTTCCACTCCTGTGGCAGCAAGGGAATGAAGATGAAGAAGCTGGCGAAGGCCAAGACCAAGAACATGATCCAGGCCGCCGCCTGGAAGGAGTGAAGGGGCTTCGACCAGCCGTTCACTCTGGACCGGCGAGGCGCTAGGATCTGCTTCCCCTCCTTGGCCGGGGCTTCTGGGATGACCCGTCTCCATTTCTTGGTACAGAAACCCATCTGCAAGAGGGAGGAGAGGAGCGTGGCAGGCCCCGGACCTCCTGCCACGGCCCCTCGTGGCTGGGGCCACCCCTGGGGGACAGGAACCCACTGCCTGCCATCGCCCCGGACCGCTTTTGGCAGCACAGCTGCCGGGGCTGTGGCTGTGGCTGGGGCTGCAGTGGGCACGGTCCCCCTCAGGGTAATCGGAGGAAGCCTGTGGAGCCCGCCCAGGCCACAGTGATGATGGCCTGTGGAAAACAGCTCTTGGAGGGTCCGTGGTCCAGAGGGCTGCGGGACCGGGAGGGGCAGCCACCTGCTAGGACCCCTGGTGTGGGCAGCTACCCATCTCTCGTGGTCTGGGGACAGCGATGAGTCCAGGGGCATGCTTATAAATGTCCAGGGACTCATGAGAAGACCCCATCAGATGTGGGAGGAGGACCTGCATCTGAAAGAGGCCCTCGTGCCTGGGGAGACCAGGGTGATGCTGGAAATGCACTTGGTGTGGTGCTGTGACGCTGTTACCCACCGGCGTCCTCCCTGAGGATCCTCCCTGCAACTTTCGCTCAAGGACAGGACGAGAGACTACATTTCCAGAGAGTTCTCTGTCATTCCCTCTGCGGGACGGGGGGACCTCTGACCACAGGGCTTCCGGGCCCCGCAGCATCCTGGTGTTGCCCAGGTGCAGTGGCTGGGAGGGCACCATGGCCACTGCTGGCCAGTCAGGGGCAGGGACGCCAGCAAAGGCAGGGACGTGGTGTTGGGGAGACTTAGGGGGCCGGAAAGGGGTGAGAGAGAGGGACTTAAGGTGGGACTTGAGGAGTTCAGGACTCCGCCAGGCTAGGCCCTGTGCAGAGCCTGTGCTGTCCCTTCAGACTAAAATGCACAGACAGTGTGGTTGATGGAAATGCATTACTCTGGGGAGACACAGAGACGTTGAAAACTATCCCAAGACTTTCTTGTGTGCTGTGAACTCCCGTGGGAGTTTTCCTACGATCGGACTGCAGCTGCTGTCCACTGCTCTTGGCTGTTGCTGTTTCTCTGGATGGGACACCAGGTGGATATGGGGCCACAGTGGCCCCGAGCTTCCTCGGGACCTGCGAGAACACCACGCTTGTAAGACAAGACCAAGGTTCTGAGGTCTGGAGCACAGAAAGGCAGTCCTAGGGATCAAAGCATGATTCCCAAATAAAAGCAACACTTGGATGGGAGAGCCAGCTAAAAGAAAGGACATTGCCGGAAGTCAAATCGCAGGGATCTGAAGGGTCAAGTCAAAGAATTATCACAGGTCTCAGAACAGAGAGGTGGGAAGTGAAAATTATGAGCGAAAATTTAAGTGACGTGGAGTAATAGAAGCTGGAGACACAATATCTGTTAAGATTTCCAGAAGAGGAAAATGGAGAGGATGCGAGAGAAGAAACAAAGGAAAAGGTGAAGACAATGTGTCTGTGCTGCAGGAGACTCCAGACCCCAGACCTGAGGCTCGCTCCCAGAGCCAGACGGGACCGCGAAACAGGAATACAGCCTCTGTGGGCACGAGAACTTCTAGGATACAAAGTCCTCAACTGTTGCTGGAAGGAAAAACAATGAGATGCCTACAGTCTGGGATACCTGGAAGTTGTAATGGCATCAGATGTTGCAAAATTTTAAACCCAGGGCCGTCCTGAGAGTATTTGGAACCTGAAATAGGTCCAGCCAAACTCTCCCTGAAGTGAGAGCCGAGAGAAAGCCATGGACGCATGAGGGCTCGAGGGGCACCAACTCATCTCTTCTGAAAAGACTGACTCCCTCAAATCTGAAAATTGCCCCCATAACAGGGAAGGCATGAAGTAAAACCACAGCGGTGAGCAAATGAGTCTATGTCACGTCTAAATCAAAGCCACAGGGAAGTCGAGTGGAAGTGACCGCTGATGACAGAGCTGGCTTGTGCCGTGTCAGCAGGCACACCCGTGGGGAGGCACAGACGGCAGCAACGCGGTGGGAGGACAAGACGACGGGCGGGAGGCACACGTTCACCCCAAATTTATGGGGAGTCGGACCTGGCAGACACAGCTGAAGTCCGGCACCTTTTGGACCCTGTCCTGGGGGTGCAGGGTGGTTGTGGGCTCCTCGAGGACTAAGGGAACCTGGAAGAGAAGAGACAGGGTTGGGGAAGGTGAGGCTGGACCCGCAGCCACAAGGTGTGTGCAACCCTCAGCCCACCCTTCCCAAACCCTCAGCCCACCGTCCCCAGTCAGCACGGTCTTTACTCAGACATCTCCATTAACAAACACCGAGCATTCTTTTCACCTAGGTTGAAATATGTGTGAAAGGGAAAACGTGTATTTTCTAGTTCAAATTTCATCTTTTCTTTTTTAAAGATTGACACCTGAGCTGACACCTCTTGCCAGTCTTCTTTTTCCCTTCTTCTTCTCCCCAAAGGCCCCCAGCACATAGTTGTATATTCTGGTTGTGGGTCCTTCTGGTTGTGGCATGTGGGATGCTGCCTCAACACAGCCTGATGAGCGGTGCCATGTCCATGCCCAGGATCCGAACCAGCAAAACCCTGGGCTGCTGAAGTGGAGCGCACGAACTTAACCACTTGGCCACGGGGCTGGTCCCCAATTCCTTTCTTTTTTGCAGGGACAGAGTGGCCCTGAGCTGACATCTGTTGCCCATCTTCCTCTTTTTTTTCCTCCCCAAAGCCCCAGTGCATGGTTCTACATGCTAGTTGCAAGTCCTTCTAGTTCTTTTACGTGGGCCGCCACCTCAGCATGGCTACTGACAGATGAGCAGTGTGGTTCCACGCCCAGAACCAAACCCGGCCACGGAAGCATTGAGAGCACGGAGAACTTTAACCATGGGGCCATCAGGGCGGCTCTTTAGTTCAAATTCTTATCTCTCGGGAGACAGGATCAGTTAAAAAAAACTGGGACCAAACACCTGGCTATTGACAAGTGTGACACTTCCTGTTTCCTTTGGGGTGAAATGGCACAATTAAAGTGGGCTCCACGCCAGCCCCCATCCCACAGCCTCCCTGTCTGGCGACAGCCCCCACAAACAGGCAGGGTGCACTGCAAGTGGTCAGAGCATGCCTGGTGTGAGAGCTCGTCCACTCTGTCCACATCATCCGCCATTCGTGGGACGTCTACTTGGGGAAACACCACTTCCTACCTGAACCAGGACTCCACCTGGCCCGCTCCCCACCTGGAGGGTGAGACCGCGCCTTCTATCCGATGACGGCACAGACTCGCCCTTCTCGCTTCCCTCGGCTGAGCAAGTAGCATGTGGGGGTGAGAGGGGATCCGGGGCTGGGCAGCAGTGACCACAGGCACCTGGGACGCTCGTCCCTCCACTCGCTGAGCGGGAGTCCCGCTGGCACACAGTGTCACTGGTGGGGCCCCAGCAGAGAGCGCCAGGGAAACCCACTCCTTCCCGCCCAGGCTGGCTGTGACACTGCTGCTGCGCGTGAACACATGCACACCACACACACACACAAACCACACACACCCGACACATGTACACATATACACACAGCACCACACGACACACAACACACACACAGCAGATGTACACACGCTCTTTCAGGTTTCTGCACTCATTTCTCACTTCTCGACCTTTTTCACGCTATTTCCTCAGCCTGGAGTCTAGTCCACCCTCTGCCCCTCCCCCTGGGTAGCGGCCACCTCCTGCCTTCCGGGCCTTTGTCCCGGTGTCACTTCCTCTGGAAGTTCTCCCCGACACCCTCACCAAGTCTGAGTCGGGGCCCCTTCGTCTATTCCTTCCAAGAGTGTTGTAATTAATCTTTCTGGATTCCATCCGAGGCAAGGGAACGTTTGTGACATTGCTATAGGGCTGACTCCTAGCCCGGGGCTCAGGAAATGGGCCCTGTTTGAGGCTCAGCTGCCTGGGTCGCCATTTGCCCCATTTTGGTTCCTGCCTCTTGGTTTTCATTGCCCCTAAGGGCTCTGGTCTGTGCTCCGATACGAGACTGTTGGTGCCAGAGTGATCCCAGGAGGTCACTGTCGCCTCCGAGCCCCCAACACAACCATGGCAGACACGCATGGAGCTGCGGTAGACCTGCTGAGCTGGCCTGTGGTTGTGGACGGAGGCAGGTGGCCGGGGTTGTGGCCACTCCGTGGGTGGTCGCTGTCCCTGCACCCCCCGCCCATCCCTCCTCCTGCTGCTCCCGTCCTCCCTCGGAACAAGGCATCCTGGCTGACCTGCGTGTGGGCTGGGGACGCTGACCTGGGCCCCCGTCTGCGTGTCTGTCACACTGTGGCCTCTGCGCAAACAGTGTTTTCTGAAGGCCATTGTCTGAGAGATCCTGACGGTGTCAGAACCACTGTGCTGTGCTCCGCCGGGTCCTGGACTGTCTGCACAGCGAGCAGGGGTCCTCCTGCTGGCTCCCCGCTCAAAGGAGGAGTGAGAAGGGGAGAACCTACCTCCTTCGCAGCCACAACTCACTCTTTCTTCTCATCTATCACAGGTTAAATCTAATCCGATGCTTGTCTCAGGCCAAACTGAGGGGGAGCCAGACCCCCCTGGTTGGCACGGCAGGGACAGAACCCCAGGCGTCTCACAAAGCCAGGGGCGTGGCCCCTGGCCCCTCCCTGCTGCCAGGTGGGGGAAGGGGGCTGGGGGTTTGAGACAGACCCTGCGGACCCCGTGTGGAGGGGTCGGGGCCTCTGACAGGGTGGCTGGTGGCAGCACCACCCGTCACCGCCCGCACCCCAGTCCGTTTTACACGGTCCTGAGTTTTGACCAGAACTCATCGTCCCGTAGCTCCTCGGTGAGAAGGCGGTCGGCTCTTCGTCCTCCCTGACCCCTGCTTCCACTGCACACGCGTCGCCCAAGTGTTGAGCCCAACCTTCCTCGTCATGCTTGACCCTGTCGGCCGTGTTGGCTACAGGAGCCCAAACTCGCACGCCCTGTCCGGGACGTCTGCGCCCGGGTCAGACCTGGGACGTGTGGCACAGACACCACTGCCCAAGCCTGACAGGCTCATGGCGGCCCCTTGGCGAACGTGAGGGGGACACGGCAAAGGAGAGGAGTGGGGGAGTGGGGGACATGGGAACGCCGTGGGCCATTGGGGCCCTGAGCCAGGGCAGGCTTTTCTCGGGAGGACTGCGGTCGGTTGCCATGGCTCACAGCCCCTCCCCTTGCCCCACTTCCCACCTCCGTGGCCCAATTCTTAAGCTGAAGAAATTTCTGGTCCCTGTCTGTGGGATTCCAGGACTCCCATCTGAAGGCCCTGCAAATGCAGGATGGGGAGGGCGGGCAGCAGAGGTGGCTCCTGTGGTCCACCCGCGCCCTAGGCCCCACTCACCTTCTTGGGGAAGCACCTGAGCCGGGCAGTCTCCGCAGCGGACGGCTGGCTGTGTCTCCTCTGAAATGTGTGTGTGTGGCCCGGATGCCTCGCACCTGCATTGGCCAGAGGTGTGCCCCGACCGGCAGCTGGGCTGGGCCCAGATGTACAAGGCACACGATGCAGGGAAACGGTCAGGTCTGGGCAGGGTCAGATGTACAAGGCACACGATGTAGGGAAGCCGTCAGGTCTGGGCAGGGCCGGATGTACAAGGCACACGATGTAGGGAAGCCGTCAGTCTGGGCAGGGCCGGATGTACAAGGCACACGATGTAGGGAAGCCGTCAGGTCTGGGCAGGGCCGGATGTACAAGGCACACGATGTAGGGAGGCCGTCAGGTCTGGGCAGGGCCGGATGTACAAGGCACACGATGGAGGGAAGCCGTCAGGTCTGGGCAGGGCCGGATGTACAAGGCACACGATGGAGGGAAGCCGTCAGTCTGGGCAGGGCCGGATGTACAAGGCACACGATGGAGGGAAGCCGTCAGTCTGGGCAGGGCCGGATGTACAAGGCACACGATGGAGGGAAGCCGTCAGTCTGGGCAGGGCCGGATGTACAAGGCACACGATGGAGGGAAGCCGTCAGTCTGGGCAGGGCCGGATGTACAAGGCACACAGGAAGGGAAGCCCTCAGTCTGGGCAGGGCCTGGGACCAGCTGGAGTGAAGGAGCTCCTCCATGAGTTAGGGCATGTGCCCCACAAATCGTGGCCTTGCCGGCGCCTCCTCAGCACCCAGGGGTCTCTGCGGGGTGGGCAGCAAGGCCGGTGGGGCTGATGTGGAGGCTGCCACCTGGCCTTAGTCAGTCCCACTCCATCCAGCCCACTGTCCTCGCCCTCCTGCTCACCTGGGCTTCCATTTCCTCATCCTGCACAGTGTCTTCGGCCCAGCAGTGCCTTCCTGAAGGATCGCAAGGGAGCAAAGTGTCATCGGGATGACAGGGACACTTATCCGGGACACCTTAGCTGACCGAAGATGAGCAGGAGGAGATGGGTGCCCGGGATGCCCTCCTGGGATCCCAGGGAATAAAGGGGCTGGGAGTGGGGCTGCCAGGATGTGGGCAGGTGGCGGCCTCCCAGGGACCCCAGAGGCCAGCACCGGCCTGTGGGCAGACCCAAGCTCGCTGGACATAGCTCCGCTGTGCTGATGTCTGCCCAGAAACCACGTCCGAGAGGGCAGGAGGCTGAAGAGGCCCACAACCGACCAGACAGCCGGCCTCCACACTGCCACCACTGCCATCCACCTGCTGCCCAGGCCAGGCTACTCCTGCCCAGGGTCCAGCAAGACAACAGCACAGAGCCCACCATATGCCAGGACAACGTGCCACCAGACAGACCCGGGCAGACAATCAGGCCGCCCGACCAGGGTCTCAGGCCCCAAGGTCCTAGCCAACCGCACGGTGGAGGCCATGGGTCGCGGGAGACCTCACAGCCACGAACACTGGCAACTAGAACAAAGGCAGGGCACCCCTCAGAAAGAGGGGCCCCTCCACGCATGGTCAGCTCCACAGGGATGTGTCTCTGAGAAAGACTGTGCTTCTCCGCAGGCGAGGCCACGGGTCCTGAGCACAGCAGATGCGTTGCTCAAGCTGCCAGTCAAGAGTTTCTCCAGGTCTTGAAAGTGCTTTCTGGTGACTTAAGATTGACGGCGCCTCTGTCCCCTGCACAGAACACGCTTCTCCAGACAAGCACCTGTGCGTCCTGTGGGTGGTGCAGGGCGGCCCCTCGGCTCTGCACTCCAGGGGGCTTGCTGGAGCCAATGACCTCAACTGGTGCCCCTGAAGGCCAACAGGCCCCAGGCAGCTCCTGGGTAACTCTGAAGGAGGCCACCAGGGGCCAAGGGGTGGAGGACACACCACCTCAGGGCACCCCAAGTCTGCAGGTAGTGGGGGCCTCCCGAATGAGCCAGAGCCAGGTGCCCTCAGCCACTCACGCCTTCGAAAATTACCCTTCCTCTTGGACGCCTTTGCTTCCTGAAAATGACTTTAGAAGTCCCCAAATCAGGGCCTGCTCACCATACAAACATCAGGAAATAGACACGAGAAGAAGAGAGAACATAAAAGCCACTGACCCCCAGCGGGGCGAGCAGGACCTGCTCTCTGCATGAACGTGCGCACAGGGATTTAAGCACCACCGGCGGCCTCTCGGGCCCACGTTATGCCCACCGGTTCCCTTAACTGCAGCGGCGTTGCTCCGCCCTCACGTAGACCCACCACGGGGCTTCACGGAGTGCATAGCACTCCGTCGTACGCGGCTGGTCAACGTGCCTGAATTCTAGGGCGCCCAGGACTTTCCGTCACAATTAGCCTCCTTGCAGTTCTCTTGCACACATTCGAGGTCCTGAAAGGTGCCGCATCCCGGGAAGGGTCTGCACTGTGGGCGAGGGAGGTCAGGGCGGGTGGGGGGCGGGGGTGGCCACACAGGAGAGCATAGGTGGAGCACAGGGCAGGTTGGGCAGGCGGGCTCTCACACTCGGGCTCACAGGCATGCATACACACCCTCGCATGCTCACGAGCATGTCCACAAGTGCACACGTGCTCACGTGCGTGCACACACCCTCACTGGTCTTGGTCGTGTGTCGCTTCCAGGAGAAAGAGCTGCGAGGGGGATTCTGGTCATCCAGCACTGTCTGTCCAGACAGCCTCTCTTGGGACAACCTTTGGTCCCCTCTCCCGAGCAAATCGACTGTCACGGTGGTGTGAGGCACCTGCTGGCTGGCCCTGAGGGTCGCCCCCCTCACCTGGCCCCTGGGTCAGCTATTCTGGCCACCAGAGGTGTCTGTGGATCTTGGCCAGGATCTTGCCAGCTTCCTTGGGCAGAGGGCCCAGCGAGGCGGCCCAAGCCCTGGGCTCACGGCTGCAGCACCCCCAGGGGTGGCCTGAGCCCTGGTGGGGTCTGTGGCCCGAGGCCCACACTGACACACACGACAACGTGGATGGACCTCAAAAACCTTGTGCTGAGTGAAAGAAGCCAGGACAAAGGGCCACGTAGTGCGTGGTTCCACTTCTGCGAAGTGTCCACAAGAGGGAATTCTGCACGACCAAAAACAGAGTGGTTGCCAGGCGCTGGGGGAGGTACTGGGGGTGGCTGCTGATGGGGACCGGGTTTCCCTTTGGGGTGATGGGAATGCTCTGGAGTTCGATAAAGAGGTGGTGGTTGCACAGATTGTGAATGTGCCAAATGCACTCAGTTGCACACTTTATATGCTATTTTTTTTTTTTTTTACTTTTTATTAAGATTATGAGAGTTTACAACCTTGTGAAATTTCAGTTGTACATTATTGTCAGTCATATTGTAGGTGCACCACTTCCCCGTTTGCACCCATTCCCCACCCCCCTTTCCCCTGGTAACCAGCAATCAGTTCTCTTTTGTCTACATGTTTAACTTCCACCTATGGAAGTTTGTCTTTCTCTGTCTGGCTTATTTCACTTAACATAATACCTTCAAGGTCCAGCCATGTTCTTGTGAATGGGACGATGTTATACTTTTTTATGGCTGAGTAGTATTCCATTGTATATATATACCACATCTTCTTTATCCAATCATCTGTTGATGGGCACTTCGGTTGCTTCCACGTCTTGGCTATTGTAAATAATGCTGCAATGAACATAGGGGTGCATGGGACTTCTGGAATTGCTGACTTCAAGCTCTTTGGATAGACACCCAGTAGTGGAATAGCTGGGTCGTATGGTAGTCCTATTTTTAATCTTTTGAGAAATCGCCATACTGTTTTCCATAGTGGCTGCACCAGTTTGCATTCCCACCAGCAGCGTATCAGGGTTCCTTTTTCTCCACATCCTCTCCAACATTTCTCACTTTTTGTTTTGGTTATTTTTTGCCATTCTAACAGTTGTAAGGTGATATCTTTGTGTAGTTTTGATTTGCACTTCCCTGATGATTACTGATGTTGAGCATCCTTTCATGTGTCTATTGGCCATCCATATACCTTCTTTGGAGAAATGTCTGTTCATGTCCCCTGCCCATTTTTTGATCCGGTTGTTTGATTTTTTGTTGTTCAGCTGTGTGAGTTCTTTATATGCTATGGAGATTAACCCTTTGTCAGATATATGACTTGTAAATACTTTTTCCCAATTAGTGGGTTGTCTTTTTGTTTCAATCCTGTTTTGCCTTGCCTTGAAGAAGCTCTTTAGTTTGATGAGGTGCCATGTGTTTATTCTTTCTATTGTTTCCCTTGTCTGAGAAGACATGGTGTTGGAAAAGATCCTCTTGATACTGATGTCAAAGAGTGTACTGCCTACATTTTCTTCTAGAAGCCTTATGGTTTCAGGTCTAATCTTTAGGTCTTTGATCCATTTTCAGTTTATTTTTGTGAATGGTGAAAAAGAATGGTCAATTTTCATTCTTTTACATGTGGCTATCTGGTTTTCCCAGCAACATTTGTTGAGGAGACTTTCTTTTCTCCGTTGTAGGCCCTCCGCTCCTTTGTCGAAGATTAGCTGTCCATAGATGCATGGTTTTATTTCTGGGCTTTCAGTTCTGTTTCATTGATCTGTGCACCTGTTTTTGTACCAGTACCATGCTGTTTTGACTACTGTAGCTTTGCAGTATGCTTTGAAGTCAGGGATTGTGATGCCTCTGGCTTTGTTCTTCTTTCTCAGGATTGCTTTAGCAATTCGGGGTCTTTTGTTGCCCCATATGAATTTTAGGATTCTTTGTTCTATTTCTGTAAAGAATGTCATTGGAATTCTTTGGGATTGTGTTGAATCTGTAGATTGCTTTAGGTAGTATGGACATTTTAACTATGTTTACTCTTCCAATCCATGTACATGGAATGTCTTTCCATCTCTTTATGTCGTCATCAATTTCTTTCAGGAAAGTCTTCTAGTTTTCGTCATATAGGTCTTTCACTTCCTTGGTTAAATTTACCCCAAGCTATTTTATTCTTTTGGTGCGATTGTGAATGGGATTGTGTTCTTGAGTTCTTTTTCTGTTAGTTTGTTGTTAGAGTATACAAATGCTACTGATTTATGCATGTTGATTTTATACCCTGCAACTTTGCTGTAGCTGTTGATTATTTCTGATAGTTTTCCAATGGATTCTTTGGGGTTTTCTATATATAAGATCATGTCATCTGCAAACAGTGAGAGTTTCACTTCTTCACTGCCTCTTTGGGTTCCTTTTATTTCTTTTCCCTGTGGAATTGCTCTGGCCAAAACCTCCAGTGCTATGTTGAATAAGAGTGGTGAGAGTGGACACCCTTGTCTTGTTCCTGTTCTCAGAGGGATGGCTTTCAGTTTTTGCCCATTGAGTATGATGTTGGCTGTAGGTTTGTCATATATGGTCTTTCTTATGTTGAGGTACTTTCCTTCTATACCCATTTTATTGAGAGTTTTTATCGTAAATGGATGTTGGATCTTGTTGAATTCTTTCTCTGCATCTATTGAGATGATCATGTGGTTTCTGTTTCTCATTTTGTTAATGAAGTGTATTGCGTTGATTGACTTGTGGATGTTGAACCATCCCTGCGTCCTTGGTATAAATCCCACTTGATCATGGTGTATAATCTTTTTAACGTATTGCTGTATTCGGTTTGGCAAAATTTTGTTGAGGATTTTTGCATCTATGTTCATCAGTGATATTGGCCTGTAGTTGTCCTTCTTTGTGTTGTCCTTGTCTGGTTTTGGGATCAGGGTGATGTTGACTTCATAGAATGTGTTAGGGAGTGCTCCATCTTCCTCAGTTTTCTGGAATAGTTTGAGAAGGATAGGTATTAAATCTTCTTTGAATGTTTGCTAGAATTCTCCAAAGAAGCCATCTGGTCCTGGACTTTTATTTTTGGGGAGGTTTTTGATTACTGTTTCAATTTCTTTACTCGTGATCGGTCTATTCAGGTTCTCTATTTCTTCCTGCTTCAGTTTTGGGAAGTTGTAAGAGTCTAAGAATTTATCCATTTCTTCTAGGTTGTCCAATTTGTTGGTATATAGTTTTTCATAGTATTCTCTTATGATCTTTTGTATTTCTGTGGTATCCGTTGTGATTTCTCCTCTCTCATTTCTAATTTTATTTGAGTCTTCTCTCTTTTTTCTTACTGAGCTGGCTAAGGGTTTGTCAATTTTGTTTACCTTTTCAAAGAACCAACTCTTTGTTTCATGGATCCTTTCTATTATCTTTTTTGTTTCACTTTCATTTATTTCTGCTCTAATTTTTCTTATTTCCTTCCTTCTACTGACTTAGGGCTTTGTTTCTTTTTCGAATTCTGTTAGGTGTTGCTTGAGATTGCTTATCTGAGATTTTTCTTGTTTATTGAGGTGAGCCTGTGTTGCAATGAATTTCCCTCTTGGGACCACTTTTGCTGCATTCCAAATGAGGTAGTATGCGTGTTTTCATTTTCATTTGTCTCCAGATAATATTTGATTTCTTCTTTAGTTTCTTCAATGATTCATTGTTTGTTCAGTAGCATATTGTTTAGTGTCCACATTTTTGCTCCTTTCCCAGCTTTATTCTTGTAGTTGATTTCTAGTTTCATAGCATTACGGTCGGAAAAGATGCTTGATATTATTTCAACCCTCTTGAATTTGTTGAGGCTTGATTTGTTTCCCAAGATATGGTCTATCCTTGAGAACGTTCCATGTGTACTTGAGAAGAATGTGTGACCTGCTGTTTTTGGATGGACTGTTCAATATGTATCTATTAAGTCCATCTGGTCAAGTTTTTCATTTAATTCTATAATTTGCTTGTTGACTTCCTGTCTGGATGATCTATCCATTGGTGTTAGTGTGGTGTTGAGGTCCCTACTATTATTGTATTGTTGTTGATATCTCCTTTTAGTTTTGTTAATAGTTGCTTTACATACTTTGGTGCTCCTGTGTTGGGTGCGTATATATTTATAAGTGTTATGTTTTCTTCGTGGAGTGTTCCTTTTGTCATTATAAACTGCCTCTCTGTCTCTCTTTATCTGTTTTGCTTTGAAGTCTACTTTGTCTGATCTAAGTATGGCAACACCTGCTTTTTTGTAAATATTGGCACCTGAGCCAACAACTGTTGCCAATCTTTTTTTTTTTTTTCTGCTATATCTCCTCAAATACCCCTGGTACATAGTTGTATATCTTAGTTGCAGGTCCTTCTAGTTGTGGCATGTGGGACGCCGCCTCAACGTGGCCTGACAAGCAGTGCCATGGCTGCGCCCAGGATCTGAACTGGCGAAACCCTGGGCCACTGCAGCAGAGCACGCAAACTTAACCACTCAGCCAGGGGGCCGGCACCGACACCTGCTTGCTTATGTTCATCATTAGCTTGGAGTATCGTCTCCCATCCCTTCACTCTGAGTCTGTGTTTGTCTTTGGGGCTGAGGTGTGTTTCCTGGAGGCAGCATATTGTTGGGTCTTGTCCTTTAATCCATCCTGCCACTCTGGGCCTTTTGATTGGAGAGTTCAATCCATTTACATTTAGAGTGATTATTGAAATGTGGGGGGCTAACGCTGCCATTTAATCACTTGTCTTCTGGTTCCCTTGCATTTCCTTTGTTTCTCGTCCCATGATCTTTGGACTACCAATTCAGGTAGGTAGTTGTCTATATTGGCTTTCTTCTTATTTGTAATTTGTGTCTTTATTCTTGCTATTTGTTTAGTGGTTACCATGTGGTTTGTATAAAAGATCTCATCGATGAGATAGTCCATTTTCTGATAGCCTCTTATTTCCTTAGATTAAGCCACTCCATCCCTTTCCTCTTCTCCTTCTAGGTTGTTATTGTCAGATTTTTTCTTCTCTTCCTTCTTGTGTTGTGAGTTTGTGGTTAAAATGACAAGATTATATTTATTCTTCGTGTTTCCCTTCCTTTTATCTTTAATGTTATACTTAGACTTTGCTAACCTGTTCTGATGGAGAGCTGCAACTTTCTGATTTTGTCTTTCTACTTATCTCCTTTACTCTGGGTTTTCTAACCCCTTTCCTTTTTTTGTTTTTTCAGGTATGAGGGTCTTCCTGAGCATTTCTTATAGGGGAGGTCTTGTGGCGATGAACCCCCTTAACTTTTGTTTATCTGGGAAAGTTTTTATTTCTCCATCATATTTGAAGGATATTTTCGCTGGATAGAGTATTCTTGGCTGCAAGCTTTTGTCCTCCAGAGTTTTGAACATATCATTCCACTGTCTTCTAGCCTGTAAGGTATCTGCTGAGAAATCTGCTGACAGCCTTACGGGGGTTCCTTTGTAGGTTATTTTCTTCTGCCTTGCTGCCCTTAGTATTTTCTCTTTGTCGTTGACTTTTGCAAGCTTCACTACTATATGTCTTGGGGTTGGTCTTTTTACATTGATAAAGTTTGGAGATCTATTAGCTTCTGTCACATGGAGTTCCGTTTCTCTCCCAAGGTTTGGGAAGTTCTCAGCCATTATTTCTTTGAACAGGCTTTCTGTCCCCATCTCCTTCTCTTCTCCCTCTGGGATACCTATAATCCTTATGTTGCATTTCCTAATTGAGTCGGATATTTCTCAGAGAGTTTCTTGATTTCTTTTTAGTCTTAGTTCTCTCTCCTCCTCTATCTGCAGCATTTCTATATTCCTATTCTCCAAACTGCTAATTCTGTCTTCCATATTATAGACCCTACTCTTCACAGAGTCCAGATTTTTCTTAATCTCCTCCATTGTGTTCTTCATCTCCAACATTTCTGATTGGTTCTTCTTTATAGTATCAAGCTCTTTTGTGACATAGCTCCTGAACTCGTTGTCTATCTATATTCTCTTTTAACTCTTTGAGTTTTTTAATGATGACTATTTTGAATTCATTGTCATTTAGGTTATAGATTTCAGCCTCTTCAGGATTGTTTTCTGGGTACTCGTCATTTTCCTTCTGTTCTGGAGATTTAATATATTTTTTCATACTGCTTGATGGTGTGTATTTGTGCCTCTGCATAGAGATAGAGTTTAGTTACTGCTTCCACTTGCTTCTACTGGGGTGGGGGAGGGGGGGTGGCAGCTGTGTAACGTGTACTGACCAGGATCCCTGTCAGCTGTTGCTGACAGGGGACCTGGTCCCCAGGTACTCACAGTGGCACTGTGGGGTCTCTGGTCAGCTGTGGGGACAATCGCAAGGGGGCCTCCCGTTGCTGGTGCCTACTGTCACAGACCACCTAGACACGCTCCCTCCTTAGGGTCTGCAGCAGTGTTATGGCCTTTCACAGTGGCCAGGAGCAGGTTCATTTAGACTTGCAGCTCTGCCACCGTCAGGGCCCATAAGATCTCACTTGTCCACTATGGACCACTGCACAGCTATGGGTATCTACTGCAGTCTATGGTTAGCTCACCCAGCTGTGCTACTTCTGCCTCAGGGCCTTCCAGCCTTGTGATTGTTGGGCGGAGCCTCTCCACTAATGCTGAGCAGAGGCTTTCACTGCAGCAGCTGTGGGACCATGGATATTCTTCCTGGTCCATGGAGCAGACTCACTGGGGCTCCAACTTGCCACCGCCCACTCACACAGTCTCTTTGGGTCTCCCTTGCCCCTCTGGGCCACAGCAGGACTTTGTGTGTTAGCCGCAGCTGGTGGGTTGCTGCACCAGCCAGGCTGCTTTTGTCCCAGGGTCTCTCACTGTTCTGAATGCTGGGCGGAGCCTCTCCGCTAATGCTGAGTAGAGGCTTTCCCTGTGGCTGCTGTGGGCCCGTGGATTTTCCCACTGGGCTAAGCAGCAATCGTGGGGGGCTTAGGTAGGGCTGTAGTCACCTGATTCCACCGTCACACTGCTGATGCATGTGCACACCCGCCCTTGGTGCTGTGGCAATGCTATGAGCGTGACAGCCAGTAGAAAGTCAATTGCAGGTACTAGGCTGTCTGGGTGTCAGTGAGTTTTCACCTATCTCCACCTCCTCCTGGGGGCAAGTCCATCCACCTTCCAATGCATAGCAGCACAGGTCTCTGAGGCATCCTGAGATGCTGTGTGGATATCCTTTGTTGGCTGATGAATGTCCAATTACTTGTAGTTTAAAGGGGGAGAGACAAAGAAAACTGCTCACTCCACCATGTTGCTGACGTCACTCCTCTTGTATGCTATTTTTACAGCACTGGTCCGGAGTCTTGGGACAGCTGTCTATGACAGATGCTGTCATCTTCCCCTCCTGGTAGGGTCCTTTTCAACTGGGCTGTAGAGAGTCTTTTATCTGATGTCTCTTTCAATAAATAAATTCTCCAGGTTATAGTCTAAGATCCTTCAGTTCTGGGAGCTCTCGGGGTCACCTGAAGAATGCAGTGATCTGTGGGGCTCAATGGGCCCCTATTGGTACCGAATGCTGGTTCAGTGTAGATGCCAGGTGGTCTCCAGTGGGTTTCTCTAAAATCCTGCCATGACTATGCGAAGAAATGTCGACAAAAATAATCCATAACCTATCTATAAATGAAAATTTGGGTGAGTTTATTCTGAGCTAAAATGTGAGGACCATGGCCTGGGGCCTTTCTTCCCAACGGAAGAAAGGGCACCTAAGAAGTCAGTTGCACACTTTAAAGTGATTAATGGTTGATTTTATGTCATGTGAATTCTACCAAAATACAAAGATTTTAAAAAGCATGAAGGTCTTGGGTCAGGGGTCCTCCTGTCTGGAGATGCTTCCTTGGTCCTCCTTCTTGATGTGTGTGCACTTCCTGAGCAGCAAGTGGCTCCTACACTTGTGTTCTCTGGGGCCACGCCCATGAATGGCAGTCCCTGGGCTGTCCACGTGGCCTGCCTGTCTGCCCCACAGGATCTGGGCTCAGCAGGCAGCAGCATCTTCTACATTCAGCAAAGGGGCGTGCTTGTACCTCTCACCGTTTGCACTGTGATGTGACCTCGAGGTGGAGACTGCTCCCTTCGGGGGAGTCTGGGGCGCTGGGGCCTCACATTGTGTCTCAACAGGTATGCCACTGTGCGCTATACTTGATGTCATGCTGGCGTTGACATGCGGCTCAGGCTGCAGTTCAGGGAGAAGCAAAGCATCTGGGAAGGTTACTCCACCACCCACTCCCAAGGGGCTGCGCCCTGGGGACACCACCCAGAATCTGAGTTCCGTCCCATGTTCAGGGCACCCGACCTTCTGAGTCCTGGTAGAGGCAGCACTCGCCCCCACCTCGAGGCTGGAAATCCAGATCCCACCCCGCCTGGCCTTCTGCACTGGGGCCCTGGCCCAGGGCCAGGGACTGGGGGCAGCAGTGAGGCCAGCAGAGGGCCAGGCACAGGGTCAGGGCCAGCTCTGTGGCCTGTTGTTGGGTTCGTGCTCCCAGGGTGTTTGCTCATTAGCCCGCGTCCTGTTGATAAATTCCTCCTCTGCTGACAGCAGCCACAGCGGCTTCCTGGTGCCTCATCTCTGAGATATTTGTGTGTGTGCATGTGTGAGGAAGATTGGCCCTGAGCTAACATCCATGCCCATCTTCCTCTACTTTATGTGGGATGCCACCACAGTGTGGCTTGACTAGTGGTGCTTGGTCCACACCCAGAATCCGAACCTGCAAACCCTGGGCTGCCGAAGCGGAGCACGTGAACTTCATCACTACACACCAGGCTGGCCCCTCTGAGATATTTTTGCTCCCCTTTTACCAATGTTGGCGGGGAGGCCCTTGTCTGATCCACATAGTACCTCAGCAAGCCCTGCTGGCCCAGGCAGTCAGTAGCCAGTGGGGCTGGCCCTGTCCTGTGGTGCCCGGGCATGTCGCACTGCCACTGCCCCTCGGTCACACACTCTCCCCCAGGTCTGATCCTCCCCTGAGAGACAGCAGTCTCCAACTACACGTTTCCACGATAACAGAACAGAGCAGGAGTTGTGCAGGGAAAGGTGCACAGCTACGGGAACTGAGAACTGGCCGAGATGTGAGGAGACGGCAGATGATGACTAGGAAGAACGGACACCACCAACCCTGCATGAGAAAGGGTTTTGCTGAAAAGTCACTTAAAGTGGATGTCCAGCAGTGCTGTAAATAATCACAGCAAGTACACTCTTTGTGTATCTTTTTACTAAGATCTGTATTTACATTCTGCAAATATGAACAGGTGTCCTGTAAACACATCCAGAATAAAAGGTGTTTTATGGACACGTAACACTCCATCGTAACCAGCAGGGAAGTGGCAGTCCTCCAGCAGAGCGACCCGCTCAGGCACGGGATTGAGAGCAGGAATGGGGAGTGGCCTCACTCGGCCTGTCCCGGCCAGAGGGCGTGCACTTGCTCCCAACACGCTCCTCCTGTGTGAACAGCCCCTACCGTGACCTGCCTCAGCAACGTGGATGTGGGAGGCAGGCAGGCAAAGAACATGCAGGACCCCCAATAGAAGGCAAACAGAAACACGTCTGCTTCCCTGGGCCCTGCGTGGAGGATGTGGGCAGACAGGTGCGTCCACACTGCTGCAGAGCAGGGCTCGACCGGCACCAAGAAGCTCAGCGACAGCCCACTCCAGCTTCGCACGATCTGGTCACACACCTTTCGTGCGTGATTTCCACTATTCAGGACTCCAGGGGTGATCTACAGAAACACACATCTGCGTGTGGCCGACATGGTATCAGAGACGACTCCCCACCTCCCGGGGCTGCTCCCAGCACGCCAAAGGGGACCAAAGGAAAGTCTCTGTCTCACGACAAAACTGTACATGCAAATAAAGACAACAATAACAAACAATCTGAGACTGTCGACAGGGCTAGCCTTTCGTAGAGGTTGCAGGTTCTGGAGACTGAAGAAATTCATATGGGTCATGGGTCACGTCTGGCTGTTCCCCGACACTGAGGCGAGAAGGGCTTCCTGCAATTGAGGAAAAGACATTTCAACACAATGGTCTGACCTGCTCGGAGCTCAGGAGGCCCCTGTGCAAAAACCAGTCTGTGAGACTGTGGTCAGCAAAGCCCAGGACTCAGCCAGTGCCAAGGACCCCGGGCTACAGACCACCTGCCAGCACGCCTGGGGTATGGGCCACCCCCTCATCTCCCCTGGGGCACTGGCCACCCATTCATCTCCCCTGGGGCACTGGCCACTCACTCATCTCCCCCGGGGTACGGCCCACCCCCTCATCTCCCCTGGGGTACGGGCCATGCCATCATCTCTCCTGGGGAGCAGGTAGAGGGCAACTCCTCGCAGACGTGGTATGGACACCATGAAGTGGGATGTCGGTGCTGGCCCTCCACACGGCAGGGCTGCTGATTCTGCAAACAACGGAGGCTCCTCGCCAGGGGTCCTAAAGACAAACCCCAGCCCCTGAGCAGCTCCCGTGTCACCCTGAGAGTCCACCAGGATGCTGGGGTCCTCAGATCTGGAGCCGAGCCAGGGCCACCTGGAGCCTCCATCATATACTGTTTACTACAAGGTTAACCAGACCGAAGACACGGTCCTTATTCAGACAACTTCAGCCAAACCTCTGTAACTGATTACCCTTTTTTATTCCCACAAAAACATCAAGGTTTACTCTGCTGAAAGAATAATTCAGTTGTACCCGGGAACTCCAACAGCAGCATGTGGATGTAATCGAGCAAGTTCATGGAGCCACGGGGCACAGGGGGATGTGGCATCCTGGAGGGGTCCCGAGACACCCACTCAGGGTGTCACTAGTCAAACATGGAGACCCCTGGCCAAGCAAGGTTACGTGCTCACCCCAAACCAGGGTCCTGGGGAGCACACCAGTCCACATGCTGTTTTAGGACTAAAAGCGGGGAACAGCAGGCAGAAACAACTGTTCCCAAGGTCTAACTCTGCGTGGCTGTCAGGGTCCACAGCCTCAGCCTCATTCTGCCTGCGACCAAGGGCCTCGGGCGTGGCCGGCTGGGCTCTCCTGACACAGGGGCTGCCAGCACCCTCCGGCCAATTCACAGCACTAACTAAATTCCATTAAACATTTCACTTCAGTGCAGCCGCCTGAGGAGGGAGGCACGTCCTCCAAGCCCCAGGGGCAGGGGCAGCCCAGGAGGGCAGCGGGGACGGAGCTCTGAGCCCCGGGGTCTCCGGCCTTTCTTGGAAGTCGGCGCTCCTGCCCTCTTCCCGGACGTGACCACCACTCATGCTCCAGGATGGCTGCTGGAGGGTCAGGGCGGAGCGCAAGGCCGGGGCCGCCTTACCCAGGTGGGGGTGGTCCCTGTCGGAGGCGTTGGACAGGGAGCTGAGGTTGGAGGACGGCCGGGAGCCCCCGCGCTCCGCCTGCGCCTCGTGCAGGTCCTGAAGGAGCTTCGTCGTCTCGTCCAAGTTCAGGTGGTTGTCGTCGTGGTCCAGCTCCTTCTTCACCTTCCCTGTGCAGACACAGTCGGACATCAGCCCACTGCAGCCGGCCCAGCACTGTGCACTGGCACCTCCGGTCTGTAACTCCAGCCTCTCACGCGTCACCACACACGCGCACAAGCACCACTCGGAAGTGAAGCTGGATGAGCACAGTCAGCTCGGAGGTGAGGGCGACTCAGTCAGAGCAAACGGGGGTGGAGGCCTCGACAGAGGGCACCAGCACTGGACAAGAAACCAGGCGCCACACCACACCCAAGCAACTGGACGCACGCAAGTGCTGCCGTCCTGCTGTAACCAACTGGAGAGCAGGATGCCGTGTGCAAGAGAGCTGCAGACATGGCCATGAGAGCGCACAGGCCATGGCCAGGGAGGGGACCCGCGGGGTCTGGCCAGCGGGTGGGCTGAGAGCTGGAGAAGACAGCTGCCTGGAGAGCTCCCAGGTCTCAGCCAAGCACCGCCCTGCACCTGTGCGAGAGGGACGCCCCCACTGGGGCAGGTCCAGAGCTCACGCTTGTCTGTGATATTACACGTCCCAAGCCTGAAGGCAGGTGTGGCCTAGTGGGGACTGTGTCTGCCCTAGCAACACTTCAAAGCAAAACCCGACAGAGCCTGAAGGAGAGGGGGCTAAGAGCCTGTCAGAGCAAGGACCACCACGGTTCAAGGGTATGTGACCCAACCTAGCACCCAGCGCATGACGGCAGGGTCTGGCCTCCGAGAAAGCACGGCCCCGCAGGCGAAGACGCAGGGAAACACCATCCCGCCAGTGGCACATCGTCCACAAGATGTGAGAGGAGCAGCTGCGTGCAAACGGCGCCAGCGAGCACACGCCAAGCATCCACGCAGGCAGAGGAAGGCGGGGACAGCCGAATGTGGCTTCCGGAGAGGAAAAGAGCAGCCGTGTGTGGGGAAACCCTGGGAGGACAATGGGGCAGCCGCTGCAGGACGGATGGCCAGGGACTCCCAGGACAGCGCGGGATGGCCCCAAACGAAGCAGAGACTTAACCACAAACGGGCAGAATCGGGGCCCAGGTGACCACTGCAGAAATGACAGCCAAACTCCCACATTTGATAAAGCTATAAACCCAGGTCCAACGAGCTGACACAACCCAAGAAGGGAGGATCTGAAGAGAAGCAAACCGCGGCACAGCACGACCAGACCACCGAGAACCGGGGAAAAGGAGAGTCTCCAAGGCAGCTGGAGAAGAAGAACTGCTGGTGCGCAGAAAGGTGCTCCCACGGCAGCCCGAGGCCTCCAGTCTTCCGAGGCACAGCCGGCTCCTGCTGGCTGACCTAGACTCTGGGAGGGTCCCCGCTGCTGAAGTGCAGGGGGACTCACTGTACCTAGACACTTGCCCCCTCCTGAGGACTAGCGTTTGGGGACATGCCAGGTGGAGGGTGACCCTCCCAACCCCCGCCACAGCTCGTTGCTGGGGACCAGGCGCATCCTTGGGGGCTCTCCAGGAAAGGGCTCCGGAAGTGCATGCCTGGTGTCCCCGGACTCACCCATGTGCCTTTCCCCTTCGTGGGTTCTGGCCTGTATTCTTTGCTATAACAAACCCTGAAGACAACCATACACGGAGTCCTGGTAGTCCTAGTGCATCACCAAACCTAGGGGTGGTCCCGGGGACCCCTGAACTGTTGGGAAGACAGAACAGCAAGACAGCAGGCTTAAGCCCAAGCAAAGCAGTAACTGCATGAAACACACACAGTCCACGGTCACTCCCACCAAGGCAGAGGCTGTCGTCCTGGATGACGAAGTGGGACTCGACTTCATGCTCTTTAAAGTTAGACAAAACCCACTTCTAACAAGGCACGTTTCTCAACCTTAGCACCGTTGACTCGGGACAGGTTGTTCCTTCTGGGGCTGTCGTGTGCGCTGTAGCATGTTCAGCAGCATCTCTGGCCTCTACCCACGTGATCCCAGAAACACCACACCCAGGTGTGACAACCAACACATTGCCACACGTCCCCGAGCGGGGGCTGCCCCGGGGAGGACCACTGAGGGAAAACGCAGGTGTGTCCAGACTGCAAAGGGGAGAAGACGCTCATGAAACCACCCGTCAGCAGGGGCTGGGGTGGCACAGGAGACTTCTGAGCATCAGATGCTGTGCGGAAGCAGACAGCACTTCACAGAGTGGGTGCCAGCCGTTCGAGAGGCCATGTCCCAGTGGGCACACGCATGCGCACCAACCAACAGGATCAAAGAACCCCGCGATCCTGCAGATGGAGCCTGAAGTCATAAAGGAGGCCCAGGCAAAGTCCTGTTTGCAGCCATTTGGGAGGGTGACCCTGAGGACAGTGGGCCCTCACTCTACAGTCAGCTCGCAGGCTGGGTCACATTCCCCAGAGCAAGGAGAGGCAGCGGTGCCCCAGCCCATGCCCCTCAGGATCACCACCCCTCGGGCTGTGTGGGAACCGGGCACCAGGGATCAGAGGCACAGGGGCCACTTCCTTCTAGCCGAGCCTGACAATCCGACCAAGGGGTCAAAGGGGAGCGTGGCCAGCACGACCTACCCAGAGAGCTGAGCATGGAGATGTCCAGAGAGACGTCAGAGTACGACTTCATGGACATGAAATCCAGAACAGAGCCGCCATCTCCCAGCGAGTCCCCAGCCTGCAGAAGACAGGTAACCATGAAGCACAAAGGAAGACGTCACTGAACAGCAGTGCACACCAGTTCACACACTGGTGATGTCACGCCAGTGACCTTACATCCATGCCCCGCGACCCACAGCAGGACAGGCCTGCTCTGCCGTGTCCACCCCAAGGAGTGGGCAGGGCCAAGCAGTGCCCAGTCCATGCCGTGGCCCAGGGATCACTGGGGGTGAGCTTGTGAGTGGTGGCCATTGCCCCGGCCGATGTTGCCAGACAGACAGATGCTGTGGGCCCACGGGGGACCTAAGGGTGCTGGGGGACTTGGAGCCGCCACAGGCAGACCCGTGGCTGCTCTGCAGGGACGTCACTGAACACACCATGTGGTGGATCCCAAACCAGCACGCTCCAGCCCCTTCCCTCCTCCATGCGAGCTCCCTTTGCTCTCCCGGTGCTGGGCCCTCCTCCTTTGAGCGTCTTCTCCTGGGTCAGCCCCACTCCACATCATTACAGAAACAGCTCCCCTTCTCCAAAACCCCCCTGACAAACCTCCTTCCATCCCCATTGGCTGCTCTCAGACTACTAGGGTTTCAGAGTTAACACACAGCCACGTTTTAAATAAACACCTGGCAGACTGTCTCCAGTACTATAAGGGATGGACACCACCTCAGACTGTAAGGTCTTTGAAATTCTGCCCAACTACACCCTCTGACATTGGTGCTGAATCCCAAGTCATCACTGGATAAGCTGCTGTCAAATGGGAGCACACTCCCCAGCTGACCCTCGGGAGGGACACCGTTTCTTCGTGAGAGCTGAGAACAAAAGCCCCACGTCAGAGCTGACACTGAGAGTCTGCGGGCCTGGCTTGTGCGGCACCTTTCAATGCCCCGCACCCCACCCTCAGCCTTCTGGGATTCAGGGTTCACACAGGGCAGCCACCAGCTTGCACAGCAGGGACGGGCATCGAGCACCATTCAGCGACTCACAGGGACGCAGCAACAGGAGGTAGCTGAGGCTCCTGCTACTGACAAGGGGGCACCAGGCCTGTGAACGCTCTTCCATCGGGCTGTAATCGCCTGGGCGTGAACCCTCTTCCATGGGGGTGTAATTGCCTGGGTGTGAACCCTCTTCCATTGGGGTGTAATCGCCTGGGTGTGAACCCTCTTCCATTGGGGTGTAATCGCCTGGGTGTGAACCCTCTTCCATTGGGGTGTAATCGCCTGGGCGTGAACCCTCTTCCATCAGGGTGTAATCGCCTGGGTGTGAACCCTCTTCCATCGGGGTGTAATCACCTGGGCGTGAACCCTCTTCCATCGGGCTGTAACTGCCTGGGCATAAACGTTCTTCCATCAGGCTGTAATCACCTGGGCGTGAACGTTCTTCCCTTGGGCTGTAATCGCCTGGGTGTGAACCCTCTCCTGTTGAGCTGTCGTGGCCTGGGTGTGAACCCTCTCCTGTTGAGCTGTCGTGGCCTGGGTGTGAACCCTCTCCTGTTGAGCTGTCGTGGCCTGGGTGTGAACCCTCTCCTGTTGAGCTGTTGTGGCCTGGGTGTGAACCCTCTGCCGTCGGGCTATAACTGCCTGGGTGTGAACCCTCTCCCGTTGGGCTGTCATGGACTGTGTGTGAACCCTCTACCGTTGGGCTGTCATGGCCTGGGTGTGAGCCTCTCTGGTTGGGCTGTCTTAACCTTGGTGATCTGTGAATTTGCCCTCCTCGCTTGGCTTTCAGAAAACCTACTTCTGTCTGTGCTCTGATAAAAATTTCTCCCTAAAGGAACTGTTAGTGATGACTTAGGCCATCAGCAAGCCAGGCTGAATTCACATTCACAGAGCCCGGTGTTGGCCAGGCCCAGAGCCGAGGTCACCACAAAGTCCTACAACAAGCCCACCACTACCAATCTGCTCCATAACTGAAGATTGAGTCTTAGAGCTGTGAGTTCCCCTGCCCAGGGCTTAACACCAAAGCCCTTGCATCTCAGACACATGGAGAATCTCCCCACAGCTCATGGCATTCAAGGATGTTACAGGATTACCTGGTGATCCTAAAGGATGAGGCAGTTTGGAGCTCATAAAGACAACTTGAAAAAAAAAAAATCGGTTTGCTCACATTTTATTCCAACAGTAAAAAAGCACTGAGAAGCACAGATTTCCCTAGAGACCACAAGAGAGCAACTGAGTGTGTGTGCATTCCCAAGGTAGCCTCTCTAGGGCTCACCTATGGGAGATTGCTCAGGAATTCGTCCTTCCATTGGCTAGCTCTGCCCACGTGTTAGGTGTGGAGACCTACATTCTAAGGCAATGCTGAAAATCACATCATTAAAGTTGGTGTCTTTGGACACGCTAAGTTAAATCGAAAGAAAAACAGGAACACTTATTTGCAGAAACGTTTGGGAGCCCTGATTGATGACAGAAGCATATTGACATACAGGCCGTGAGGTGCACGAGTGAATGCAATGACAGAGAGAGGCGAGTGCCCCTCACGTGTCAACACCATGTGCACGCCGCATGCAGGTGGGAAGGCACCGAATGGAGCCAGCTGCCACCAGCAGGTGCTCTGTGCCCCTGGTGCGAGGGACAGCACAGGCATAGGAGCCCCTTCTGAAAGCTCCCTGCCGCTGCTTGAGGGTTGCCCCACAGAGGCCCTGCTGGCAGGGCAGAGGGAATGTGCCAGGCTCCCAGCTTAGAGTGGCCTACAGTATGTCCCAGCTCTTCAGACACCGTGTGGGGTTTGCACTCTATACCACGGTGTCTGCATAACCCAGACAGAGATGCTGAGCAGAATCCTGGCTGCCTCAAGGACCTAGCAACACCAGGAGCACACCCTCAGGAGAGACACCCGTGTCCCCTTCTCTGGTTCTATCACTTGAAGAGCCCCCACTTGACAGGCACCTGATGCTCCTGCTCCAGGTGGGCCCTCTGTCCACTGAGGCCAGGTAACACCTGTGGCCCAGGCCCCCATGCCCTGCCCAACATGCTGGCACCTCTGCTCCAAAATGGGAATTGTATTCAAAGCTGGTTGTCAACATGCACACTCCAAGTTATTCCCAAAGGGCAGGAAAAAGGGGGAAACCGAGGCTGGGCCACAACAGTTTCCTCAAACACAGACTGTCTACTCCGGGTGCCGGCAGGCCCCAAGGACCTAGAACTGCTGGGCTCGTCTCACTCACGAGTGTGCAGCGCACATACACCTGACTGGCAACACACAGCATGTGCCTGCTGGCGTGCCCATCTTTGGGGAAGGCCGAAGAACCCACGGGACCAGAGACAAAGCGTGCTACTTGCCCCGCAGGACCCGAGCAGGCCCACCTTGCCTGTCCCAGCCCGGGCACCTTAGGATTCCTGTGTCTAGATTTGGAGGAACGTATGTTGGCTTTACGTCCCTCACCCCAAGTCATTAAAAGCTGAGGGAGGGGGAGACTGCCACTTAATCTCATTCATCAGGAACTTAACCAGTTTCTAAATACCAGTACACACAGTTCGACTCAACCACTCCATTTCAAAGGCTGAACACAACCTTCCCTACGGGAACCCCAATAACGAGGTTTTTACTTACATATCCATGAAACTCACCTTTACTTCATCTGGAGGCTTCACTGGAACATTTCTCCTCTGCAAAGAAAACAAGAAAGAAACCAGCTTTTCCAAAACGATTTCATATAGAAGGAAGATTTCCTCACATCACGTACCCACGTGAAGTAAAACCAGCACAGGCACTACTACTGGGGCTGTCTTCATGCTCATAACTACACTGGAAAGACCGGGCCGGGCCCTGCGGGCTTCTCGACAGCTGGCACAGTGTGAGAGAGAGAGCTAATGGGACCCACGAGGGCCGGAATCACGTAGGCCCCCCGAGACCCTGGGGCTGAGTGCCTGAGAGCACCCTAAGACAAGATGGAGGAGGAGGAGGAGCGAGATGACACCCAACCTTGTTCCTGAACCTCGCATGGCTAAAAACAAAAATGTCAGACATTGTACCCCGAGTCTCAAGGGCAGCTCAGGAAAAACACTGGGTCTGGTGGTTTAGCCTGAAGATGAGAGGCACCGGGACCAGTTCAAATCCTGATGGGGCAAGACCCTCACGGTGCCCCCGCCCCCGAGATGGGCAGGGTTATGGGGCCATGTGTCCTTCTTGGCCTACAGAGTGTCTGGAAGAGGACTTAGTCTTCACCACCACGTGTGTGAGCACAGCCTGAGCGGGACCCAGGCACATGTGACCACCTCGTGCAGAGATCACAGCCTGAATGCTGTACTGAGCCACTGTCTTGCAATCTGGTAGGAGCATTACCTTAAAAATACCCTAGTCCTGTGTACATACCTAAAAAAAACAGCTATTCAGCTTGCACACTTTTTACCTGTGACCTTTTGTTCAAAATAATGTTTCTGAGATTCACCTGTGTTATGATTTTCACAAACTTGTAAGCAGAAAAAGAAATACTGCCATCATTCATGTCTGTTACCTCATACAAGCTTCCGCTAACGTATACACTTTAGTATCATATGTTATTTAGTGCTGTGGCACATCTAAAATTATGAAACTCTGCAGCACAAGTTCCCTTGCAGAAAATCTAGAAAGCAATCTAGAGGGGAAACTGAGCTGCCAGCACATGTTAGGGCCTCCCGCTGTGTCTGCCACACGGTGTGGAGGTGCCTGCTTCAGGTGCTGTGCCCAGAGGCAGCGCCGGAGGAAACCTGCAGACAGCAGGGCAGAGAACAGCACCCAGAGCATGGCGGCCATGCCGAGCGGAAGAGTGGGAGATCACAGCTGGCGGGACAGTCTGGAGAGCAGGGGCTCTGGACATCCTGGAGGGACCTCGAGCCTGGCTGATGCCAACCTGTGCAGGTACAGATGAAATGCTACAGAGCCAGAGACGCCGGGCGAGATAGGCCCCAACTCCACCAGGCCAGAGCAGGGGCCTCATTGAAACTTAGACTGAAGGCTGCCCAGACCCACCCTACACAGCTTAAAACAAGCGCCAGGAGGATCAGGTGACTCAGAAGTAACCACTCTGCCAAAACGAACATCAACGTTCTCTAAAAGAAGACTATAACATCCAGACCCGCCTTGTCCAACAAATATATAATGTAACCACACACCTAATTTTAAGTTTTCTAGTATCCACACTAAAATTAATCTTAACGTACAATTGATCTTAACGTATTTCACTTAATCTAATACAGTGAAAGCATTTTTATTCAAACATGTAGTCCACATAACATCACTGAGGCGCCTTACAGCCCCTTCGCGCACGTCTCTAAAGGGCTCCTGCTGAAGAGAGGCTCAAGCTCCTCCTCTTCCTCGAGCCTTTCTTTTCTTTTTCCCAAAGATTGGCCCTGGGCTGACTCCTGTTGCCAATCTTCTTCTTTTTCTTCTCCCCAAAACCCCCAGGGCATAGTTGTATATTCTAGTTGTAGGTCCTTCTGGTTGAGCCCCTGGACGCCGCCTCAGCATGGCTTGAAGAGCGGTGCCATGCTCGCGTCCAGGAGTGGAACCAGCGAGACCCTGGGCCACCGAAGCGGAGTGCGCGGACTTAATCACTCGGCCACGGGGCGACGCCATGAGTAGTCTTTCAAGTTCTAGTTTGTAGTTCATACTTTCACCATATCTAAATCCAGACTAGTAACATCCAAATTTCCCAGTAGCCACATGTGGCTAGTGGTTGCTATATTGGTGCAGTCTAGACTCAACAGCATAATATCTAGAATCCAAACAATGAAGCAGCAAATCATGGCGTCTAACCAAAGGAAAATCTGCCAATAGAGACAGATCGAGAAACGCCAGACATCATAGAATTAGCGGAGAAGGACTTTGAAAGCAGCTATAATAAATATTATGAATGTGCCCAAGATTTAAAGGAAAACATGAACATAACGTGAGAACGTTATAAGCAAAAAAGTCCAAACGGAATTCTAGAGGTGAAAAACACAGTATCTCAAATGAAAAATTCACTGGCTGGGATTAACAATAGATTCAGACACAGCATAAGAAAGATCACTCAATGTGAAGCCACGGCAACAGAAACGATTCAAACTGAAAGAGGGAAAAAAAGACTGAAAAAATTAGGACAGCACTAGTGATGTGTGGAACATATCAAAACATCCAACACATGTGTCAAAGTCCCAGAGAAAAGATGAAAGAAGGGTATGGGCAGAAATGACACTTGAGGAACTAATGGCTGAAAATCTTCCAAGCTTAATGAAAACTATAAACCAATAGGTCCAAGAAGCTCAGCAAACATTAAGCAGAATAAGCACAAAGAAAAACACACTGAGACACACGAAAAATGCACTGGTGAAAATGAGTTGTAAAGGTTAAAATCTGAGGGCAGCTAGAGCGGCAGTTGGTGACTTTCTCCCTGAAGGGCCAGGGGGCAAGTGATTGGGGCTGTTCAGGCCACGGCTGTCTGTAGCAAATTCTTCTTCTCTTACAACCTTTAAAAAATACAAAAAACGCTCTTAGCTCGTGGGCCATGTTTGCCAGTCCTTGATCTTGACCAAAAAAGACACACTGCAAATGGAAAAAAAAGATAAAAATGACTGCAGACACTTCTTCGGAAACAAGGTAAGTCAGACGTATTTTAGAGAGGGAAACCAGTCTACTATGACTCCACACCAAGGGAGGTGAATTTCAAAAGTGAAGGCAAAATAAAGACTTCCTCAGACTGTGACCAAATCTGTACTATCAGAAATACTGAAGAAAATGCCTCAGGACAAAGAAAACGACAGAGGATGAAAAAATCTGTGTGTACAGAAAGTAACGAAGAGTGCAGAAATGATGACTGTGTGGTCAACAGAGAAGACTTTACTTTTAAGGCTCTTTTAAAGAAATCAACTGTTTAAAATAAAAATAAAAAATAAAAAACTACTGAGGGAAGGGCAGCTTAGTGACTGCCTAAAAACAGCACACTCTGCCCTAAAAGCCTGCTCGCTCGGACGGGCTCTTCCCACAGGAGTGGCACCACGCGCAGCCCACCTGCCTCAGCTGGAAGAGCATCCGTGAGTGGTCCCCGCCTGTGATCTGGTCCAGGAGGTCATCCACCATCTTCTTGCTGTAGCTCCCAGCATCCTTCACGAACTCCTGCAGGCTGGGAGGGCCGTGAGAGAACAGGCTGAAAGGAACGCCACGTGCGCTAGGCTCCAAACTCTGTCCCCAAGGCCGCAGTCCTGACTGCAGACACCTGCCGTGTCAGCACCCTCCTCGGATGCTCCTCCACAAGAGAGGGTCTATGGAGAGCCACGGACCCCCCGGATGTGGTAGTTGTGGGGAGGGGACTAACAGCCTTCATCAGATCTTCAAAGTGGTCCGTGACCCAAAAAGATTAACAAGATCTTGAGATAAAATTAATTTTAAAAAAGGCAAGATGAAGAACAGTGTGTGCACACACACATGAAAGATACCGCACCCTAACTCCAGTAAAAGCCGCACAGGCATATCCAGATTGAGGAGCGATGCACAGTGTGGTGGCTACCTACTGGGAAGGGGAGGGGCCAAGGGTGAGAGCAAGACTCTCCACGTACACCTCTTAGTGTCATCTTGATTCTGGACCATACAAATGCTTAAAGAGAACAAAGAAACCTAACCAAAAACCTTTAAGAGGAGGCAGAAAACAAACACCCACAGTCTAGCATCAGAAGCCAGGCAAAGGCTCGGAAGGGCTGCCGAGACTTCAAAGACCTTCACACGGAGCGAGGAGGCCTGCTGGCGTGGCGCGAAGCCACGACAACACGGCAGGCTCCACCAGGAGCACCTCACGGTAAACCACAGCAGTGACCACTGAGAAGGGAGCAGGGACCGGATGGAATGCTCACGGCGAGCAGTCTGGGGAGGGCGGCGCGGGAGGCCCAGGAGGAAGGGGCCAGGCCCTGTTTCCTCGAGTGTGCTGCTCACACAGCGGGTCTCGCTAGATGGCACATGGGCTCCGTGTGCATCTCAGGAGCAGGCACTTGGGGGGAGGCAAACTCAGTCTGGCCACACGACACCACCTGAACAGGAGGTGACTTGCCCTGAAGAGCTGTGAGCAACCTGACAGGGTGACGGGGTGACAGGGTGACGGGGGAAAGGGCAGGGTCACCCTCTTGTGACACCATCCTCTCCCGAAAGAAATCTCTCCTCGGTTTTCCACTTCTTTCTTTTTCTCAGAAAAATCTGGGTTAGGGATTCATTTACTCTATCAGGAGCTAACCTATTCCTTGTTTATTCTCCAAATACATTCTGTAATCTCTCTGAAATAAAACAAAGATCTAATATGGAAATATTCCATTTCTTAAGAGGCTAGCAAAATTAAGTTCCTCTCCCCATAGAAAATTACTAAAATTTTGCAAAAATGGCCCACTTCTACTTTGCCACAGAAAACAAAAAATGAACACACAAACAGTCCTATAGAAACGCAGTAGGACATCTCCAACTCTAATATTACACCCTAGTCACTGTCAGGGGCTGAACTTTGTCATCAAATGTGGACGTCAACGGCTGAACCCCCAGCACCTCAGGATGCGGCCGTATTTGAAGATAGGGCCCTGAAAAGGTGACTGAGCTAAAATGAGATCTTCAAGGTGGGCCCTGATCCAAGATGACCGGTGTCTTTACAAGAGGAGATCTGGACACAGACACACACAGAGGGACGACCCTGTGAGGACACAGGGAGGACACAGCCGTCTACACCCCAGGAGAGGAGCCTCAGGCAAGCAGCCCTGCCCACACCTGGATCTGCACGGCAGTCTCCAGAGCTGGGAGACAATGAACGTGGACTGTTTGAGCTGCCCCGTTTGCCTCCTTTGTTTTGGCAGCTGGAGCTAAGACAGCCACCAGGAACCACCTTTCGATACAACTGTGAAACAGGTTCTTAGGAAGCACACGCAGTGGGTTACACACCTATGTTCTTCTTTGAGCGACAGCCCACGTCATCGCCTTCTTAAAACTGTGGCCTTCAAGACAGCCTGCAGCAGACCAGAGTGGTTCACTGACACGGACTAGGAAGTTAGACTTGCTGCCAGTGGCCGTCTCTGCTACACACCTGCAAGCAGGCCCTGAATTCACCAGGAAAAAGGCTCCGACCCCACACCAGGCAAGAAACCAGCCCGCGTTCTGCACATGCCACGCCGCCCGACGCTCACCTCAGCGCGCACTGCACTCCCGTCTCATCTCCGTAGGCAGAGTAGAGCAGCTCTGTTTCATCCGACTTCAAGTCACCAAACACTGAGTTATTGTGCATTGACAGCGCGGTGCTGGCACTTGAGAGAAACGTGACTGGGAGTAAAAGAGAAAGGGAACCGCTGAGGACATCAGCCTCACACGCAGACCCCAGCCCGCACAGGACGCGCTGCACTGTCCTTGCAGCGGCTCGCCCCATGCACAGGCAGCCCTGAGCGCCTGGCCTTCTCTGCGAGATTTCCGCTCCCGGGTACAAGCACAGCAGAGCGGCTTTTCAGGCATGACTACCAGAGTCGCTGCCCCAGCCCTCGTTTGCCTCTGAGCCAAGGGCGGCAAACAAGGCGTAGCGATCCATAAGGGAGTGAGCCCGACAGGCTGCAGAGCTCATGGCTGTCCCAGATATCACTGGGGACGGAGCCCACAGAGCCCAGCTCCTGCTGAGGGGACAGAGAGAGGCAGGGGCCGCCACCCTGAGGGAGGCACGTGCTGGCACCGTGGGAAGGACGTCAGGCCAGGAGGGCTGTGACCTGATACAGAACTGGCCTCTCCCACTAGATGCCAGTAGCACCCCGGGGTGACAATCAAAACATCTCCAGACAATGCCGACTGTCCCCTGTGAACAAAACGGCTGCAGACACTCCAAAACAAACTGGAAAGCCTGCCACAAACGCAAACCAGATAGAACACAAACGCAGAGAACACGCTCACACCCTTCCACCCCCAACCCCACTGTGCCCGCCCAGCCGCCGTCTGGCGTGCAGACCCATCTTTCTCTAGAGCCTTCCACGCACAGCTCTCTCCGCGCATGGCAGGTGGCATCGCGCCCCTTCCAATGGATGAAAGGGAGCCTGCTGGAGGACATCAGCATCCCACCGCAGGACCACGACCACCTGCCCCGAGTCCCAGCACCACCAAGGACCGCAGCAGCCACCTGGAGGACTGCACAAAGCCCACGGCTGAGACCCACCCACCAAGAAAGAGCAGACAGCAAAGGAGGGGCCTGCCCAACCTAATTCTTATTTCCAACATTTCAGGTGACCTTAATTTTTTGATTACTTTCAAAATCAGAATGTGCACACAGTAGTAAAGAGAAGTGAGCCAGGAAGACCCTGGAGCAGGGATCGGGGGCTCACCCCCTGGCCGTGACGAGCGGACCCGTGCCCCACATACTCCCGACACACTCACCTCTGCTCCTTCTCTCGTCTTTGAAGCCCAGTGTGGTGAAGCCGGGGAGCAGCTTGCTGGAGAGCGAGCTAAGGTCCACCGGGTGGGTCTCCTCCTCTGCAGGGGACCAGAGCTGTGAGCAGCCGGCTGCGAAGCCCCCGCCGCACGCAGCCCGCAGCACTCTCTCGGCCTCACTGTGGGGGCGTGTGGGAGGAAGGCCCCAGGGGTTCTCGAGAGACCATCCAAAATCTAATTTACCACAGCCAGCTGCCACTCCCAAACCATAACTGCACTCCAGGGTCACTTCACGACCACCCCAAAGAAGGCAGAACGAAAATCTGCAGCGTTGTGACCACAACACCAGCGGTGGACTGCTCACACCTCTGGGAAACCTCCCGCCACAGTGCAGCCTTGGCCCGAACACTCCTCTGACCACAGGTTTCCTGTGTTGCTCCCGTCGAGCACACTCTGCTCACGTGACCTGAGCAGGCCTCTTCAGCCCTGACCGGGACCTCAACCTCGATGTCCTCTTTCTAAGCTAGTGTTAATCAACTTGCCTATCCTCCTACAGAGAACGCCATGATTCATTTTCGCTAAAGACTAAAGACGCTGGTCAGTTTATACTCTGCATGCATCCAAAAAATTAGATAAATCTGCCCATCTAGGGCTGAGCAAAAGGATGCCACCAGGCACATCATCGCGCCCACATGGGCAAGTCCAAGGGAAGGTGCTTCCGCTCCCTCGTGTGCGTATGAGCATATCCCAAATCTGAGCGAGCTCTGCTTTCCTTTAAAGGAAAGGCCTCTGAAACATTTTCAAAGAGAGAGAAAAGCATAAAAATACCTCTTAAAGACCATAAAAGTGACATATAGGTTGGATGGACCCAGTAATTTACGCCTCCTCCAAGATCTCCCTGATCTAATTATCAACTGGGGATTTTCCTCTAGAATTCACGTTTGGACCCACGTTTACCTCTTTCGAGCTTTGAGGGGGGCTGAGTTCGGCACTCTGGCTTCTGAAGAAGGAGCCCTTACTGAACTTGTAGGGAACCGCTTTGTGATGGTATCAGCAAGGACTTCTCCGCAGCTTTGCGGGAGTGCGGCCCAGTCCTGTAGGCTATCCTAGGGAGCCTGGGAAAGCAGCACCTCTGCCCCGCAGTCCACCGACCGACCACACGTGTGGTGGTGTGGTGCCATGTCACGGGGGCTGTGCAGGGGCAGGAAGCCAGGCAGGGCTGCCCATCTGCACCCCACAGCCGGCGTCACGCACTCCACGGGAAACGGGCACCCTGAGTAGGTTGCACGGGTTTAAAATCATTGTGCGTGAACAGAGCTTAAAAGCATGCGGTGCAGCCCACAGAAGGCCAAGCCGCGCAAGGGGCCACCCACCGTCAGCATCCGGCTCGGCCACGTTGACCACGCTGTAGAGCAGGCTGCCGTCTCCGTTCTTCTTTAGGTAGCCCATCTGCAAGGAAGTGCGCCTGAGCCCATCCGCCGAGGGACGGCCCGTGACTTCCACCACCGCAGAGATTCCTACCGAAGCTTCAACAAGACAGAGACCTACGGACGTGGCCCAACCGGGATGAGCCCCACAGGCCACAATGGTCACTCACTCCCCAACAGAGAGCAGAGGCCCCTTCCCTGGGGTCTCGTTTAAGACCTGCCTGCAAACGACAACATGCACACGTATGTAGCAGAGGACTCCTCAGACAGGCTCTCATGACCCTTCCAAAAGGAGCTTCCGAAACAGAAAACTACCTGGGAACTGCTGACAGTAGGCCAGAAGCCTGAACAAAAAGAGGTGGAACGAGACACTGGCCAGCAAGGTCATGGTACTGATGGGCAGCCCACAGGCGCCATCTCTGAAGCACCTGAGACTCATTTCCATTAAAACCACCACCAAACAAGACTGCTTCCTCCACTGCAGGCCACAGGGGACCCGGAAGAGGCGGCGCTCATGCTGCTGTTGGCATATGCAGGGAGGGGGCGAGAAGTGACGGCAGCCTGGCATGGGTGCTGGAGCCCGAGGCAGGGGCCAGACATCCAGAGAGCAGTGACGGGAGCAGAACCGGGGCCCAAGCAGGGTGTGTAGGGCGTAGAGGTGGGAAACTGTTACTGTTGAGCAGGTATGTGGGTTAAGGGCACAGCAAGTCAGGTTTTTCACGGTGGAGTTACAAAACGAAAGAGAGAATGTGGAGCAGACCAGGTGGTGAGGATGGAATCCAAGGTTCCAGTCTGAAAACACGGTTTTCAGTCGAATGTTGACACAGATGTCAGTGTGGGATTCCTTCTATAAGCTGTAGGTATGTGCATGGCCTTTCCTGGTTCTGTCCATAATGGGCCACACCCAGCACCAGGGTCTTGGTTTCCGAATGCCGTTCTCCACTCAGGAACCAGGGCTCCATGGAGAACGGCCGACCCCAGGGCTACAGAGCAACAGGACTGCAGACCAGCGGGTCGAACGGACACAACATAACCCCACAGAAAACCTCAACCTTCCTGGCAAGCATGTTAAAAGTAAGTGAAAAGAAACAGGCAAAAATAATCTTAATCTACCTTATGTAACGTGATATATCCAAAGTGTTATTTCAAAAGTCTTTACGTACAATCCAATGTGCGTTCCCCAGACTCAATGAGGTAAAAGACGTTAAGTCTCTATATGTGCTACACATTGAAATGAGATTTAGGATATGTCAGGTCAAGGAAAACATCAGGATTAATTTCACCTGTGTCCTTAACAAGCCCACATGCAAGTTCAAAGCTCCACGCGTGACTCCCATGCTCTCTCTACTGGACGCCCGGGTCTAGAACTCCCCGTGTCAGAGAGGAGGAGCCGGTGCGCAGGGGCTGGCGGCACCTCCCCCTGAGCACAGCAGCACACTGGACGGGCTCCCAGCGGCCGCACCGGGTGAGACCCACGAGCGACGGCATGCACACAGAGACATGAGCACCGGGGAACAGATGAACCTACAGTGGAGAAGCCTGGTGGGCTCCGCCTCCATCCAGTGACGAAGGTCAACACCCGGGCGAGGGGACCCGACCGCAGGCGTCCAAACACTACACACCACTCCTGTGAGCGAGGGGCCTGCCCGAGAGGTGCCCGGAGCCCGTCCCTCCCTCCCAGGAGACAGGGCCAGCAGGTACCAGCGGCCAGTGAGGACTGCAGCACGTGCTCCCGAGCTGGACCCTCTGGGGACAAAGGCACCACTGCGACACTGGCGAGACTGCAACTAGACGTCCTGGTATTAACCTCTTGATTTGGACGGCTGTGCCACCGTCCTGGCAGAAGACACACCCGCCCCATCAGGAAGGGCTACCTTGCTGCCTGGGAGGAGTCGGCTGATCCTGTCCCGAGCCTCGTCAGCTGCATGCTCCACCAGGGCCAGCACGTGCTCTTCCGCCGTGCTGTCGGTCAGGCTGCAAGCATTCCCTTCTGGCTCAAACATGCAGCTACAATGCAGGAACCCCGCACACATCACCAGGAGGCCCACGGTGCACACCACTCCCACCTTGCCCCCATGGTCAGTCTCTAATGCCCCGAGGCCACGAAGAGAACCCTGAGGAGCCACACAAAGCTCACTGTCTCTCCCTTCCCTTTCGTTCTAACCACAGCCAAACAGGATGCTTTCAGGAAGATGAAGAGTGAGGCTAAGCCAAGTACACGTTCCGTACTTCTCATGTCTCAGCCACACACTTCAGCCACCTCAAAAACAACAGAGGACACAAGACAGGAGCCTCACTGGTTACAGTGTCACTCAAGGCAGCAGCAGAAGTGACAGAAATCCTGTGGAGGGTCGAGGCTCTGGGCCTGGGATGGGGTGCGAGGCTGCGGGCGGGGCTGGAGAGCACCCCCTGCTGCAACACCCCAGGGTCACCCTGAGACTCCAGCAGGCTGACCTGAGGTTCCACACCAAGCCGCCTTTCTTGACTCACATGTGAGCGAGGCACTGGGTGCAGCACCCAAGGGAGTTAGCCTCTCCTCTGGAAGGTTCTAGAAGCAAGTGGGTGGAGCCCCCAGAGGAGCAGCGGGAGCAAGCCCTGCCTGGGGATCCCAAAACTACAGGAAGGCCCCTCCTCCCGCCCAGGGTTTACAGCTACAGGTGCAGGGAGCTCAGGGAGTGTAGTGAGAAAGAAGCCTGAGGCGTGCTGCCTGCCCCATGAGGCACCCCCATGTCCCCCGAGCCCGGGATGGGCGAGCCCTGGTCGCCAGCATGTAACTCTTCTCCAGGACAAGTTACCATGATGGCTGCAGCATGGTGGTGCGACATGTGGAAAGCGTGGGTCACAAACCACCACTCCCTCAGAACTGACCTGGGGTCCCAGGGTCTCCTGACACCCCCAGCGCTCACGGTGACATTCGTCACCCACACTCCTCACTCTCCAGGTGGGCAGGGGAGGAGTGTCACTTTCCTCTGAACGCTGGGCCCAGGTTACGTCCTGGCTGCCTCGTAACAGGCCCTGAGCACCTGAGGACCCGCACTCCCCTGCCGGCTGCACAAGCAGCGCGTCTGTCGGCCCCTGCACAGACGTCAGCACGGACACAGGCTGCCCTCCCTCGCCCCTCCTGCAGAACACCGGCTCTCCCAAGCTGGGCGTTGCCCCAACGGGCAGACGGCGTCCCTCTACCTGATGACTTCTCTGCTCGGCCTTTTGGATTTCTTGGCAGTCTCTACTTGCACAGGCACAACCTCGGGAGCAGGCTCCTCAGCAGCGGCGTCCTCACTGCCCAAGAGAGCTGCCTGCTGAGAGAAATCCACGTGCTGCATGAACGACACGCTGCGCTTCAAAGCCAGCAGCCGCTCCTGGAACCAAAGCACAGGGAGCGCGGCTTTACCTCTCCCTCAGAGCCAAGGCACCACGACGATGGATGGGGCGGGATGGCCACAGCCTCACCTGCCTAAGGGCGACCCTTCCGTGGTGGTGCACGGCGGGTGGTCGTGGGGGTCGGCACCAAAAGGTGTGGCCGACTGGCTGGCGAGAGCTCAGAGCCGGCAGAGGCGAAAAGGCCCTGTGCACCGCCCCCGAGGCCGATCAGGCACAAGGCACTGGTCCTTGGCGAGTGACGCATGCGACCTGGCTCACGGGGCAGCACTGGGAAGCCGCTCAGGGTGGACAGAGTGGCCCATCTGGATTCAGCGAGGCAGCCACACAAAATAAACCCATAAGGCTGGCTGCGATCCAGGGAGGCAGACACCCAGGCTCGAGATCAACATATCCAGAACTTTCTACCAACCCTAAAGGAGATGTGACCGCTGGGGCAGGAGCAGGGGGAGAAAGAGAAGAGTGCTTGGAGGAGAGGGACCTGCAGAGGGCGTCTGGGGTATCTGCCACGGAGCGGAGGGCCACACCGTGGCCAGTGACAGACGGATGGAGAATGGCTGGCGTTGGCTGTGCATCTGTCTAGGCAAGCAGAGCGCAGAGGAGGGCAGCTCCCGCTTGCGCGGCTCACACTGGGAGGGCCCTTACTTTGCTCATCATCTTAAAGCCTGCGTGAAGGAGCTTCTTCGCTAACTTGTAGTACACAGTGTCTGGTCTGTTGTACGTCATCGCATTATCGCACATCAGTTTGAAATCTGCCTGGAAAGAGAAAAACAAAAAATTCATCAAGTTTAAAACACGGGAGAGGCTACAGCAAAGAGTTTAGATTCCTGTCAAAACAGGCCAAAAAGAAGAGGCTGAAATTAAGTGGGAAACAATTAAAATTTGGCTCTTTAATTTAAAAAATAACTTTTAAGAACTCTTTCAGACGGGCCGGCCCGGTGGCACAGCGGTTCAGTTTGTACGTTCTGCTTCGGTGGCCTGGGGTTCGCCGGTTCGGATCCCAGGTGCGGACATGGCACTGCATGGCAAGCCATGCTGTGGTAGGCGTCCCACAGGTGGATACTGATGTTAGCTCAGGGCCAATCTTCCTCAGAAAAAAGAGGAGGATTGGGAGATGTTAGCTCAGGGCTAATCTTCCTCCCAAAAAAAAAACTCTTTCAGAGAAACTTTCATAATTGTTCATCCGTCTTGCATGAAGCATTTTCCAGTGAGAAGCTTATTAAAGTCTGTAACTGCTTTCTGAGCATAATATGTATATTTTGTAAGAGGAAAATGCCGGCTCCCTCCACTCCCTTCCCATCTCCAGCCCTCCTCCCTCTCTGGGAGGGACTCAGACAGAACAGGAACAAGAGCCAACAACCCGGTCTTTTAAACAAAAGTCGAGGGATGAACTGAGAGGCGGGCACAGTCACGTCTTCTAGCAGTGGGGATTTTCCATAGAATTTAAGATTTTGCCTACAGATAGTTACTCCAGTACTACTAGAAAAAGACTTTCCCTAAAATAAGGAGAGTCTTATCCAACAACAACTTATATTAAAAGCAAACTATCTGGAACATCAGTATTTTACCATCCTAACCAAGTGACTCAGCACAACACATGTCAGAGGTGAGTTAGACATCAGGATGGACAATGACCGCTGAGGCCAGCTGCGGCAATGTAGCGCGTGCCATCCGGGGCCGTTACAAGTCACTGGGCCAGTGTCCCCAGAGCAAGCCCCTGTCCACCAGAGGCCCCAAGTATGACAGGCTCAGGACACTCTCCTGAGGACACGGGCTGGGTGGACGCTGCTCACGTCTTGGCTTCGTCCCTGGGTGAGAGCCCGAACTGGGGGCCGGCAGCCAGGCCTTCAGGGCAGGGATTACCATTAGCCACCGGCCCTCTGGGGCGACACCGGATCCTCCTGTGAAAACTTCCTCTCTCTCCCAGGCCCCTTTAGTCAGCAAACCCTTCCAGCAACGTCTCCAGGAAACACAGAAAAGCCAAGCTTTTCCAAAGTTAACAGAAACTAAGAAAGACATCTGAAGCCTTTTTCTAAATGACATTATTGCCAACTTTGTCAAGCATTCATTTGCTTGCCCCCCCACCCCCACCAGTTTCAAAGCTGATAAGCAATTTCTCTTTCTCACAGCCAGTGCCAAGAAAGAGACAGAGTAAAGAGCAAAGTACTCAGGAGATGTAAGCATTTACCATTCTAAAAATGGTAATGTCAGTTACATGACAAAACTAAGAATCAGGAAAATTTTGTCTCTAAAAATACCCACTCTGGAGCCAGGCCAAAGCAGACACATCCTTGCTTCACCCAACACACTTCTAACAGCACCAACGCACGCTTCAGCCTCTAGACCAAAAGACGGAGAAAATCACAACCAACCCATTCCTCTGAGGCTATGTTTGTGAAACACCAGCCCAAACACAGAAACACGTGAAAACTTACGACTGGAAACGACCTAAGAGGGATGTAGCGTTTACTGGACACAAACACACACACTTCATGACAATTATTTCAGGAACTGAAACTAATTTACCTTAAATTCCGTGACTGACTTGTATTCATTAGCTACAATTTTGTCTTTCATTGTCCCAAAATCCATCGGATGTTTTATTATCATCGAGTATCCAGGAGCAATTGCATCCGTGACAGGAAAAGCAAAAAATCCATGAGGATCTTTTCTGAAACAAAAACATCTTTATTTAAACTGGAAGACCCCTAAAATCTAGATTTGCAAATGATACAAAATCCCTCACAATAAAAAATCTGATACAACTGACCAAGTTTTGTTTCTCAAAAATAAAAATAAAACTTATGCTCTTTTTAAGTGTGGAGGGTATTTAGCATACACTAAAAACTCCAAAACTAGCATCCTGGCTCCAGCCGTGACGTCCACATCCCGGAGTCTCTGACACCCGACACTGACGCAAAGCGGGGACTCGAGGGCCCCGCCTGCTGGGCTTCCACACGGTGCTTGGCCACCCCGCCAAGACCGCCCAAAGGTCCCCACGCACAAGCTCTTCAGAAACACTCTTTACCTCTGCAGCTGGCGGAGGAAATGCTCTAGCAGTTGCTGAATAGGCGTGCTCTCGTTTTCAGCTGACAATTTAAACAGCAAAAAAATCAAGTTCAATAAAAGACCTTGGTATCGCTTCACTGGAGAGCTCCAGTTTCACAGCACGTACCTAGCTTTGTGTCTCAGGGGTTTAGGTTCCAGCAAGAACTGGGGACAAGGACAAACCAGACCCAACCTTGGCCTCCACACGGCTCAGCTGGGCGGGAAAGGGCACCCACAGGGTAAGAGCCCCAAACCCCAAGACTGCCGATATGCCTTCAAACATCAACACAAGCCATCACTCATCAATGTGTTTCCAGCCCCATCACTACTGGGCCCGGCACATCCCGGAGCAGGTCTGAACAAGAGAACAAAGGCTTTGCACACAGAAGTTCATCCTGGATTCACTGACCATCGTTTTACTGGAGAGTCCTAGATTTCTGGTCACACCTGTTGCTCATCTGCAAAATGGGGATAAAAACACACAGTGCGCGGGCTCTTGTGAGGACTGCAGCTGTTAACTACGTCTCTGGGCCTTAGGTGTGAAAACACGGTTTTCAGGGAACGTGAACACAGCTGTCTGCAGGTGTTTCCTTCTACAAGCTGAATGGAGGTATATCATCCTTCCTAGCTCTGTCTCTTGAGGGCCATACCCAGTGCCCAGATCTCGACTTCCGAAGGAAGCAGGGTTCCTTGGAAAAACGGCCGATCCCAGGGCCGATGCGCAACAGGACTGCAAACCAGCGGGTCCCCAACAGTAACACTCTGAGAGTGACCAGCGTAGGTCCAAGACAGCAACATCTGACCATCAGCTCTCCAAGTATGCTGGAGGGGAAGACCCAGGCCTATGAGCTCAAACAGGTAATCAGACAAAGCCAACGACGACCTGCAACTGTGCTAACCTTGCAGACACGCTCATCTAGCGAACTGGGGTTTTGTACCCGACTTTCTCCACTTCCCAACATGCACAGCAGCCTGAGTCCCACCCGCTCCCCATGGCAACGGCTGGCAGACGAGAGGGGTGTTGCCAGAAAACAGCACACCCTCCCCCACCGACCGCGACTGCCACACAATACCATACAATACCTCGCACTGCCCCCAGTAAATCCCAGGCGGTCAAACTCAAAGTCAAAAGGAGAAGCAGCTGAGGAGCAGACCAGCCTCCAACCCCGCACCTCCTGACCAGCAAAAGCCTTCGAGGGAAGTGACCACACACAGACCAGAGGGTCCCGAGCACCTCCTTGGGAAGCAGCTTTCCTTTGGTGGAGCCAGCACAGCTCGCAAGGTTTCTGATGGCCTGAATGACTGCTGCCAGCACCAGCATCCTCCCATCTACAACGGGCTTCTTAGCTCACCGGCTCAAAAACAACGCCTCAAGCAATCAGCGGCCACGCCTCGCTCTCCAAGTTCAGAGACGGCAGCAAGCACCTGCGACCAACCTCGCACTGTGTGAGGCCCTGCAAGCAAAGCACCGTCCCCCTGCCAGCGCTTGCAGGAGCGGTGTCAACTGCGACCTCACAGGGCCAGCTCCGACGCTCCAGGCACCTCTGCAAGGGCCGCACTTGCCTGGCTGCGTCCGGCAGGCTCGCACCGGTCGGTCGGGGGGCGGCTCCACCTCTACCTTCTTCCCGGGGTCGAAGTCGTCGGCTTCCCCCTCCGTGTCGCAGTGCTCCTTCTCCCGCTTGCGCTTCTTCTCCTCCTGCGAGCAACAGGGCAACAAGAGCAGTGCGAGCGGTTTAAACAGAGCTCCTGTCTCTCAGGGGACACGTGACGCAGACGGAAAGCCCTCCTACTCCAGACCCCATCACACAGACCCTCCTCGGGCTTGGGCTCGGACCCAGGCAGATAGCCAGAACCGAAGCAACCGGCCGCGTGGTCTGCGTTCACTGCCAACAGAACGCCCCCTCCTGCACCGTGCAGGCTTGCTGTCGCCCAGGCCCCAGGGCCACCATGCCAGAGGCCGCCCTGCTGTACCTTCCGCTTCCTCCTTTCTTCGTCATCAAGATGCTTCTCCTTCTCCGACTTCTTCTTCTTTTTCTTCTTCTTCTCTTTGTGCCTCTCTCGCTCGTGGTCTGACCTGTCGTCGTAGTAACTGGAGTCGTGGCCAGACCCCGAGAGTTCAGTCACTTCGCTTCCTCCGACCTTGAGGACCAGCTTCAGCGGCTTCTCCAGGGGCTTGTCCGTGTAATCTGCAGATACATGGGCGGTGCCCTTCACCACGTGTGCCCAGGCTGCGTGCAGGCAAACCCCACTACCCACTACCACTACCACTACCAGCTGGGTGGGAAGGCTGGCCCGTGCGCCGGTGTTACAGGGAGCACACCGGGGCCCAAGGAGGTGGAGGGACAGCAGGGGAACATCAAAGCCACCGGGGAAGGACGGTGGGGCAAGACCCAGGTGGCCTGGCTGTTACTTCCCCGTCCTCTCCACTTCCTGCCCCTTCACACTACCTCACCTCAGGGGGGCCGTGTTACTGTCACGGGCAAAGAACAGGACCTCCATGTGGGACGCGAAAGCCCCACCCCATCCCCAAACTCCTGTCCGGGGGCGCCCCCTTCCTGTCCTGCAGCAGCCCCGTCCGCTGACAGGGGCACTCACCGTGCAGGACCACGGCAGGCCAGGGGACAGCCAGGGACCGGGCGGAAGGGGACAGGGCGGGAACGACCCAGAGATGCTCCGCTCCCTTCCGGAAGATACAGGAGAGAGGCGAGCCAAACGCCCAGCAGCAGCGACCCCCGGCAGCGAGCTGGACCCCCGCCCACGTCCTCGGGGCCCCAGAGCCCCGCCCGCGAGCCCAGATCCCGGCCTACGAGCCCGGGACCCCCGCCTGAGACCTCAAGATTTCCGTCCTCAGCCCCGGGACCCCGCCTACGACCCCGGGACCCCAGACCCCCGCCCGGGTCCCCGGGATCCCCGCCCACCCGGGGTCACACAGCGCGCCCGCCACTCGCCTTCGTACGACGAGCGCCACTCGGTCTTGTGCTTCTTGTGCTTCTTGCCCATGGCGGCGGCGGCGGCGGCGGCGGCGGCGGCGGCGGCGGTGGGGTGGGCCCGGGGCCCGAGGCAGCAGCGCGAAACCCCGAGCACGGCCGCCGCCCCAGCCGCCCTAGCTCACTGCCCACCTCGCCCGCGGAGGTCGCCCGGCCGCGCCGGAAGCGGGCCCCGCGGCCGGAAGTGGCGCCACCGGACGGCAGCGAGCGCTTCCGGGTTGGGGGCGGCGCGCGGAGCGCGGCAGATTCGAAGCGCGGGCGCGGCCGGCGGGGCCGAGGCGGAGGCTGTGGCGGCGGTGACGGCGGCGCAGGGTGGGAGGCGGCGGCGGCCACTCTCCGGCCGGTATTCCGCTGCTGCTCCCGGCGGCGGTGGCGGGGGCGCCATGGACGAGGCCGTGGGCGACCTGAAGCAGGCGCTGCCCTGCGTGGCCGAGGCGCCCACCGTCCATGTGGAGGTGCACCAGCGGAGCGGCAGGTGAGCCGGCCGGCCGCGTGGACCCCGCCCGAACCCCCCACACCCGACCCCGGCCCCGACCCAGCGGACCCGCCCTGACCCGACCCCTGCCCCGACCCAGCGGACCCGCCCGACTCGACCCCGGCCCCGACCCAGCGGACCCGCCCTGACCCGACCCCGGCCCCGACCGGAACGCGTCTCCAACCCGTTCTGGACCCGCTCCGCCCGACCCGAGCCCGGCGCCCACTCGAACCCAGCCGGACCCAGAGGACTCGCCTGACCAACCCAGACCCCGGCCCCAGCCCCGACCCGAACCCGGCCCTGACCGGTTCTCGACCTGGCCCGACCCGAACCTGACCCCGACCTGAGCAGATCTGACCCGACCAGAAACCAACCCTAGCAGACTCACCCCAACTTGAGCCTGACCCCAACTTGACCCCGACCCGCTCTGACTCGGCCCTGAATGGAATCTGACCTGGACTCACGGTACCAAATCTGACCCTGACCCGAGCAGACCCGAACCCAACCTGACAGGACTCAGCCTGACCCTCCCCTGTCCCTGACCCCTGTGGACTTGGCCCTGTCCCACCAGACAGACCCCACCCAGGTGGACTGGAGTGTAGCCCACCCATAGGAGGAGATCCTGACCCATCCAGCCCAGCCCTCAACTGAGTCCCGGCCAGAGCCCTGCCCATCCGCACGTACACACCCGGCCTGACCTGAGCCCCAGCCCATGCTGCGAAGGGGCCGGGGACAAAGCTCCAGGTTCTGGGGAGTGGGGGGCGTTCCCCTCGGAGCCTGCGTCCCTCAGCCCTTCCGAGTGACTCCAGGCCCATCCACTTCCTTCCCGCCTCAGGATGGGTGGGGTCAGCTTGTGTCCAGGGGCCGCCTGGGGACAGAGCGCGGCAGGGGACTCCGAGCTTTCAGGCTCTAGCTCTGCCTGCCTCCCAGGGGCCGGTGTGCAGGGCTCGGGGTGAAGGGGCACTGTGGGGGACCAGCCCCAGGGGCTGGAACAGTGTGTGGGGCACCAAGCTGTGAGGGCAGAGCCAGTCGGTGTTGCTGGAGCGTGAAGTGTCAGGAGGGCAGTGGCGAGGTGGGCCGCGTGAAGCCTCGAAGGCCAAGATGAGAGCGTTGGATTTTCTGGGAGGCAGGCCTTGGGCGCTGGCTGCGTGCCGACGCTGGACCCAGAGCTGTGGGAGCGTCGCTTTCCTTGACAGCGGTGATGCCCAGCGTGTGTTGAGTGCCCAGCGAGTGCCATGCCTCGTCCTGAACACTGAATGTGTCGACTAACGTTCCGGGTGGCAAGGGCCGCTGCCCAGGCCGCGGGCCAGCGGACGGACTGCGCCAGGGTCCCAGGCGGGCCCTCCTGCCTGTGCTCTGAACTGCTGTGCTTCTCGCGTGTGGTCTCGGTTAGAGGAGAAAGGGAATGGCACTGTTAAAGTCTTGTGTGCAAACTTTGGCCTCATCTGTGTGCTTTGTTTCCCAGCACCGCAAAAAAGGAGGACGTAAAGCTGAGTGTCAGGAAGCTGCTCAACAGACACAATATTGTGTTTGGCGACTACACGTGGACTGAGTTTGACGAACCCTTTCTGAACAGAAACGTGCAGTCTGTGTCTATCGTGGACACGGAATTGAAGGTTAAAGACCCACAGGTAACTCCTGACAGCCGGCGCTGGGACAGTGAGCCCTCAGCTGGCTACGAGGCCAGCACGGGGAATGCTGTCAGCTGCTTTGATAGTGTGGTCAGAAACCGGTTCGTCTGTCCGTTGGTCTGCTGCTCAGACAAGTACCGGGAGAAGAGGTGCCCTGGGGTCAGGACGCTCCTGGTGCAGGAGGGGAGACGGTGGAGACTGGGGACGGGAGCGTGGTGCTGTCGGGTCCTGGGCTGCGCCGCTGAGCCCTGCGTGCCTTCCCTCCTGTTCCTCCAGTTGGCAGGCGTGTGTGGAGTGCTCAGGGTGTCAGGGCCTGCGAGTTGTGGGGGCTGCGAGCGAGACGGTCTGGCCTTCTAGCAGCTCCAGCGTCCAGACCTCACCGAGCGTCTTACGGGGTTTGTGTGTGCGGGTCAAGGGGAACTCTGCGTGGGAGGATGCGTTGAGCGGTCATTTCAGCGCTGGAAAAGCAACCCAAGCATCTGCCTCAGGAGGACGCGCTGTCACACCCGTGCAGTTCCCGTCTCAGAAAGAGTCGACTTGGAGGAATTGTTTGGCACTGAAATTATGCTGATGAGGCGGACTCCGCATTCTCACCTTAGGACTGATGTTTGTGGCGTTGTCAGAGTTCTCTCCACGCTGAGATCTGAGGCCATCATCCTTGATTGTAGCCGGCCTAGGGGAGCAGAAGAGCCTTCCCGCGGTCACGGGAGGACGCAGCCTAACCGGGGGGCATGGGTGCTGCCACTGAGCGTTTTCCTGTGTTCACTTTCAGCTCTGCAGAGTCACCTAGAGAAGTTTGTCCTAACGGATAACTGTGTGATTTTGTGGAGATGTAGGAACAAGCGTTTTTTACATATTGTTAATAGCTAACAATTTGAAGTGTTTTAACTATCCATCGATGAGAGACGGGGTTAAACAAATCCGACCCATCCACACCAAATATAACCATGAAAAAGCAGGAGGTAGATTTCTGTCTACTGATGCAAAATGGCCCCAAACTCGAGTAAGTGGGAAAGGCACAGTTAGAAAACTCTGGTAGAATCACGTTTTGGTCCACTGTGTGTGGATGTGTTGTTGACTATGACATCTGTGAAGCTGGATGTAGGGGGCTTTGCCATTCTGCATTCTATATTTGCATTTTTTCAAGAAGTGTGTGTTAGTTTTGTAATTATTAAAAAAAAGGTTTTTTTAATATATGTAGGACCCCAAAAAGGGAGAGACTGATAAACGTTTTTAAAAGGGCTAATCCTAAATCTGAAATAAAATGATAGCCTTTTCATCTAACCTAAGAGCTAGTTTTTAACATACTGCACGTTTAGTCTTTATCATTGGACTTTGACATCTAATTTTTATAGCTAGAATTGAAATGAGTTCTTTTCAGTTTGCATAGATTCATTTGATTTTTCCTTCTCGTCACAGCCCATTGATTTGAGCACATGCGCTATTGCACTTCACATCTTTCAGCTGAATGAAGATGGCCCCAGCAGTGAAAATCTGGAGGAAGAAACAGAAAATATAATTGCAGCAAATCACTGGGTTCTGCCCGCAGGTACTTGTGACGGTCACAGTAGGTGGAGCACGTGGAGGTGGTGAGGTCAGAGGGTGGCACTCGCCCCGGACTTGCTAGGTCACTTAACCAGGGAGAGTTTGTTTGTCTGTTTGTTTTGTAGGATTTTAGGGTGTTTTGTCTCCTGTGCAATGGAAAGTATATCACAGCAGAGGAAGGTAGAGATTCTAGTGTAAGACTGTTATTCCTTAGGCCCTCCAAGGTGGTGCTCTTCTTTCCTATCCGGAAGGAACACCCCTTCCTCCTGCCTCCTCGCTGCCTCTCTGTGGACTTTGCCGGTGATTCCAGCAGGTGGAGTCCTGGGTTAATTCAGTCGTCGGGTTTGTGCTGCTGTCCTAAGGGCTAGACTAGACTGCTACTGCCTGAGTGTTGGCAGTGGCGAGGGTGTCAGGTGCAGCGTCTGCACTGTGTCCAAGCACAGGTCCACAAGAGACATCGTGCGTGCTGACACAACCACAAAAGTAACCCCTTGACCCCAGTTAATTATCTGCCAAAAGTCAAGCGTGACTGGCATTTGTTTTGCGTCTTTAATTTTAAGAAAAATTTTTAAAAACTTACTTCCCTGTGATCAGAATCTCAGCTCGCCGTGTGTGGAGCAGTGGGGCGCATTGCTGGCTCAGGGCAGACCCACATGGTGGGTGTAAATGCTTGCTTTCCTAAAATGAGGGTTTTGTTTTCTTCTCTCCAGCTGAATTCCATGGGCTTTGGGACAGCCTGGTATATGACGTGGAAGTCAAATCTCACGTAAGTTACACCTTTTTCCCAAAGGCCCCGTGATTTGAAGTAGAATCATTATGGTGTTGCTCTCCAGCACCTTGGAGCCCCTTGACTCAAATGGGCTTTTGGGAAGCACTGCCCGCCAGCCCACGTCCTGGGTATCTGTCCTCTGGGGTTGCTCCCGAGTGGAGCTGTTCTCTGGGGAGCCCCTGAGGGAGAAACGAGGAGGAGCAGAATGTGAAGACCACTTTCCTTGGGTTATACTCGCAGGAGCCCACGGGCCGAGGGGGCAGTGCTGAGGGGCAGACAGAGCGGGTGGGCAGGTGTGAGCAACTCCTCGCGCATCCGAGCCCCCTTGGAGGAGTCGGGTTCTGCACGCTGTGGCGGGGTGCTAGAATTTGGCCTCCGGCCCCCATCACCCCAGGCTGCTCTGGGAGCCACAGCGCAACGGCAGAGTCCTGGCTGTCTTGCCTTTAGTGAATGTGCCGTGTGCTCGCCGGCTGCGTCGTCTTGGAGGAAGCAGCTCACTCATCGCTTGCTGAGTCCCTTAGTCAGCATGCGTGACGTGGCACTTCAAATAGAAATGACCTTTGTGTTTACCCCTTCTTATAGTAGTAGTGGCCGGCGCTTCTCCTCTTAGGTTTTAAGTTACCTCTAAAATGAAGGCCTGCGAAGCATCCACGAGCCCTTGGAGGCGGCCTCTGAGCGTGGCCTTGCTCCTGTCCCCTCTGCTCATCTAGGAGCACGTTTGGT